CCTTCCGAGCGCATTCCGCATAGACATGTGTTGATAGATCCCTGAGGCTTCCAGAAGCCGTTGGCCGTTGCCCGCACCCGCTCCGTGTACACAACCTCACCTGAAGGCCTGACACTATTGTCAGTATGTGTATCTGCGCCGAATGCTTAATTGCTCGGCTCTTGTGAGCAGAAGAATACTGGTATAGCCGGCGCAAGTATGGAAACTTTGATAGCTTCGCTGAAGTCGTTTCTGGAAGTCCAGATTGTTGTTTACAAGCTGACATTATCGCTAATTATCTAGGGGCGACCGAGGTTTATTTTGCCATTTTGCCCCTTTCACTTATTGCAAATGGACCTACAGGAGTACACTCCTAATCTCACAACACAAACAATTGGTTGTCGCGTGCTCTTCTAGTCCCTGCATATTATCTCACCACTGGCATCGTCAAACATAACGGTATGATGCCAGAGATCGTGGATGTACCTACTCTATCTCATTATTCCACGACATCATCAATCTCAAACTTGTTCCTTTGTACCTGGTTGCTGCCCAAGCAATTCCAAGTCCTTTTATCGATATAGTCGCTGATTCTGATCGATGTTGCTGGATCTCCTCCAGATCTGCGACGTCATACTCAGAAGTCACCCGTGCGCTTAATGTTGATGGGCTAATTTCAAGAATAGATCACACTCACTACTATTGCACAAAAATCAAGGAATTGTTCCTTTGGACCCTTCACCGCTGGATCGTTAGATGGACATTGCCCATGTTCCTTTCCCGCGAGCGTCCGCCCTGCCGTGAACACAATTCGGTGACAGAAGAGGCGTGCAAACTATCGTGTTGTGGCAGTCGTGAGGCGTGCCGATCATACAATTGACCCTGGATGGAGGAAGCACACACGTATGCCTCTGCTGCTTTTTTGACTAAGTGTCTTCCTTCCCGCTCGCGTTTTCCAAGGAAACAGTCGTCGGCACGCATTGTCTTTCTTTCATGACTCACAAGGGACAGGGTGTTGTTTGTGAGCTTTGCGTTGCGTGGGAAGCAGAAGCACAGGTTCTCGATATTCGAAACCTTTTGGATGGATGCGGGTGTTCCTGAAGATCGCGAGAGCAGTCAAACCATGGTTTGCATTTGATCCACTCTACACGTGCGTTCTCTCTTTCTTTGACTTTTTCTTCAATCTATTGAGTCGTGTCTTTTTCGTTTTCTCTACTGGCAACAAAATTGCACTTGTAGAAATTATAGGAGACAATTTGTTTGCTTTGTTATGCTTCTTTTGCCTAACGAATTTCCCTTTACGCTCTTTTGCGCTCCCACTAGAATCATAAAACTCTTTTTCGGATTGCGAGTCAGCAGATCTAGAGTAATGTGCTTGCACGTTGGATATGGAGGCTGTGTCATAGGAGAAGACGGTGCATAGGGACAAAGTCATCAAAGTCAATTGCCATACCACAAATTTCCCCAGGTTTATAGGAGAGAAATCACGGATACGCAACGGCAAAACGGATATCGAAAGGAGTCGCAATTGCGTGTCAATCAAGAGAGATATGAACAATCAAGGATGGACTCTGAGACATTGGCTCATGACGACATGAGCAATGGCATCGAAATGCGGAATCGCGATCTCACTCCAGTGGGGATTTGGAGGAGGATGCGATGATATATTGTTGCTTGTATTGTTGTTTGTATACAAAAGTGAAACAGCAGATGTAAGCAAATATACACAATGCATGCTGCGATATAAGAGACTTGAGAACGCCTGCCGAAAGTCACTGATCCCTAGCTCTTTCCCTCTGACAACTTGCAACTCCAATCGCCGAACTGCTGGATTCTTCTCCATATGCGATATACGACCAACAAGACTGGTATCCACAAGGCTAGCAAAATCCGAGAGAAACCCTGACCGAAACCCGGATGCTGGAAAGCAGCCTTTCTCAGCATCAATAATGCTCCACCTTTTTCATGCACTGCATCGAGATCTACTCTTTTTGGATCCTTTGACTTCCTCTCTTCCGGTTTCACGATTTCCATGGACGAGAAGAGGCAACGCATCATGCGAGTAACCGCTTCGCGCGCGGCAGAAGGGCCCACTGCAAATCGACCACCTTCTTGAGCTTCGCGCTTGCTGCATGACTTCGGCCGAACAAGCCGAACTCATGAAACGTAGTGATACTCGTATGGAGCAGAGCAACGCAATCAAGGCACCGAGAAAGACGCCATGCAAGTACGCAATAAGTTCCCCCAAGTCATGCAACCAAGATATGCAAAGAAGAGCACAGAAAAAAGTCATGCTGGTCGGTTTCAATACGAGGGTCTAAGGATTGATGCCGCCATCCCGCGTTGAATGGACGCCGCACCTTTCTCCAGCCGAACTTGCGCTCGACAGCTTGCTCACGGGACGCCTGATAAACGTTCGTCTCATGCAAGCCAAAATTCTTTTGGTGTGGTTTGCTCTCCCCAGCAACAACAAGTGCGCTTCTCTCGTTGAACTATGAAACTTGATCGGAGAAAAGGCGAAACGCATGATGGTCCACGCCATGGTTGGACAGCTTGTTGAAGCAACGCGGTGTCTGAGCGGACGAAGTGGTACGAAGTCCGAAGAGCCCTGCAGCTATCGTATGCCAGGAACAAAGTTGCCGTGGTTCTTCTGTACGACTCACGAACCTTCTGGCAGATCACCAAATCGATTCATACGCAAGCTTGACTACCCAAAAGTATAATCACCAAGACCAAGGATCCATCGAGAAAAGTCTCCAGCTCGCGCAGTAGAGGCATCCACTTCTCGTATATCAAGTGTCCGGAAACCACATCCCAACAATCCACAAACGGTCCAGCATAAGAGAGCAAACACGCGTTCATCCGGAGTATGCGGAGTCCCGCCCAATACCATTTAGCCTGCAGTCTACTGCAACGTCTACACATGCATCCTCGGGAGCTTACATATACGTCGAGCCTATTCTGCATGTCAAGGAAACACCATGCAGGGTTATCAACTGAGAGACATGGTTCATAATGTCGCTTCTTCCGATTGTTCTAGCCGGGACGCCTTTCAGCTCATGTACATCGCCTCTCTGCACCTCACGTCCACGAAGCAGAAGCCGAGCCTTCCTGGCATGGGCATGTCGATACGTCCCTGCATCTTGCTTATCACGGCAGAAGCTGTACCATAAGATGACACGACATTGTGATACCATGCTTACACCTGAAACATGCAGATCTATGCTCTTCTTTTTGGTTCACTGTTCATGTTCTACCATCTCTCATAGGTTTCTAGACCAGGTACGTATAACCATTAAGCTTCATGCAGACCACGCCCGAAGGCTGCATTGCGCCAGCCACTAAGCAGTGAAGGTTGCCGATAAGCGTTGAGATTCTTATTCTTACTCCATGTGCCAGTTGACACAGTACATACTCATGCGTAAGCACGGTTTGAGTCGAGATGCTTGTACAAGTGACAAGACGTACCAGCAATCGAGTTGGAAGACTATCAGTCACTAGACATGTAACTTGACAGACTCTTTCTCATCCTTGTGCTGATACACCTAGGTAGGTGTTCATAATTTGTAACAGCATCTGGTAACACTGCTCGAGAAAGTTTGAAAAGAGAAAGCCCAGAACATCGTCACAATGCCGAGACTGGCAAGTAAGAGGAGAATGTCGGATACGCGGATCTTTGAGTAAAGAGATCTCTGAGTTCTGCAACCCGCGAAAGGAAGCCTATTATGACTGCTCCAGAGAGCTACGCGACGGTCTTGACAAGGCCATGGATGGTGCTGAAGCGAAGAAGCAGGCCTTCGAGAGGGATTCACGATCAAAGATTCGAGCTAGACACAGAGCAAATGTAATCAACTTCACAAGAATGTGGAACGCGGTCTAAGAAGCAATGAGTAATTCAGTGGTCTCTCACGCGAGATGCAATTGTTTATAGTAAGTTCAACAATCCACTGTGCATTCATTCAGGGACCTTCACCCATTATAAGGTTGACTTCCAATCACGGTAAGTCATGTGGATTGCTGGTTCTTTCTTTGCAACGCATCGTGTTCTTCCTTTACAGAGCCTTGATAATCAGCTACTGCACAAAAGCCTAGTCGTACTTTCCCTGATGATGGTGTCTAGTGTTGTTGACCTCGTTCTCGCTCGCGCTCTTGCCACGCGAACAGCTGTCTTGATCAGATCGAGGATGCATGATGTGATCCAAGAGGCTAACAAATCCTTCTAATTGCTCATGTTGTCTTGACATATGATTCTCTCATCGGAATCAGAGCTCTTTCCTCAAATTCACGAGGTCCACTTAGAGGAAAGTGCCATCTACCAATCTCCTGAAAAGCTGTAACACGATCACTGAACGGAAAAGAGAGACTCTTACATTAACATCAAATCACATGGCTGTGCATGTGCGTTGCATGGCTCGGTCGAGAATCTCCCGTCCACCACAGTTTTGTGCTGTTTTTGCTCTGCTCATGAGACTAGCAGTGCGAGTGTTGGTATTGATGTTACTAGAGAATAGCTTGAGTTTGAAGCACAAAAGTTCTGCTTTTGTAAGCGCCAAAAAATTGAATCTCTCCTGAAGCTATCCTAGTTCTTCGCTTTTTCTTCTGATCTAATCCTCCCCATATACTAAACTCTGTGACTTCCATCGTACTCCGCCTATAGTAGCTATAAGAAGGCACATACGTGCTTGGAGAAGAGACCTGTTCATCATGAGCCCATATCTTGTCACTTCTCAGTGGACGCTTTCCTGTTTCATCATAGTATTGTGCATTTTCGTAGCTTCACGTGTTATGTCTTTTAGTACATGGGAAGATTGTATATCTAGAGAAATGAAGAGGTTGAGAGGTACGTTTGGACCAATCTACTCGGGCGATGTGACTGAGACAAATGCATAGACGTGTGATGATCAGATCTAAGGAGAAGTTTGTGATTGACGGTGTGCTAAAGTAAAGGAAGGAACAAGCGTCCAGACATCATTCATGTATATGTTCGCTCTACTATATCTCATGTGCAAGTTCTGGTCATCTCAGTCAATGATCGAGTTCCTCTTGACCGCAGAGCTACTCTGAGGAGCATGCTCCAGAGTACCCTTCCTCATTGCCTCCAATGTAGCCTCGAAATCCCTTCTTACGCCCAGCACCTCCTGAATGTGTCTCAGTGCCAGCCTTTCTTCTGCAAACCTCGCCAATGTGCTTGCAGTATGGATGGCATTAGAAATCTCTCTGCCATTCAATCTCTCAGCGCTCAACAGCTCCGCCGCACCATCTACATCAACTTCTTCCCCAGCACTGCTCAAAAGCACCTGACTCTGTCTCTCCAAACTCTGTTTCCAGATCTGGCGACGCGAGTCTTGAGAAGGTTCATGATAGCCCAACGCCAAATGTACTCTCGACTTCATCGCAGCATCAAAGACATGTATCCGATTAGTAGTCAAGAACACAATTCCCGAAAAGTATTCCAAATGGCGTAGGAATACAGCAACGAGTGCATTCCTATTAGCTGCATCATGGGAATCATCGCCACGGGCTTCTAAGAATACATCTGCTTCGTCGAGCAACACGATGGCTTTCCAAGTTGTGGCGAGACGCAAGACGCGGGTGAGTTCGTGTTCGAAGAACCAAGGTGAGTCGTGTTTGTTCAGTTCGGAGATGGAGGCGCGGATAAGTGCTTTTTGGGTTGTTTCAGCGGCGCATTCGGCAGTCAAGGTTTTGCCAGAGCCAGGAGGGCCGTGGAGTAGACACACGAGACCTTTTCCTTTTTGCTGGTCTTCGTCGCGTGCATCGGTGGGGAAAGTGTGGGAAGTAACTAGTGCACGAATGAGATTAAGTTGGCTTTGAGGAAGGATGAGTTCGTCAAAGGCATTGGGCCTCCAGTTTACTTCTGCGAGGTTAGTGACGTAGAAGCGACACCAGTCTTTGCGGCTGCAGGAGAAGCCGATGACATAGGGAGGACAGAGAGCAGTATCTAGTGACTCGAATGAACGTTTGCTGATAATACCGCTGGGGTGGTCTTGCTCGAAGGTCTTGCGGTCAATGATGACCCGTCCAGTTTCGGTGAAGGGCATCCACAGCTGAGGCCAATCGTTCTCATCAGGGTGGAAGAAGGTAAAAGGCGGCAATTTCAGATACTGAGCAGCACCATCATACTGTCGAACCATGATACCAGTAATAGATAAGAAGAGTTGACCTCGTTCACGCAGACGACGCTCCAGATCCGCATCATCTGGAGCGCAGGCTCTAGGATAGACCTTAAGAGCCAAGATCTTGGACGGATGATCCGACCCAAAATCTTCTTTCTGGTATATGCGAAACAGTTTCTTGCTCACGCCGTGATTCTCGCCATCGTAGTCCGAGTATGAGCATTGGATCTCGCAATACTTGCCTCGTTTTTCGTTTTTTTCGTAGGCAGTCTTGTCTACTTTGAGAAGCCAGGGGTGAGACTTGATGTACGTGACGACAGTATCTCCAGGGCGGAAAAGAATGCCTAGTCTGGCGAACTCGACGAGGCCGCTACGAACTTGTGCCTGATAGCTCTTTCTTGCAGCACCCATGTCGAACTCCATGAACTTGAGCAGCAATGCGAGATGGGACCGGGCAGTATCGTCTTCCATGTCGGAGGTGTAGCTATGTAGATCGTCCCAGTGGTGGAACAACATCTCCGAGGGAACAGGAATCGACACAGGCGACGAGAAGTCCGAAGGGATAGTCGGGTGTGACTTGACGACATCTCTGAATGCTTTCAAGATGTAAGGAGAATTCACTTCGAGCGTTGTTTTCTCGAGATTTTGCTTCTTGTCGATCTTTCGGGTCACGACCAGTGCGAAATGCTCTGTAGAAGGCTCGATGTGACCAAAGCCTTCAACCGAAGTCTTCTCTTCCGTGCCATCTTCCTTTTGGAGTAGATGCCATGTTTTGACTTCACACTTGACGTGAGAAGAAGAGGTATCGACGAGCTCTGCGGTGTTGGACTGTTTCTCTGCCATGATTGAAGAAACGAAATTGTATGAATGACAAGAGTGTTTATGGTAGTGCTAGCGACTTGATATAAATACTGCAAGCAGCCGGGCCGACTAGACATTGCTGCCTTGCGATGCGGTCATCTTGGAACACGGCATGTGACCTCGCCAGGCTGATCTGCGTCCTCTTTGGTTGGATAATGGGGTGGCTTGCAGGATGCGCTGTCTTGTATACGAGTTCTAAAACCGTTAAGCTTTCCAATTGTGAAGCTTTGATCAAGCGATATACATACCCGTGGTTAAGAAATTATGTGTCACCGAAGCCGACCGCTTACTCTCACTAGCCGTACTTCTTGGATTGTAAAGATTGTACATTCTATAGCTCACCTGTCATGCTTTGCTGCTGCGGGAGACTCTTCGGTGGAGAAATTTTGACACGTAAAGAAGATGGCAAAAGGGACAAAAGAAAATGTGTGCTCCGATTTTAAATGCTCAAGAAAAAAGTGAAGGTAGGAAACGTAAACTGTACATTAACCTCTGTCGGGTTATCAAAGGTAATCGCCAGCGACCATGTCCATGGCCACGACCCATATCGAGTACATGCAAATTGTGTTCAGCAGCTGAGTGATTGCTCATAGTGCGTGCTTGTCATGGCTGCAAGGACCAGTATAGCCTGGATGTATGTAGGAGGGTATCTTCATGAATGAACCGTTTATCGGTAGGGGGCGTCAGCTCTGGCAACAGCAGCCAGTTCGGGCTCCCACTTGTCACCGCTAGACAAGAGTCAGTTGGTGTTTTTAGTCAAAGGTTGAAGGAGACTCACTTCATCAAAAGCTTCTCCTTGTTGTAAAGCAGCTCCTCACGGGCTATGATACAGTTAGTGAATAACTCTTGGTAGTTGTTCGTCAGAGAAACATACTCTCAGTAGCGTATTCGGCGTTTGGTGACTCGACAATGGCGTCAACGGGGCAGGACTCCTGGCAGAAACCGCAGTAGATGCACTTTGTCATGTCGATATCGTAGCGAGTAGTTCTTCTGCTTCCGTCCTCACGCTCCTCGGCCTCGATGGTAATGGCCTGGGCGGGGCAAATGGCCTCGCACAGCTTGCAAGCAATACATCTCTCTTCACCGGTAGGGTAGCGGCGGAGGGCGTGCTCGCCACGGAAACGGGGACTGATGGGACCCTTCTCGAAGGGGTAGTAGATGGTGTAACTTTGTTGATGTTAAAGGCTGAACAGGTATGTGTGTTGGTGGCGGGTCGACTCACGGAGGTCTAAAGAACTGCTCGAGTACGACGTACATGCCGCGCATCATCTCGGTAAGCAGGAAGTAGTTGCCGAGTCTGTCGGCGGTGCTCTCCTTCTGTTGGTCCCATCGTGCAGGAGCGGGCATGCGGTAGCCCTGGGCAGGGGCGCCGGAGCCAGAGGCGAGACGGGCGGTCGATGTCGAGAAGAGCGAGGTGGAGGCGGGTGTGAAGAGACGGGGTGAGGCGACGAGAGGGCGAGCCGAGTTGCGCAGGACTGCTGCGGCCATGGTCCTTGTGTTTGCCATGATAGCGCTGTGAGTAGGCAGGGAGAGGAGAGGCGAAGGTGTATTCGGTGGTAGTGGCGTCCTTGAGCAGTTACAAGCAAGCAGCAGGACGCGGGTACTCTAGGTCAGCGTAAGTGTTTTGTCGACCAATCACAGCTTGATTACCCCGGCCTTCACGATTGGAAGGCGCGCTCATTGCCAAGCTTCTTTCGTTCCGCCGCAGCTTCGGTGACGAACGATTTCCAACATCGACGGCCTAGCTACTGCCACTCGTCCATTCAACCCGATCAATACCACTTCGCCCTTCACAATGTTCCGCTTCGCCGTCGCCAGATCCGCCAGATGCCTCGCCCAGGCTGCTCCTAGAGTCCAGGCCCCCATCACCCGCCGTGTCGCTCCTTCATCCTTCTTGCCTTCGACCACTGCCGCTCCTTCGACCTTTGTCTCGGCCGTCAGATGCTACTCGGCACACGCTGGTCTCTCAAAAGATGAGGTTCAGGGTCGCATCCTTGACCTTTTGAAGAACTTCGACAAGGTGCGCACTCCATTGACGCCTACATTTGCCGCGTCCATTACTAATTCTCTGCAACAGGTCTCGGACGCCTCCAAGGTATTATCAATTCGCTGCGCCATCACCTCCTGGACACCGACTTACATTCATCACAGCTCTCTGCTCAGTCACACTTCACCAACGACCTCGGTCTCGACTCCTTGGACACTGTCGAGGTCGTCATGGCCATCGAGGAGGTTCGTCACATGTCCAACACCACACAACGAGTCCGTATGCTCACATCTGCCACAGGAGTTCAGCATTGAGATCCCCGACAAGGAGGCCGATGCCATTCACAGCGGTATGCTGCGTCCAGAACCCACATTATTCGGAACTGCTGCTGACTCGATCGATAGTGAACCAAGCTGTTGAGTACATCCTCAGCCAGCCTGATGGTAAGTCTTCTTGTGCAGACAGTTTATTGACACATCTCTGACTTGTACATAGCCCACTAGATGCGCCACTAAAAAGTGCATGGAATGGAATGTTTTTAAGAGATCCGAACTGCTATACATATGCCACTGTAGAGGTGTTTAGCGATTAGGTCCTGCGCCCTTGTACTATGAAATTTTCTTTGGTCACCAGCAGCTGGAAATTGAAGGCAATGACGCGAAATGAAGTGAAATTGATATAGCTGTGTCACGGTGATAAGTTGACAGCGCCAAGATTCCTCAAAGTTGTTTAAGGGAGGCAGGCGGCGCGTTAGGTGGGGAAGGTTGATCCTCCAAACATGCGACAACAATTGGCCTGATCAATTCATCTTGCGCCGCCTGTTCATCTCATTTTGTATTCGACTCTGTCGGCTGTCTTGACGTCCTAGGGCTGCCACGCGCCGCCGACTTAGCTGTTCCAACTTCATCGCTCCCTGCCGCGTCCCCCTCCATACAGCTGAACTCAACGGCCACGAAGCACCCCCCGGCGTCTTGCGAATCTCCAAACACACGACATCACTACACAATCCCAATATGGCTTCCAGCTCAGGCTTAACAAGAAGAAGAGGTGGTGCTGGTCCTGCTGCTGGTCTTGAGAGCGAGGATGGAAGTCGTGTCAGCTCTCCTGCCCCTACCAACAAGCGCAACGACGAGAACAGAGCCGGAGGTCTTGAGACATCATACGAAAGCGGTGCAAATGGACACAAGATTGCTTTCGACCCTCGCGATATCAGCGAAAGTGCCGAGAGACTCAAGCAACCCAAGTTGACACTAATGGAGGAGATTCTGCTTATGGGTCTCAAGGATAAGCAGGTAGCTTTGCGCCCTCTGGCTTACCAAATCTTGGACTGCTTCTAATGTATATCTACACAGGGCTACCTCTCTTTCTGGAACGACAACATCTCGTATGCTCTCAGAGGCTGTATCGTCATCGAATTGGCTTTCCGTGGACGAATCAGCATGCAAAAGGATTCCAACAGAAGACGCTTCCCCCTGGCCGATAGAGTGATTGAGGTCATTGACGACACGCTTACCGGCGAGGTTCTGCTTGACGAGGCACTCAAGATGATGAAGAGCAGCGAGAAGATGAGCGTGAGCTCGTGGATAGACCTGATGAGTGGTATTACTTCTCCTGGCTCAACAAACACACTAGAAGATCACACAGCTAACACATACGCAAGGCGAGACATGGAACCTCATGAAGATCGGCTACCAACTCAAGCAAGTCCGAGAACGCTTGGCAAAGGGACTGGTCGACAAGGGCATTCTGCGTACCGAGAAGCGCAACTTCCTGTTGTTCGACATGGCAACTCATCCCGTGGCTGATGGCGGTGCAAAGGATGAGATTCGTCGTCGTGTCCGTAACGTTCTGACCAACCGTACTGTCGTCCTACCACCCACGGAATACCTGCCCGAAGAGATGGAATTCAGATATCTGCGAACCATCGCCATGGTTTGCGGAGCATACGCTGCCAACGTGCTGGAGAACGCATTGACAACACTGCAACACGAGGCACGCGAGAGAGCATTTGCACAGGTGGACGAGCTGCTGGCCGAGTACTCACAATACCCCTTTGCACGAAGGACAGGAGGACCGGGAAGTATTGGAGCCAACCTGGGACAAGTGGTTATGGACGAGGTCAACAATGCAAAGGACAAGGAGTTGCAACTTGAGGTATGTTTCTTGACAAAGAGTCACAGCAGGAAGATATGCTGACTTGATACAGGTGGTGGCTGCTTGCTTGAGTGTGTTTACGAGATTGGACTCCCTACTTTAGAGGACTGTTGTTTGGACGATTGAGGACAATAAAGGGATACCAAGGGGCAGCAAAATGATTACATTCTGACGAGGCGTTTTATTGTAGCAGCAGGAGTTGAAGAAAATGCAAGCGACAAGCATCATGTTCATGAATCAAGAATGAAGACTCAATGGATACTTCGGCTCATCTGCGTGAATCAGAATAAGCGACAAGTACGAATACGTGATGGAACGGTTGATGGCAATAAGGTAGGTAATGGCAGTTGGTCGGCGGCCCGTGCACGCGACTTGTCTTGAGACTGGAGAGAGACGCGCCGGACGAGCTGTCCATTGGGAATGTGCATGATTGATCTAAATAGCCATTGATTAATCACCAATCATCGGCGCGCAAGACTCGTCGACCATCTCAGCGCTGACAGGGCGTGAAACAAAGGCCTTGTACTGCCATCGGAGCCGCACACCGCTTGGTTCAGGCACCGTCCTTTCCCGCTCGGCCAGACCAACTGCCCTTAGGAGGGGCATGTTCGACCAAGGTATGTCATTTCTAACTCTGTTCCTTTTCTTCTCTTGTTGCCTCCCTCCATCTCTCCTCAACTGCTGTCGAGTTTGACGCGCCATCACTCTGTCATGGCCTCCCCTCTCCCTCACCACCTCCACTCGACGCGACCACCCACGCGCCTGCTAAGCCTTAACTCAGTCACTTCGCGATAAACACTCCTTGAATCATGCAATCGCCCTCGACCAATCCTGCTGCCTCACCCTTCCCAAACAGCGGCCAACCCTTCAATCTCGCCCAGCCCCCGCCAGGTCGGAGAAGTGCCGCTCCCCCCACCAACGCCTCGACCGATCCTCCTCCAAATCCTCCCTCGGACGCTGGCGATGCCATTCGTGACGGAAAGCAGCGCGCCAAAGACATCATGGCCGCATCAGGTATCGACGTGACCTCGTCACCTTCACAGTCCTCCAACGGAGTCGCCATGTCTAGGAAACGTTCGCGCTCCGGCTCGCGCATTCCCGCGCGTCCTCAATCCCCAAACAACCCTCCACGCCAGGAGGTTCTCCTCGAGCGCTACATTCAACGCGACTCGCTATACGCTGCTGCCATGAATGATCAGGCCGAGAAATCGCGCAAGCTTCTGAGGCTCAAGGAACAGGAGAAGGAATGGTATCTCCATGAGGGAAGACAACAACGACAACAACATCCTGGAGCTGTCTTTGGATATGGGTATGCTGGTTATGGCAATGGCCGAACCGACGACAGAACACGGCTGGAGTATCCAGCCACGCGTCGTAGAGCTGGCAACAGGAGAACGCGCGAATTGCGCGTTGCCAGGAAAGACGCAGGACAGCAAGCAGAATACCTGGAGGAGCTCGTACCCGTGCGACTTGATCTTGAGCTCGAGAAGTTGAGACTGCGCGACACATTCACCTGGAATCTCAATGATCGCCTGGTCTCTCCCCAGCTCTTCGCTGAGAACCTTATCGAAGACCTGAAGATGCCTATGGAACAGAGCCAAATGCTTGCTCGTCAAGTCCACCAAGAACTGCTCGATCAGTTGAACAATTACTATCCCCACGTTTATCCAGCTGGCCAAGCTGCGGAACCCGAGACTCCATATAATGCGCACAAGAATGATGACATGCGCATTACTGTAAAGCTCAATATTACCATTGGACACATCACTCTGGTGGATCAATTCGAATGGGACATCAACAACCCTCTCAATTCGCCCGAGGAGTTTGCCAGACAAATGTCTTTGGATCTCTCGCTCTCTGGTGAATTCACAACAGCCATTGCGCACTCGATTCGCGAGCAATGCCAGCTCTACACCAAGAGCTTGTTCGTGACCAATTACGAATTTGATGGACGACCGATAGAGGACCCTGACATCCGTGAAAATATGCTTCCCTCACCTGTGCCCAATGTGTTCAGGCAGCAACAGAGTCAGAAGGACTGGACACCATACATGTACGAGCTTACTGAGACGGAATTGGAAAAGACTGAGTTGTCCATGCTACGTGAGCAGAGAGCACAGAAGCGTCAACTCAACAGACGTGGTGGCCCCGCTTTGCCAGATCTCAAAGAACGACAAAGGACCGTGCGGTCATTGGTTGTATCAACCGTCATTCCAGGCGCTGCAGAAACTTTGGAAGCCAGTGGCATCTTCAAGATCCGTCGTACTGCAACCGGTAGAGGTCGTAGACCTGGTGCTCGCTTGAATGATGGAAGTGATTCTGATGAGCTGGAAGAGGAGGAGTCCGGAGGCGAGTCACCTGCACCCACTCAGCTTCCAAGTGGCGGTACCGCGAGAACTAGAGGCATGAGAGGTGCCGCCAGTGCTGCACAAATTGCTATGCGTCAGACCTACGGCAGATCAGCCACCCCTGATGTTGCCATGCTCTCACAACCAGAATCGACCAGAGCGTCTCGACGTGTCCAAGAGACAACAGCTCGTGAAGACACAGCAGAGCCAACATCAATGATTGTTAAGCTTCGTCTGAACCCTGACAAGTTCAAGCAATTCCTGGCCAGGAAGAAGTTTGGCCGTAGTGCGGCACCTCCTCTATCGGGCTTCCCTACATCGTTCACCATGCCAGTTGCCAAACCTGCTGCTACACCAGCGAAGCAAGCAGGCCCTGCGACGCCGTCAATGCAGAACCGATCTCTACCAGCGGCTGCAGTCACTCCTGCTCGCCAAGCTCAACCCCAAGCACCAACACCAACGACCAAGCTCCCAGCACCTACACCGACCAAAATCACGAAGGATGTTGAGTATGATTCGCAAGGACGAGTCGAAGCCGCCACTACACCTTTGCCAGATAGTGCCACAGTAAGTGAACGCTTTTGAGATTTATGCTTCCTAGCATCATCTTTCCAGATCTGACGAGACTCTGCTTCAGCCCGACATACCAGACTGGCTGAAAGACGCACTTGCGGAAATGCACCGCATGTACCCAACCTCTCGCTTCTCAGGTCTCATGCGCTTCGCCGCCATCGATCCTGCTACCGACAAGCCCATTCCCATCGACCACGCTTCATTACCAGCCGGCTCACCTCCACCCGCCAACTACACCAACCGCGCCACTGGCGAAAAACAAGAAGTCAAATGGATGTGGCAACCCCGTATCCGCTGTGACGATTGCCCTGGCAAGCTTTATACTGCAATGAGGGAAGAGACGATTGCGAAATTCGAACTTCATATCAAGAACAGAAAGCACAAGGCCATGGTGGATGCGAGATTGGCTGCTAGTGGTGACGCTGGTGCGCAAGGCAGTGCGGGCAATTAGAACGTGCCGCCGCTGCTTCCACGGCCGGTGATGTGGCAATGGTTCAAACGACACATGGAAACACCATCTGGCTGGGGAAGGTCTTGATAGGAGTAATATTTTTCAAGACCAGCCGAATGCATTTTTCTTTTCATTGTTGTAATGTAATCCTCATCTTGCCGATTTTGTGTAAAAAATTCACCGCCTTGTGACTTGGAGGTAGTCGTCTGCTTGTCGCAGCGTTCTCTTTCTTCGTGCATAGTTCTCCTGTCATACTTCAACTTCTATACTACTTTTTGCTTCTAATCTCTACAACTCATCGTGACCCTTCCGCTTCTCCTTTCTCTCATTCTCCTCTTTCTGAGCCCTTGCATCCGCCTCCTGCATCTCCGCCTGAATACCCGCACCACTCGCATCACCTCCAGCAATAGGACTTTTACCTTCTCCAACTTTTCTTTGTGCCAATGCCGCAATCTCATCATCGTAGATTGTCCATTCGGGAACTTGCCGTCTGGCTCTTTCGAGTTTAGGTTCTTTGGTTTGGGGATTGTTGCAGAGGTCGATAGTGCGTGCGACTCCAAGAGTTTCGCCACTACACCAGGTCTCGCACCACAGCCATTCTTGGGGAAGACTGTGGATAGGAAGCACATGTTGCATGTGATTTGGCAGATCCTGATCCAAGTTTGAAAGACTGTTAGGGTCGGCGGATAACTGATGGTATTGTTGGCGCAAGCGGTCTCCAGCAGCCATTTGGCGGAAGCGAACCAAGTCGACGACGTAAAGGGCAGAGATATGGTAAGGTAGTCCTCTAAGGAAGTTTTTCCAATACCCTTGTTTCCAGAATCTGAAACCTTCCATTTCAGTGCGCGAGTCGCACATGGGTGTGAATCCATAAGGCTTGCCTTGTAAATCATAAGTAACGAGTTCATACATATCCGTCCTGACGATCTGATCTGCGTCGACGAAGATGACCTTGTCCAAGTCTAGAGGAAACAGCACGTCCAAGAATAAAATCTTGTACCCCCAGATCTCGCGTTGTTTTTCTTTTTGCGAACGCAGCCAGTGTGGCCATTTGTAGGTTACCATTTCATAGCGGAAGTTGTATTCTTCGGCCATAATAGGCAAAAAGGCTTTGAAAGAGGGGGACAGGAATTGTTCGATGAACCAGAATTTTACAGTGTGTGAGGTGTGTTTTGTGACGGAGAGCATCATGATGTTGAGCATACGTTCGTAGAGATGGCCAGAGGCGACTGAAAAGATGTTGATGTCGGCGTGAGGTAGAGTGGAAATGTCTGTGGTAGAGCCAGTTGATCCTGAAAGCAGGCCAGAGCCAAACTTTTGGGCTTTGGAGAGGACTTCGCTAGACTTTACGCCACCGAGACCAACTTTGGCGAGAAGTTTGTCGGCCTTGTCGGTAATGTGGTCTGTTGTCGTCTTTGCACTTTCCAGAACATCTTCATCCTCCATACCAGGTCTGCGAGACAGACGGGGAAAGATGGTAGCACCTCGGAAGCTGGTAAGAGCAATCTCAGTCGTCTCGTCGCCCGTCTGAGGACTGTACCCTAGAGTCCCAGCACTATCGATTTTGAAGATTTCCTCGCTTCTTCCCTTTTGTAAAGTAAGGTTGTAGAAGCCCGGATTGGCCTTGAACTGGAAGTATCCCAGATTTGCCATGATGATTGTATCAGCAAAGTGCTGGTCTTTGTTCGTACCAAGCACAAGCTGAGCTCCTCTGGGCGCAGTTCCGATGGTAACATCTCTAGAGTGACCTTCGATCAGGATACTCTCGAGCTCATAGGTCGCTTCGATATCTCTGCCTTGAGTCGAGCTCAATTTGATGTTGTCAAGATCATGAATACTGTCTTTGGGTGCAACAAGCCATGCAGGCGGCATGTCCATGGCCATTGTGAGAAGAGCGTCTGCTGGAAGACCTTCGAAGTGGGCCAGAGATCCTTCAAGAGAGCCTTGCTTGTCAAATCTTGGCTTGGACTCCAGCACATGTCTGTAAAATCGCTTGACAGGTAACTCGTCAAGTCTTTCCTTGGGATTGAGATATAGGCGCAGATGAACACCAGAGAGCTCAGAGAGGACCTTGAGAATGGGCACCCAGCGTTGAGCAACTTCAGATGCTGGGTCTATGGTGGCGACAACTTGGATGGTTGCAGACTCAGAATCTCCACGCTCGATGAGGGTGTGTGAACCAATCCAGCCATTGAAGATGTCTGCTCTGGCAGGAGGAGAAGCATCGAACATGCCCTCAGGGATGTCTGACTTCGATGATAGCGCAATCAGGTTTGATAGCTTTGAAAATGACAAAGCAGTATTGGCCTTGTCTAGAATCTTAACACCCTTCATAGCCTTTGCTGCTGGAATCAAGCGCTTCATGCGTTCGTAGGACAGTAACGTCACGAAGTCATCGCGGTCGAATCCTTCAAGTGATGACAAGGGCCCAACAACCCTACCTGCCACCAAGATACCTTGCTCGCCTCTTGCGAAGCCAACATCATTGAGGAACCTGTCAGCTGAGGACCAGAATGCCTGAGCTGCGACAACGTCTTCTTCAGAAACATCGACCTTCTTCTTCGACATCAGTGCTTCCAAAGCGTCCAAGGAGACGACAGGGCCCAATATCATAGTTTTGAACAGATCAACTGCGAAGCTCGAGGTTGACAATTCTTTGTCGGAGTTGTGGATGAGCAGAATCTCGACCTGATCATATTCTTCCTTGCGTAACACAATGAGGTCGGAAAGCATACTCTGACCAGCTTCCGAATCAAAGTCTGCAATGACCACAATATGAATTAATTCGCTTGAGATAGTATCCTTGCTGACTGGCAAGCCAGGAATCGACCCAATCCTCCCTTCAGACAGATCGGAGAGAGATGCCAGATTAACTTGTCGGATGCTGTTTTCATCTTCGGGGATAACCCACGGGTTGCGGCGAGCGGATGCGCGAGACAAGAAGATCTCAGGAACGTAACTTTCATCGTTGAGTTGGTCCTCAAACACTGCCTTCTGCACAGTACGTAAATCAGTGCTTACGCGCTGGCTCATCTCTTGGAGCCATTCGTCAGACATTGGCAGAGGGATGCCATTAACGAAGAAGGGCGGGTTGGGCCCAGATGCTCCTAGACGGACAAGATACTTACGTGCGGCTGCAGCACGTGCATCAAAATCATAACTCTTCAAGACCTCTTGCAGAGGCGCTGAAACACGATCCCTGCGAAGCTTGCGACCCTTGATAGCATTATCGAAGACTGACTGTACTGGACCAGAGAGTTTTCGGCCTTGGTTGGACGAGAGCTGGTGGCGTCAGCAAAGTTCAACAACGTTTAGCATGTATCACCAACCTTTTGAAGATATTCGAGAGCAACACCAAGACCATAGGTATCGAGCAAGTGATATACAACCTTGGCTTGCTCAGAGGATCCTGTAGAAGATGTCTTGGGCACAAGGCCAAATCGGATAGGCACTTTCCTCTTCACGAAACTTTGCAAACTTTCCACAACCATTTCCACGTCCTTGTAGTCAGCGAAGTCGATAGGCAGGATGAGGTTGTGGATCTCCTTCCGAACAGGAGGCAATTGTCCAGGGTATGTTCGTTGCAACAACTGTTCATTATTGTCAGTGAAATCTAATGTAGGCTTCGAGACTATGACTTACTGCTCTGACTTGATCTGGCCACTCAGCATAACGCTTATCGTGCTCGATGTCATTCATCCAGATGATGACTTTGCCACCTTCAAGCTCGTCTCTCCAATCATAACGCTGCGGTTCTTGGGTCGAAGCAGCTTCTGAGATTGAGGAATGTGATAGGAATTGTACGGCTTCCTTTCCAGTCAAGCCAAGCTCACCAGCACTGTTGATCAACTTACGCTCGCGACGCATATGCTCAAGCATGGCGTAAGCATCAAAATCGCGAGCCAGGATCTGAAGACCGTTCATCCAAATAATGTTGTATCCCGATGGCAGGAACACTTCACGATTGGCCAGATGCTCTTTTCTGAACTGCTCAGAGACTTCGTGGGCAGACATGGCTGCCGAGTGCTTGGGGAAGTCCTGGGTGAGTTTCAACAAGGTATCAAATGGATCCGCACTGTCCATGACAAAGCTAGATGCTCTCATATCCAGTCTCAGCAATTCCTTAGAGGACAACGGCTTGAGGTCTGCCACTTCCTCGTCTGTCAACTTAGCACTAGAGGCATCAATCTTTGTATCATCCGAGTCCTCGGCTTTGCGATCATCGATGACAATGTAATCGGTTCTTTTAAGGTCAAGAGCAATACCGTATCCACTGACAGCGAGTGGAGAGCCTGGTGTGCTGAGAGAAGGTTTATATCTCACTCTGTATGATGTCTTTCCGGCCCTGGCGGTCAAACTGACTGTCTTATGGAATTGGCGGAAAGAGGAGGACATAAGGTCTGCATAGAGGATAGCAGGTGTTTTGCTTTGCTTGTCACCCATGACGCGATCAAAGGGAAGGTTCAGAATACGTCTGTAGAACGTCAGTATTCTGACAAAGCTGCGAGCAAGATTTCAATGCATACTCTTGATCTACTGAATTGCCTGATGAACTTGATAGGTCGGGATCACAGTACTGTTGGCCATTGAAGTGTAACCAAGTTTCACAAGTTGTATCCAAACGACTCTTGAGTGTAGGCTCTACCGTAGTATTGTAGAATTGGTAGTGTGCCTCAATTCTGGGTGCAGCGGCATGTATAGACAAGGCGTATTCGAACGATGAGATATCTTCTGCTTTGGCGAGATGGCCTTCCTCTTGCAGCGTCTTTTTGAATAGGTTGTACAGATCTTGGTCGGTTGAAGCATGGTCGAAGTGACCTTCGGCGATTCGGTCGAGTAGTGGGAAGTAAGCGGTCGCATTCTCATCTGCAGCTGTCTCTCTACTCTATGTCAGCGCTGTGTCTATCTGGTTGCGAAGGTGTCTTACAATAGTTCTACTAGATAAGGAGCCGAATTGAACGAGGTTTTGAGTGCTACGTTGACCGAAGGCGCGGCATTCGTGCAGATAGCCTGCAATCCAAGGACCAAGGCAGTGTTTACTGCCAGGTGCTGGTATCGCACCATCCTTCTGAGTCGCAAAGCAAACTATGTGGGAAACTGCCGTTTGGTTGGAAAGCTTAGTGTTGAACACGTTAATAAGTCAGACAGTCAAATCCAGATGTCCCTAGAATTGGTACGCTCGTATATCGCTCCAACCCAGTTACAAGCAGTCAGGATGTCTAGTCTAACAAACACAGATTCTCCATCCGCTCATGAGCTGTAAAAGACATGCAAGACTACAGCCACATGTCATTCCTAGATGGTTGTTTGTCTTGTTTGCACATGGGGAAGCTCCTTCCGACTTCTGCGGCCGGTTAAAGATGCCTCCGTTCTACACGATGGTCGACCATCATGGTGCTCTTGAATCTTCGAAGCAACTGGTCATTGTGGTTAGCTCTCACTGCTTTAGTTACAGTCAAATTGCCGTAGTCGGATCCGGATACTGTAGAATCTATCATATTCATGAGATCATCCGCCTTGTCCAACTCAGCTAGATGCTAGTCGTGCCTGCCTAATTTTCGAGACTGCCTCGGTCACGGGGTCGCGCGCGTTCCAGACGCCACCCTCGAACACGTCTTCTAGGCACCCTGAGCCTCATTCTTTTGACAAAACCACGACGATTCTTCTGGTGACAGTAAGTGGCAATCAGACCAGATAACAACCATTCGTAATGTACGTCGCTCGTCTCGCATGCATCAATTGAATATTCCTGACAGTGCTCCACCAGGATCGCCGTCATCGAGAAGGAGAATGTCGCACCAACGCCACTGCCCACCCAGAAGCGTGCTCGCATGTATGGCGGCACCCCCATCACTGCCGACCGATTGATGAAGCCTTTCAAATGCCCTGGATCCGCAACACCCACAAGAGCCTCCGAGAAGCCAGCACGCAAGCGAAGAAAGGTCAACTACTCTGGTGCCGATGGCGAAGCAGATGATGCCGACAAGCCATACAGTAACGAAGACCGACTCGCCCTCGCTACTCGAGATGTCAATCGCTTTCCTGTGTTCAAGCCCAAGGACAAAGATCAGTCTATGCGTCAACGCTTCACGATACCATTTCTCAACAAGGATTCTGGAGCATACAATGCCTCTCGCCCCCCACCTCTTCTAGGACTGCGACAGGGTGCAGTCTTCGTTGCCAAGCCACTCCATGATCCTAGTGGAGAGTTTGCCATCGTTCTTTACGACCCTACTGTTGACGACAAGCCTGCGAAACAAATAGAAGAAGCATCCGAGGAAAAGCCAGAAGAGCCAAAGGAAAAGGTGGACGAACCGATCATGCACAAGAGCTTAGCAGATATCTTAGGATTGAAGAAGAAGGTTGTCGAGGAGCGTCCTCGAGTACCTGTTGTCATTGATCCCAGATTGGCGAAAGTGTTGCGCCCACATCAAATTGAGGGTGTCAAGGTATGTTTAACGAGCAGGTTATTCCGCCAGAAGCTGACTTCCGTTAAAAGTTCCTGTATCGTGCCACAACTGGACTTATAGACGAGAAGGCTCAAGGATGCATCATGGCAGATGAGATGGGTCTCGGCAAAACGTTACAATGTATCGCCCTGATGTGGACTCTTCTCAAGCAATCACCAGATGCCGGCAAATCGTCCATCAATAAGGCAATCATCGTTTGCCCTTCGAGTTTGGTTCGCAATTGGGCTAACGAATTGGTTAAATGGCTGGGCAAGGATGCCATCAACCCATTCGCTATCGACGGCAAGGCCACCAAGGAAGAGCTTATTCAGCAAATTCGCCAGTGGTCAATTGCGTCAGGTCGCGCCATCATTCGTCCTGTTATTATTGTGTCTTACGATACGCTCAGACTTTACGTTGACGAGTTCAAAGACACGCCAATCGGCCTTCTGCTCTGTGACGAAGGTCACAAGCTGAAAAACGCTGACAGTCAGACTTTCCAGGCTTTGGATAGTCTCAATGTGCAGAAGCGAGTCATTTTGTCTGGTACACCGATTCAGAACGATCTTTCGGAATACTTCTCGCTACTCAATTTTGCCAATCCCAACTACCTTGGTACAAGAATGGAGTTCCGCAAGAAGTTCGAGCTTCCTATCCTGCGTGGTCGCGATGCAGGTGGTTCCGATGCCGACCGTCAAAAGGGTGATGAGCGACTGAGTGAACTCTTGGCCCTGGTCAATAAATTCATCATCCGTCGCACCAACGATATCTTGAGCAAGTACTTGCCTGTCAAGTACGAGCATGTTGTCTTCTGCAACATGGCACCTTTCCAGAAGGATCTGTACAACCATTTCCTTCAGTCTCCTGACATCAAGAGTCTACTGAAGGGCAAAGGCAGTCAGCCTCTCAAGGCCATTGGCTTGCTCAAGAAACTCTGCAACCACCCTGATCTACTGAACCTTCCAGAAGATTTGCCTGGTTGTGAAAGCACGTTCCCTCCAGACTTCGTTCCAAAGGATGCTCGTGGCCGTGACAGAGATGTCAAGTCATGGTACTCAGGCAAGATGCAAGTGCTCGATCGCATGCTTGCTCGCATCAGACACGAGACAAATGACAAAATTGTCTTGATTTCGAACTATACACAGACTCTCGACATCTTCGAGAAGCTTTGTCGTGCCAGAAATTATGGCAGTCTTAGACTCGACGGTACCATGACTGTCAACAAGCGTGCCAAGCTGGTTGACAAATTCAACGACCCCGAAGGTAACGAATTCGTCTTCCTGTTGTCTTCAAAGGCAGGTGGATGTGGTCTCAACTTGATTGGCGCCAACCGTCTAGTGTTGTTCGACCCCGACTGGAACCCGGCAGCAGATCAACAGGCGCTTGCGCGTGTCTGGCGTGACGGCCAGAAAAAGGACTGCTTTGTATACCGCTTCATCGCAACCGGAACGATCGAGGAGAAGATCTTCCAGAGACAATCACACAAGCAGTCATTGTCATCTTGTGTGGTGGATTCAGCAGAAGATGTTGAACGTCATTTCTCGCTGGAAAGCCTCCGTGAGCTTTTCCAGTATCGTCCCGATACTGCAAGTGATACGCACGACACGTTCAAGTGTAAGCGTTGCAAGGAGGGTAAGCAATTCATCAAAGCACCCGCAATGCTCTATGGTGATACCAGCACATGGAACCACTTCAACAACGATGGTGAGGCGGGAGCGATGGGCAGAATCCAAGATTTGCTGCTCAGACAGGAGTGTTCGGAGGACATAGTCAGTGCTGTGTTCCAGTACATCAGCCATTAGTTGGTGGAATGCTTTCCGAGAGATATGGGATTATGGCTTGACATGTTAATGATTGTGCATGGTGCATTGAGCGTGGCTGGGTTAGCATTTGAGGAACTACAAGAAGTACAATACAGAAATCATGATTATCGCTATTTATTGTTATCGTGTGATCACTCGTTGTGCCTGTTGAGCAAGTGCCTGCATGCAGCAAGTTGAAGCGGGAGCAAGCGTGGGGAGTCGGGAAGGATCAGACCGAGGAAGGAGCTGGGGAAGACAGGGTGCCAAGACGCGAGATAGTGCAATTATTTCTTAACATCAAATTAATTCTTCTCATCGTCGCAGTCCGGGTCAGGAATTCAACACGCTGCCGTCGAATCACAGAGTCTTTACTCGAGTTTGCCTAAACAAGTTGATCGAGGTACTTCTTGCGCAACCCTCCTTCACTGATCGTGGCGCGCCCTGGTCAACTAACGACGCGTCGCAGTAATCACACCCACACCTACCATGGAGTCACCACAGGCCGACACAGCCGTTGTCCAAACGCCAGGCACATCTAAGAGCAAAGCTGGCAAGCTCAAGACTTACGCAAAAGGTCGCGTCAGCTCGGCCTCCAAGCCAATGAGAAGCAGCGCGCGCATTCGCGCAGCGTCTGAGGAAATTGGAGAGCAGCAGACTCCTGCACGACCCAACATTCCGCAAACCATTGACGAAACCCCCGTCCAGGCAAAGGCTGCCAGGTCGACCCGCAAGCGCAAGGCCGACGCTGCTGCGCCTGCTGTCGAAGAAGCCATGGCAAACGACGCCGCCGAGGAGTCTACTCAGAAACCTGCCAAACCGCGCAAGGGTCGCTCGAAGAAGCAGTCTATCCAGCCCGAAGAGACACAGGAAGTCGAGGTGCCCGAGACACAGGAGTCTAGTGAGGAAGCAGCCGCTGAGAACCCTGAGGATCACCCAGTCGAGCCCGAACAACAGCAGGAAGATGTGGTAGAAGAGGAGGCTGATGCTGGTGCTTTGGACGCAGAGCCCGAGGAACCCGAGGAGCCCATGGACAACACCGAAAACGACCTCAGCCAATTCGAGGTTCCACCAGACTCGGACAACGAAGAGCAACCGCAATCCTCTTTAGCAAAACCTAAGACGAAACGCAAGCGTCAGTCGACTGAGAATGGTTCGCCCGCACAAGCCGTCAAACGCGTCAAGCGATCTTCAATGCCTCGATCATCGGTTGGCGACTACCCTGAACAAGGTCCTTTCACGCCTGTCGAATGCGACCTGATCGAGACTCACATGTTGACTTTCTGTCGCGACCACGAACTGTCGCGCGATCAACTCGTTGGCTTGATTCAGTCATCGTCACGCGAAATGAGCAAAGTCTACGTCGATCTTGCCACTGATGTTCTGCCTCATCGCAACCGTCGCGCCGTGCAGCGCTACTGCCGCCGTCATTACAACAACTTCCAACGTGGACGCTGGACCGAAGAGCAAGATGAGCTGCTGCGTACCGGCTACGCTGAGACCCCCAACAAATGGGTCAAGATCGGTGAACGTGTGGGCCGCATGCCAGAGGACTGCCGTGACCGCTGGCGCAACCACGTCTCGCTCGACCAACGCCACACCGATGTCTGGACTCAGGACGAAGAACAGCGCCTGGCTCAGGCCGTCGACGAATGTCTCAAGGCCGTCCAAGCAACCATGGACACCACACTCAGCCGCGAGATCGAAGACGATTACATTGCCTGGAACGTGGTTGTGCAAAAGATGAACGGCTCACGCAACCGTCTCCAATGCAGCATGAAATGGCGCAAAATCAAGGCTCGCGTGATCCGCGAGGAGGCCGCTCAGCGCGAACGCGAAGAAGCCATTGCACGTGGAGAAATCGTTAGGGACGAGGAAGAACTCTACGACGACGGTATGACTTCGCCTCACACAACCACTCGCTGGAAGGCCGAAGCCCAACGCCGCTTTGACGAAATGACCGTCGGCGATATGCTAGATGTAACCCGTGAAACCCTCTATGGCGCACAGATGGGCGCCTTCTCTAGCAAAAACACCTTCTGGGCTGTGGTAACGCGCTTGCACGGTGGTTCCCCTTGGTCCACCGCCGACCGCAAAGTCGTCTACAGAAAACTCCGCGAAAGCGTTGGCGATACCCAAGATTTCAAGCTCAACCTCGAGAACCAGGTCCATTGGCTGGAGACTAGTTTCGATCCTGCAGCACTTGCCGTGCGCACAGCACCCAGACATCGCGCTTCACACGGCGGCAGAAGAAGCACGGGTACTTTCCGTAGCGAGGAGAAGGTGCAGGAGTCCGATGAAGAGGGAGATTTGACTATGCCTTCCATTGGTGTTGAGCAGCAGATTGATGATGAACTGGCTGATGCTGTTGCTCATGCTGGCGACAATGATGCCACAATGGGTGCAGAAGACGTAGAAGCAAACGGCAATGGTAATGGATATGCTGATCCAGAAGGCGAGATTGGAGAAGAGCAGGAGCCTGAAGTTCCTGAGTCTGAGCATGAGGAGGCGGATTATAACTGATTCGAATTTCTATCAAACAGGGGGAACGTGGTGGAAAAATTGTTGTCAAGGATCTCTTGACAAGAGGGAAAGAGCAGAAAGATATCATTCAGGGCTTTCCAAATAAGAAAAGCGGGCGTACTGTGTTTTACGGGCGGTATAGGTTTTCTTTGCTGTACCTATGCCCTGTTTGTCGACTCGCTGCTGTCGCTTTGATATCCAAATTTATGCAATTGACATTCAACGTCATGCACTTTATACCGACCGTAGTCTCTTGTTTCTGTCGTTGGATTTTGTTGTTGCGAATCATGAAGATCCGTGAGCTTTGCTCTCCTCACCACTGTTCTCTCGAAATGCAGATCAACACTCCAGCATCAACCCCGTTTGAATCAGCCGAGACATTGCGGAAGTTGCAAGGATTGTTCCTTGAGAAGAGTACACGTCTGAAATTGTATAAAAGTGTTAAATCTGGTCGTGTATGACGAGACTGTTATTGACAGGGTGACACCCTTTACAGATTTGACTCGGTTGTTTGCAGCACAGTCGACATCACGAAAGCGATAGCCAACACCATCTACCAAACAAGACGATGCAAGTACGAATGAAGATTATCAGTTCTGAAAGTGCAGGACACACGCGAGAAGCAGACAAAGACGACGTAGAAGATGTAGTAGAAATATGTCATTCATTAGGTATGTCTGATCCCAAAAGACAACAAAACTCCTTCGCTGGTCATAAAGATAAAACAACAATGCTTTGCCAGAGCCCTAGCGCCGAGGGCTGGCTATCCCTTTTTGTTGAACGTGAATGATAAACAAATCTTATCGCTCCAAAAACGTCCCTGTATCCTGCTGTCATGCCACGAACGCCTGTTCGGTGGCGTCTATGCCAAACGGTCTTAGCCTGACCTGGCCCAGGTATATGCAAATGGTCTCGGAAGACCTTTCCGGTGAGAAAATATCAAACAACTCTTGGTATGGTCGTGGTCGTTTAAAGCTTGGAGAGGTGGGAAGCGAGTTCCTTGACCTCATCCTGAACCTTATTGCCCTCGGTGAAGGGGTCGTACATGCGCTGCTGGACGTACTCGGTCAAAGCCTTGTCGTCCATGTTGCGCAAGCCAAGCTCGCGGTCGACACCAGCCTTCTGGGCAGCGCGGATGACACCGCAGGTGACAACAACGCTGACCTCGCGAATGCGGCGGATGTCAGGGTACATCCAGTTCTTCTCGATCTCCTCGGGAGTGAGAGACTCCGAGAGAGCCTTGCCAGAGGCGTAGATCATAGACTGAGTAACGTTGACGGCCTTGGACAGGATGGCACCAAGTCCAATACCGGGGAAGACGTACATGTTGTTTCCTTGGCCGGGCTCAAGGGTCTGGCCGTTGTACTCAACGGCAGGGAAAGGAGAGCCAGAAGCGAAGAGGACGCGGCCCTCGGTGTACTTGATGGCGTCTTCGAAGGTGCACTCAGACTTGCTGCTGGGGTTGGACAGGGGGAAGATGACGGGCATCTTGTTCAACTCAGCCATGCGCTTGATGATCTCGGGAGTGAAGGCGCCACCGATAGTGCTGAGACCCATGAGGATGGTAGGCTTGACGTATTCGATGACATCCTCGAGGGTCTTGTACTGCTTGCCCTCGTTGTCATCGCGAGAGAAGTAGAGCTTGTGCTCGGCAAGCTTGTCGCCACGGTCGTTGGTTATGAGACCCTTGGAGTCAACCAGCCAGAAGCACTTTCTAGCCTGGTCCTCAGTAAGACCCTCGTTCATGAAGAACTCGACGAGCTGCTTGGCAACACCGACACCAGCAGAGCCAGCACCGAAGAAGACGGCACGCTGGTCAGCGGCGGCAACCTTGGACTGCTTGACACCGTTGATGAAACCACCAAGGATGACAGCACCGGTACCCTGGATGTCATCGTTGAACATGGTGTAAGTGTTCTGGTAGCGCTCGAGCGAAGGGAAGGGGTTCTTGAAATCCTCGTACTGGATAACAATACCGGGCCAGCGCTCGGTGAGGGCAGCCATGAGCTCGTCGAGGAACTCGCGCTCCTCGTCAGCAGTGACCTTGTCGCGTCTGCTGCCCAAGTACAGAGGGTCGTTACGGAGCTTCTCGTTGCTGGTGCCCAAGTCGAGGGTCAGGGGGAGAGTGCAATCGGGTCTGATACCAGCGCAGGCAGTGTAGAGAGCGAGCTTGCCGACGGGAATTCCCATGCCGTTGATACCAAGGTCACCGAGACCAAGGATACGTGAGCCGTCTGTGACGACGGTGATCTCGACGTTGTGGGGCCAATTTTGGATGATGGAGTGGAGATTGCCCTTGTCAGAGTATGAGAGGTACATGCCTGGAGTGGGTCAGAAAGGAACAATTGCGATAGCTAGGCAGGATAGGCTTACCCTCAGGCTGGGTGTAGAGTTCTGACCATCGCTGGCAGGCCTCGCCGACGGTGGGAGTGTAGATGACAGGAGTGATCTCCTTGACGTTGCCAGACAAGAGACGGTAGAAGAGGTTGACGTTTGTGTTTCTCAGGTGGGTGAGGTATTGGTACTTTTCAATGGGAGTCTGCTTGTTCTCGAGGAGCTGAAGGCATCTCTTTTCTTGTGCGTCGAAGCTCTCGACAGCGGGAGGGGTGAGGCCGTATGTGCGGAGGTACTTGCGAACCTCAATGGGGTATGCAGTGTCGTAGTCGGCGCTCCTGGAGACGAGTCAGCATCTGGGAAGCTCCAACGGCTGTTCGACGAGAAAGTGCCTACGTTTGCCTTGATGAGACAGCAGGGGGGTGGCTCTGAGTGATGTTTGCTGCAGGAGCAGGAGCAATTGATGCCGAGGAAGACATGGTGGACGAGGTGTGGAAGAATGCAGATGGTCGTCGGGCAGAGGATGAGGGAAGAGGACGTTTAAGTAGGTAACGGAGCACACGAGACGAGGACAGAGACATAGAGAAGGAATTCAGGCTAAAGCAGCCAGCGGTCAGCAATTTATAATCTGTGATGAGACTGAAAAAAAGATTGCCTCATGTCGGAAAGAAGTTTTGTTCGGCATATGAGGCCTCACGAAAACGCAGCCCTCATAGCACGTCGGGCAGTTTGATTCTGGACAATAAAGCTCCACCAAAACTTATACCAACCCCAGCCTTTGTGGGGTGCCGAATCATCGGCCCGGTCGCTCTTGCCCTACGCCGAGTGCCTAGCCTGTCCTCCTTCCCAAATCTCGCTGCAACCGCATCAACTGGATTCTCGTTCGCGACTTGTTACCAAGTTTATGAATGGTTTTAGTCGCTTCCTTTTGCTTTGTTCGCTGCAATCAATCGAAAAATTCTTATGTTACACGTCTTAATTGCCGCTATCTGTTTTCCGACTTCGCAAAGCCGTGCGCAACCGCAGGAACAGCCCCCACGCCTCCGATTTTTCCCGCCGAAGGGATATTTTCAGACTAGTCATGGTCGGTCGACGCGTCCCGACTCTCGGCCTTCATTCCAGCCCGAGACGACCTCTCTTCCCCTGATATTGACTGAGTCCCACTCTGCATTGTCATGGTCGAAGCTTTTATAGGAAGAACGCTATGCATAACAAGTGACCTTGTGCCATATCACGATCCATTTCAGACTAGCCAGCCGTCGCGGCTCTGCAACTCTGAATGTCTTCAAGCCTGTTCTCACATGCTTGCTTCCCCGCAATGACGACGAGATCATGACGAACTTTCGACGTTTGCTCTTGTGCTCGCGGTTGCCTGCCGCTTGCTACCTACACATTAGAATCTCTCATAGTCTTTAGCCACCCTCGATTCCTCAATTGAAACACTTCCACCTCCCTGCCGGTCATCCCTGCAGTCACAATGTCGTCCTGCTTCGGATTCCGCAAGTCAAAGTCCGACGATACACAGCCTCTGCTACCCCAGTACCGCGATGACACAGTCCTTCAGCGTGAGCTTCATCAGAAGCTGCACTCGTATCAGATGATTAGAGCCCTGGCCGATGGATACATGCCCTCGAATGAACAGCTGGTCATCAACCTCAGATCCTTGCTCTCTTCTGATGTCCTGAACCCCACCGATCCAAACCTTAGTGACTCAGGAAGACGCCTTGCCAAGTTCACAAAACAGTGTCTGAAAGACTTTATCGAGTTGCTTGTGCACAAGAACAGCGATGACCAGATTCAAGATTTCATTTGGTCATTGACCCAGTCCAGAGTACATGTCGATGTACAGGATCTAGCAGAGAGAGCATCCACAGCCCAGTCGAAGGCCAAGACTGCTGCTGGTAAATACTGCTGGAAGTAATCCTGTTTCTGATTTATGCTGACGCTATATAGCTTACCAAAGCCTGCAAACGGTTGGATCACTCCTTCTCACAAACTCTGATTTCCGTATATTCCTCTCTGACTTGAACACTGTTGGTCGTGAAATCTTCAAGGATGCTGCCTTCTCTCTGTCAAATGTTGCAGAAGAGGCAGGCAAGAAGATTGAGCCATCGCAACAAGAGCAAGCCAAGCTGACAAAACCCGGAGCTGATTCCGGACCTCCACCCTCAGGCAAGGACCTTGGAAACGACGTTGCAGATGTCTCCAAGGTTGTAGCGAATGGAGTTGCTCAGGTCGCTCAAGATACTGAGCAAAGTGCCGAGGAGAAACTCTCTGGTGATGAGGGTCAGGTCATGGTCAACCGTCTGAAGCAGGCAGTTATGCAACTCAGAAAGCGCCCCGATTACAACCAATCCGTCTCGACTCTTTCAACTCTCCTCAAGCGTTATGCCATTGCTTACTCACGCTCGGTTGAGGAGACTGTTAATGCTCTGGAGGAGGATGTGCATGAGAATGCCGCTATGGATAAGGCTGGTAAGAACTTCTGGTCTCTGCTCTCATCTTTCGGCGACCCTGAAGCCTGGAAGAAGCTTGAGGAGGCATTCAAAAAGGTTGTTTCGCACTCCGAAAAGGATCCCGAGTTTGAGAACCTCATGGTGGACATCGGCAATTCACTCCAGACTCTTCTTACCGACCCAGACTTCTTCGACACTGCCCGCGAGAAGTTTGAGGAGCTACGCGAAAAGTCTCGCAAGGTCGGATCTGAATCCGACCTTCGTACCGATATCGATATCTTCCTTGGACAGCTCCAGGAGACTTTGGTTTCTGTCTTGCACGACGAAGACGTGGCCAAGCTCATGCAGCACGGTCTCCAGATCTTCCGCATTCTGTCGCCTCTTCACAACGCCACAAATCCGGAGCTTATTACTGACGCCATCAACATTTTCATTCCTCTCATGATTGCTGCTGTCCAATACGTACCCATTCCTCGTGTGGAGATCAGCACGCCCGACATTGATCTCCTGCTGGAGAACCTGATCATCGAGCCTGGTAAGACAGTCAACCACTCCTCGTTCTTGCCTTATAAGCTGCGCGTGGAGACCTACAACGACTTTGAGATTCGCAAGGCCAGATTCCGTACTACTTCTACTTCATCTCATTTGGTGACCATCAAGATCGATGGCATTTCTGCCCGTGCTGAGGAAGTTGGTTTCTGGATGCGCGCACATTCGGGTCTCTTCAGACTAGCTGATGAGGGTATCACATCATTCGCCCTTGATGAGAAGGGTCTGGACATCCACCTCGATGTAGAGGTTGCAAAGGACAGAATGGAGTCGATTCTCAGCTTGAAGGCTGTTCGCGTTAATGTTCACAAGCTTGATTATACCTTGCGCAAGAGCAAATTCTCCTGGGTCGCTTGGCTCGTCAAACCTATCCTTCGACCCATTGTTCGTAAGGTCATGGAGAAGCAGATTGCTACCGCTATTGCAGACGCCTTGCACACAGCCAACCGCGAACTTCTCTATGCACGCGAGCGTCTGCGTGCTACTCGCATCGCCGACCCCAACGACCTCGTTACCTTCTTCAAGGCAATCGCAGCCCGTCTGCAACCCGAGGAAGATCCAGACCTCTACACCCGCGTTGGTATTGCTCAGCCTGGCAAGGGCGTCTTCAAGGGCAAGTACGCACCTGGAAGCGTGGTCAAGCTTTGGAACGAAGAGGCCGCTCATGCCGAGGAGAGGATTCTGGACGGCTCGGAGGTCAGAGGCTGGAGAAACGATGTCTTCAACTTGTTGGCCGTCTAAATTTGTAACACATGACATTGATGAATCACGAAGGACATGCTTTCGGAGGAGATGGAAGAAATGCAGACAGTTGAAATGAGCCATGAGAATCAACAGCATGAATTGTATTGTAATTCAAGATATCTGATCTCACTCAGTAGCAAGCACAGTTGTCATTACATCTTCTTACTCCCTGTCTCTTTCCTGTTGGTTGGTGAATGTCATTAGCAAGGTACGCAAGAGCTTTGGATCGGTCTGCTCTCCACACCAGATCCTTACCCAAAAAGCGAACCCAGCAAAAAGCAACTCCTCCGTAGCAATATATAGGGCTACGTCATCGCAAAGAACTTAGTGGCTGGTACTTGCCTCTATAACACAGCCCTTTTGTGCTCTTCTCATTTACCATCAAACAACGTCTTCCTTTATCTATTGTCTCTCTACATATGCGAAGGTTCAGTTCAATCGCACGCACAATGTCTCAACAACGTGTACGTACAATCTCACATGTGACTGCTTCTTCAAGCTCAGAGCTGACCAAACACGTTACAGATCAGCTTCAAGGTCGAGGGCGAAGGTATTATATTTTGGCGACACACAATTCTTCGGTGGTTCTGACATTGTCATAGTCCAAGGTGTCAACTTCAGAAGCTTCACCGTCAAGCAAGCCAAATCTCTGGGAATCACCGGTCACGTCCAGAATGCCTCTGACGGCAGCGTATGTCAAGCCCAGTCCACTCAAGTGTTACAAGAACACTCACCTCTATAATCAGGTCACTGGCGAAGCTCAGGGTGATAGTGGTTCTTTGAAGGAATTCCAGCAGCACCTGAACAAAGGTCCTTCGGCTGCTAATGTGACAAAGCTTGATGTCAACGATATCAAGACCAAGGAAGGCGAGAGTGACTTTACCCAGTGATTGCTTGGCGAAACACCTTCCTGACATGAATGAAACGACGGATATGAAACGAAACAGAAGAGTTGCCTTGTGTTGAAAGAAGGAAACTTGAGAGAAGGAAACAAAAAGTATCCTTTGCCTTGCTTCGTGCAACCATGATATATGGTGTTCGCAACGTTGCCACTTTGCTGGCCAAAAAGAACTCAGAATGAATACACCCTTTCTGAGAAACTACAAAATTGCTTCGTCCATAGGCCTTTTTCAAACGTGTCCAAGTAAAGATGTCCTTAAAATACCACTCGTGGTGTCCATTCTCTCATATAATGTGGCTTCATTGGTCTCGCAAGACAAGAAGCTTGTTGCCAACACGACCGTCCCATTCTCGACGCCTCATGCTCCCCAAGTCGCCTCCTATACAATGTCGCCGTCATTACAAGAAATTTCGTCTCGAGTACCACCGAGTGTAAGCCGCGATGTATGACTGTTATTCTCAATCGCCGTCTTCAGCATGGTCAGCTGGCCATGAAGAAGTGCTTGTCTCCGGCGCCTTCTCGTGCACGCAGACCCCGAACCGACATTCCACGAGGTTGGACCCCGTTTTCTTGTTGGAAACACCGATTTGTTGTCGTTCGCCAATCTCAACACGGGAATTGCCAAGCTGGCCTTGCCGGTCAGACTCGGGCTTCAGTCAACGTTGGCTCGGAGGGATCGATTGCAGCTGAGCAACATTCCGCCGACGGTGATTCCACTCTCCGCATACAGAAAAGTGTCTTACCAGCCCGCGATAGTATATATAGAGGAGCAGCATAACTGCCACCGTAGATATTCGTAAATCATATACAGACACTCAAACCACCTACAAGTCACTTTCGAACCCGACCTCACAGACTCACCCACAATCATGTACAGGACGAGGACCTTGACAACGCCCCGAGGCATTGGCTGTTGCGCCAGAGCGGTAGCCAATGTTGGAGAGACCAAGACCAGCTTCCTCATCATGAGTTACACACAACCCAGAAAATTCAGCACAACACCGTCTCGAGCCTTGAAGCAATTCTTCCCAGAACCAGATGCTCCCAGCATCAGAACCACGGAAGCAGCATGGCCACACCCTATCTACACCAAAGAGCAGATGGAATCTGTTGTAATCGCCCACCGAGAAGCCAAAACATGGTCAGACTGGACAGCACTGGCTGCAATCCGTACGCTGCGATGGGGACTTGATCTTGCTACTGGCTACAAGCACGACAAAGCAGTTGCCAGTGGAGAGAAGAGTGCCAAAAACGCCAACCAGAAGCACGTCATGACGGCGAGGAAATACATGATCAGAAATGTTTTCCTTGAGTCGGTAGCTGGAGTGCCAGGAATGGTGGCTGGTATGCTACGACACCTGCACTCAATGCGCCGGATGAAGAGAGACAATGGATGGATTGAGACTCTGCTTGAAGAGTCGTACAACGAGAGGATGCATCTCCTCACCTTCCTCAAGATGGCAGAGCCCGGACCGTTCATGAAGTTCATGGTTCTCGCAGCTCAAGGAGTGTTTTTCAATGCCATGTTTGTGGCTTACCTGGTGTCACCTCGCACGGCACACCGCTTCGTCGGATATCTCGAAGAAGAAGCAGTGCTCACATACACACGCGAGATTGCAGACCTAGATGCTGGACGGCTTCCAGAGTGGGAGAATCTGGTGGCACCAGACATCGCCATCAAGTACTGGCACATGCCCGAGGGTCATCGCACAATGCGCGATCTGTTGATGTACATGTAAGTGTGACAGAAGTTGAACAAGCAGACGACAGAAGCTGACAAGAGACAAACAGTCGCGCAGACGAGTCGAAGCATCGCGAGGTCAACCACACTCTGGGCAACCTCAATCAGAAGGAAGACCCCAATCCTTACGTATCGGAGTACAAGGACAAGTCAATTCCTCATCCAGGAAAGGGGCTTGAATATCCCAAGCCAACAGGATGGGAAAGATCAGAGGTCATTTGAGGAAGGGAAGACGAAAAGAGAGATGTCTGCTCTGGTGGTCACAAAGGCTGAATGAAGGTCAAGGATGACAGGCGTTCGGGATTAGACAGGCGGGTGTGGGGCGTTTTGAGCGATCCGGACGGGTTTGGGTTTGTTTTTAGGGTGCATTGACGGAGCTCCACAGATTGGCGCATACAAGAGTAGATACGAGCAGCTGGCTACTCTGGTTTGAATATACCATGACGCAGATCTGAGATTTCTTGTGTACAATTGAAGTTGGTCGAAACAGTGAGACAGGTCGAAATATCAAGGACAGCAGAAACAAACGTCCTTTCTGGCATTTGGGTGGCCAGCGGCAGGTTGGATCATGAGGCAGCAGTAGCGACAGGAGCACCCCTTTCCGTCCGCTTAGATACCCCGGTACCTTGCGACAACTCGCTGTCAGCATGAGCGAATACTCGTCCGTCTTCAGTGTCAATGACAGGCTGGCCTTGCTCGACACGGACACGGATGGCGAGAGTCTCGTCAGCGACCACTTCGACTCGCACAAGTACGCCATGCCCGACCCATACGCATACAGCCCCAACCGCAGCTCTCAGGCTACCCTCACCCCGCCCGACTCGTCCGACAGAAAGCAGGACTATGACACTCTGACCGGCGCACACGATTCCGAAGCATACAACAGCGACAACGACTACACCTCGTCTCTTTCGCGCACCGGCTCCATCTCGAGCAGATACTCCATCTATTCCCTGTCGCGCGTCAGTTTCGCCAGTCAACTCGCCCAGCTCAGTTCCATCCAACTGCCCGATGCCACCTCGTTGTCTGCACGTATATCATGCATGCCTACCTCGGCCAGCGCCGCCAACGCTCTGAAAGACTCCTCGGACCAGATACGACGATGGATCCGAAACGCACACACCGTTCTAGATGGCTTGGACGCTGAAGATGATGTTGAATGGGCTGCTGCCGGTGGAAGGGAAGGTTTGGCTGACGTTGACCGTGCCATTGGTCGTTTCGACAAGGTCGTCAAACTCTACATACTCTCAGTTGAAGAGCTGCATCTGAGACAGGATATTGCCACGTTAGCCAAGGATCAGCTTCAGGCTAGTGCTGATGACATGGACATTGTCATCAAGGAATGGCAAAAGATCAAAGACTCATTGGCTGGCGTCAAGGAACAGGTCGAGATTGCCATGGAATGGGAAGAACTCTCCACCTCTGTCGGCACCGGAATCGCTCTCGAGCTCGATGATCTAGCTGGCCTGGTATTTGAGATGGAGGAGCAGAGACATCAGTCCGTCACCTCTAGCTCGGCCAACGCTGACCAGCACGTTGACATTGATGAGTTGAAACACATTGTTGACGAAAAGGCCGGCACTAGCAAAGCCGCCCCCAATCCTCGCCTGAGTCTGCCTGCTCCTTTTTCGCCCACATCGGCATTGCAGGCCTCTCCGACCGTAGTGAATATGGAAGACAACTTGCTCGCCCTGTTCGCTCGCATGCAGCCTCTGAGAGCATCCTTAGACTTCTTACCTATGCGCCTATCTGTCTTTCATTGCAGAGGCAACACTGTGTTCCCCACAGCGTGTCTCAACTTGGAAGCTAGAAGAGATGCCCTCGAGGCCCAGTGGAAGAAGCTCGAAGCCGATGCTGAAGCCCTGCGTCGTGAGTTGGGCGAAGATCGATGGCTTCTGGTCTTCCGAAACGCTGGCAAACAGGCTCTGAAGATGTGTCAGTCGGTTTCGAGAAGCGTAGAAAAGCTTGCGACAGCTCTTGATCGCGATGAGCAGCATACAGACCCGGCTGCGCTAGCGAAGAAGATTGAGAGCTACGAAGCAAAGAAGAATCATTACGGCACTGCCATCGAAAGAGTGCTTGCCATCATTGATCGTGGAGTGCTTGATCGACTGACCGTCAATGGTGAGATTTTAGGCCTCCAGTCCGACATGAAAAGAAAATGGGCAGGCATTCAGGCCGAGATGCGAGAGCTGGACTCACGCTTGCTGGGAGTGAACCTTGACTTGAGGAATCAGCAACTACGGGATTCTGTCAGTACCATTGTCTCGTCCGAACACTCAATGACTAGCAGTTTCATGGACACGCCTAGAAGCTCGTCAGCCTCATCCATCAGTCGACCTGATATGACACCCAGACGCTCTTCTCGCTTCACTCGCTTTGTCAGTGCTATTCCACGCCGGACTCCGCAGTCGAAGCCTAAGGACTCGAGACCATCTCTGAATTACAAGACCTCGCGAAGCAACTTGGCTTCTGGTGGAGCCACACACACGCCATACACACCTCCACCTGCAGTAGACCCTCTGGTCCGCCAGTTCAAGGCTCCTGAGAATAAACCTCGATGGAACATCACAACTAACACGAGAAGCACGTCTCTCAACTCACTTCATCCCCCGTCATCTGAGCCTTCCACAAATCGTAGAGTCACACTACCTCAGCGTCCTACGACTCCTCACTCTACAGGCTCTAAGATTCCAACCCCGAGCTCGTTCAGTCGCAGTACAAATTCGCCTGTAACCTATTCCCCAGCTACACCTTCAAAACGACATGTCTCGACACCTGCAAGCTCGCCATTGACCCCACGAGCACAGAGTTCACTGGCACATTCGTCTTTCTCAAGTAGCGCGAAACCACGATCATCGTCCTCTTCGTTACTACCGGGCGTGCACCCGCCAAGGGCTCCCTCCTCGCTCCGAAAAACCAGCTACCTGTCGCCCACATTAGATGACCATGACGAGAATGGGGATTACTCAAACACAGACAGTTTGGCGCCTAGACGACAGATAAGAGCTGCAAGTGCTATGAGCCATGCCGGCGCAGAAAGAAAGACCAGTGGTAACCTATTTGGATTTTCGAGGACTAAGCAAGGTAGAAGCGGTAGTAGACTTGACACTGCCGGCTCTGCTGATGCGGTACGTGAGTGAATAGCCAGCGAGCGAGTCTAGCAATGATATCATGACAGGATCAGGTGTTCAAGGCGTTTTCAGTTGCTCACGGGTAAGGAATATTAGCATAGCAGGAGGGCTACAGTGACAGAATCAGAGACGTTGGAGTTGTATTTTTGTCATTATTACATCTTCGATTCAGCAATGCTATAAGATTAGGATTGAGTTCTTTGCATGCAAAAGAGTGAAACTACTTCAAATTGCGACTGGAGCTGGACTGCAAAATCCTTCACACACGTTCAATCATCACAATATAGCTGCAAAATTGCAGACTAACTTCCGTACGGGAGGCGTGGTCATAGAAATCTCTTATCATTACCTTTCCTCCCTGGCCATTGATATGTTTAGACAGGATATTGTGCATTGTTACAGCTAGAGCTTGATGTTTGTCACTGGGAGGAAGTATGACAGTCTTTAGCATGAGAAGGATGGTTCTGATCGTCCTAGCAGAAGCTTGCATCCATCGATCTATGCTTCGTCTACACCTTCTAATGCTTTTGGGGTATCGTCTATTTGAAAACACAAGTTCTGTATCCACCTAGTTCTGTGTTTGCTCTCATGTGCCCTGCCTTCGCGACTCTACGAGTAACACACGCTTCATCATTCTGGTTGTGCATCTCTTCTTATCTGGCAGCAGGACCCTTCGCTCTACCGCCACCAGCGCTGCGACCTCCACTTGACTTTTGCGGCAAGTTGGCAACAATATTCAGACCTCTAGCACCCTTCAGACCCATCTTGCCCACAGTCTTTCTCTCCAGACCAGGGATCTCGTCGCAGCCTAGAGCCTCGATGGCGAACTTGTTGGCCTCGGCAACGAGCTGGTCGTCATTCCATCTCATCGATTTCGCATGAGCCTTGTAGAAGCCCAACCATGCTTGGTAAGTCTTTCCCTTGGCTTCGTACTTGTCCACGATGGCCTCGATCTGGGGTATTTCAGATGCAAAGTCGGGGTTGGCGGTCTCGAAGGTGATGGCTTTGAGAACGTGGCGAGGGAAGAAGGATTCTGGCTCGGTGACGATGAAGACGGATCTGCCCTCTTTGCCTGCGCGTGCGGTACGGCCCAGACGATGGATGTAAGACTCCTTGTCTGCAGGAAGACCAATCTGGAAGACGTTCGAAACACCGGGGAAGTCGAGACCACGAGCAACGACGTCGGTGGCAACAAGGATGGCACTGGTGGCTTCACGGAAGTCGTTTGTCACCTTGGTGCGGCGCGACTGGCTGACTCTGGCGTGAAGAACGCTTGCGTAGGGCAGACCGGGAATTTGTGAGAGAACGTCATGATAGAAATCGGCAAGAGCTGCTGTGGGTGCAAAGACGATTGCCTTGAACTCCGCAGGACCAATGAGCTTGCATTCAGACTTGATTGATGCCACCATGGCAGGAACAACTTGAGACCACGTCTCGAGAGTGACAAGAAGTTGCGGTACACGCTGATGGATCTGTGCTTCACCTGCAGGAATGGTAGAGATGAACTTGTATCCTGATGCGAGGACAAGGTGGGCGAATTGTTGAACGTGAGGTGCGATGGTGGCCGAGAAGAGCATTCCCTGGCGCTTCGATTGCTCCTTGTCGGGCAAGCACCTGATGATCTTCTTGAGATCCTCCATAAATCCCATATCCAGTAATCTGTCAGCCTCGTCGAGAACCAAGGTATCAAGGTTACGGAATGACTGTATGATCTGTTGGTTTCCAAGGTGGTCGTAAAGACGGCCAGGGGTAGCGATGAGGATATCACAGCCGTCTCCTCTGAGGATGTCGCGCTCCTCCTTCTCCTTGTTGGTGCCTCCGATTGCGATAGACACTCTGAATTGTGGCAGGCGTTGAAGCAGGTTCGATGCCTCCTTCGCAATCTGCATAGCAAGTTCACGTGTGGGTGAGATAACTAGCAAAGAGATTCCAGAGCCACGAGGCTTGTTCTTATTGATCAGAGTTTGGATAGCAGGTAGAAGGAAAGCAATTGTCTTTCCAGTTCCAGTTTTGGCTTGAGCCAGGCAGTCAATGCGCTTTTCCAGCAGTTCGTGAAGAGTGGCCTCCTGCACGGGCATCATGTGGTCGAATTTGAGATCATCAGTGATGGTCTTCAGTAGTAACGGGTCCAGCAAATTCTTCAGGTCGGTAAATCTCATTGAATCAGACGGCACTGGGATAGAGAGCGGTGCCACAGGCACAAGAGGGACAGCAGAAGCATTCCCTTGATTGCGGTTCTGCTCTCTTGGTTCAGAATCTCTCTTGGGACGCTTGTTAGGATTTCCCTTGGGCTTCTTTGAAGGATTGGCGCGACGGCGCGACTTTTGTAGTGCTGACGCGTCCATAACTGTGTCGACGGACAATGACCTGGTTTCGAAGAACTGTGGTGGTTGTTTGTTGTCGTCAGACTTTTCGATGTTGTTGCTCGACCGGCAGAACACCGCAACTCTCTCCGGACGACGCCCCTCGCAAACGCTAGCTTGAAAAATATGGAATGGACAAACAACTCTACGCGCCTGAGTTTTTCTACTTGACACGCGTTGCACATAGAAAGTTCAGGCAAATTGTGTTCCAGTCAAATGTGATTTTTCCATAGCCATGCCTCCAGTACAAAAAGGATTCCGCATTTTGCCAGCCATAACATGACAGTCTAGCGCGTGTGAAAGACGGCCGTCCGACTCCATGCTTGCACCATGGCACAACGTGAGCTGTTTTCACAAGCTGCCCGCCGTCTTCGTTGACAAGTCTGCGCCTTGTTCCGCTGATTACTGGTTCTGTTGACCTCGCTATCTCGCGTTGCAAAATGTCGCGCTGCTATATAAAATGACCCAATCCAGCCGTCTTTTCAACACAAGCACCTAATCCACTCAGGGAGTTACGTGATGACCGATGGACGGTCTCGCTGAACCTTCGTTTCTATCTGTACGTGCGAGCTGCATCGACGGATTGAGGAATCGCTCGATTTGTGACAGATCGATGGAAGGAAAGATTCGGACAGGGTTTCTCACGTGTTTTGGGGCACAGTGACTTACCGCTTTGAGTTAGAACGCCTCTGCGAGAGCTCGAGAAGTGGAAAGGCACTTCTGCTCTCCAGAATTGACATCGTCATTCGCGACAGGATAGTACTAGATCAGGATCATCGCATCTTGCTGATGTAGTTGACTGATTAGTTTGCTCAATAACATACTGATTCACCGATAGCCTGATCACTCGGCATGCATCGGAGTGAGAAAGAGGTGTAAGTGACGATCAATGCACTAGTATGCTCTCACGGCGATGTAGAACAACAGGGTCACATCTGGTTGATGTGAAGGTCCCACACGGGAGTGTGGCCATGTAGAGTGGTGTTTCAGCTGGACGTCTCGTGCATAGTATTTGTTCCTCGAAAGAATTGGGCTCTTTATAGACACGACAGCTCTTAGCGCATGGTGATACGGATTTGTGTGATAGCTGTAGCATCCCTATGTACAGTCTGTAATGCTGTCGCCTCTTGGTGGGCATTGATTTTCCAACATTAGAGTTTCATTTTGAAGAATATGCCACGGAGACGGAGTGGAAGAATATCGCTTTGAAAAAGCTCTAATCAGCATCTTGGTAATAGACCTGCCATTGTGGCGCGAATACGGCGTTCTTGTGTATTGAAGTCTGTAATTTCCATCGTACTCCGCCTGCGGCAACAAGCAAGAGGCATCAAGAGGCACAGATGTTCTTCAGGAAGACCATGTTTTACACCTTGTAGTACACGAGGAGATAGAAGAGAACGAGAGAGACACGAAAGTGTGGGGATGAGCTAGTACATGGATAGTTCAGGGTGATCGAAACCGGCAGGTCGAGGAAGCAGGTTGCAAATCCCGAAGCCACTCCACAGACCCCGAAGCGAAGTAGCGGCGGCAGAGGCCCAAGGATGAGACACACCGATATCAAAGTCATAATGGTTCCGAACAAAAAGTATGGTTGCGTCAAAGTGGATTCATGATTTTCAGTGGGACGAACTAGACCAGACACGCCAGACGCGCCCGCTTCGTGCGAATAAGTAACGCTTGATAACATTACGGATTGAAGAAAGGAAAGTGCCTATCACAGGGTGATGATTCTGAGGCTTTTAGGTGTCTTTGCTTTCATGAACAGTCGTGCCTTCTCATGTCTGACACTTCAGTCCCGGACCCGGAGGACGCGCAAGGAACGGATTCTAGCACACCGGACAGTCTATGCAGGCCTATAGTTGCAGCTCATAAGACACGCTGTCAAGTGTCGGCAGAATTGGCGAGGGATCGTAACTCTTGAACGGTGATGCGTGAACAAAAGGAACGCAACGAGGCGCAGAATCATTAGGATCGACTGCATGTGAATAGAACCCCCAAAGGGTATGCTTGCCGAAAGGATTTTGCGACATGCTCCCTCGATACTCGGATATGGTCCATTCCGCCGAGAACAATAGAGCCAGGGGATAATGGTTGGTATTGGGACGCATGACAAGGCATCGGTTTAGCGGTCCGTGTATGCCAAACGTAAGGCTCCAGTCCGTTGGGTCACGGCCGTAGAGCTGTGGATTTTGGCACGAGAAGCCAGATAATCCACAAAAAACCGCCTGTGATCATCACGAAGCACTTGAGATCGAGATTCGTATAGGACCCGAACATCATCCCCTTGTGCTAAAGTGTGTAACACGTTTAGCTATAGAAATGCATAGTAGTAATGAAAAGCAACATGTTACCCACGAAGAGACAATTACTTGTCGGTTCTCTGTGGACATGCCTCTGCTTCCTAAGACAACTATGCCTTTTTATAGTCTACGTTGTACTCTTAGCTGTAGTCGGAGTACGATGGAAAGTACAGGCTCGCGACTCGAGTATGCGGGAGGAGAAAGCTGAAAGATATGTATACTCAATAGTGGACGTGTTTGACCATGAAACGCCGTGGTATCAGTAGCCCAAACTCCTTATGTGTGCACGCGGTCCCAAGCTCCGATGATCCCCAAAACCCAAGAGAAACAGATTATAAGGAAAGTTGGGCTGGATCATGATCCAGCATCGATGAGTTGTTGAACGACCCCACATCCCTCGCAATTGACAAGTCGTCGCAACGCCTCAACTGTCATGCGTAGCTCTGCATTACGCTTCTCCACCTCGTCGTTCTGGGTAGACAGCTGACGCATATACTCGGCCGCATGAGCAATCACGCCGGCTTTGCTGAGGGGTCTGATGCCGTTATTGGTGGTAGCAGCAGCATTCTGCGACGCACTAGCAGACGCGTAGGTGGGGCCAATGTCCTCCATGTCGAGGTTGAGACACGGCGATGTCGTTGAGGGAACTGCTGCACGCAACTGCTCGATTTGTGTGTTGAGGTTCTCGCGATAACGCCGCTCAATCACATGATGTGGTAGTCTCTTTTCCTTCGGCGCAGGCTTGACAGCGGGTGCCTCCTCAAGCGTGTCGTAGGTAGTATCGGTACGGACACGCTTCAGACTAGGGCGAGCATCGAAGGGCGGCGAGTCGGCAGGAATGATAATCTCGGTTGTTGGAGTATCATTGCGTGAAGAAATTGATGTTGCGTCTGTAGTTGTGTGGTTGGTCGTGGTATTGTTGCTCAGGCTTGTGCCGGGGTTGCACACAGTTTGACCGGCGGACCGCGCCGAACCGTTCTGCGGCATGTTGCGAGGGCAGAGTGGTGAGTTCCAACAGTCGAAGGGCAGTCCGGCAGGACGCTGTGCTGCTCGTTGTCTTCCAGTTTCGCAAATGCTGAGTCCGCTCTCGGCGGGCTGTTGCTGCCATGATGATGTTCTAGGTGTTGTGAAATCCGACTCATTGTGCTGTTGGTCAGATCGTGCGGCCATGGCGACACTGTCGAAGCGCTTTCGGTTCAAGACCGGGGCGTCTTGCTGCTCGATGTACTGTGCACACATGTTTCTTTGGTGGGAGCGACGTAGAATACGAGATGAGTGACTCGAATCCGTGCACCGACTGCCTGGGACTGGAGGGAAGCACAAACACGCCGGCTGGAAATGCCAAAGCAACGATCAGATCCCAACAGGATTGATAGTGGTTGCGTACGAAAGAAAAAGCTCGGTACGATTGATGAAATTGGAGAGAAACCACCTACCTTGGCCAGGGGGCCTTTGGACAGTATATACGTGGGCTTGAGGCATTGCTGCTGTCAACAGGTCCGGTTTGAATTCTGGGCAGACCCGTGGTGATGGGAGGCTACGACAGCTTGTTGTAGGAACGGGCAGCGTGCAAGGTCCAGTATCAGGTGATGGCCTGGACCAAGCAGTCAAACATCACGCCACTGCTCCCACCAATGTACTTTTGTACCCACGCTAAGGCGTTCTGTCGCGGCCGGCGAGCCTCCTGTTCCGGATCCGCCCCCGTCGGCCAATCACGGACGACTCTCGCTCTGCATCAATAGGCGACGACAGGCAAAATCGCGATAGAAAAACCAATTCTCTAGGGCTCGGGCCAAACAGCCATCCAGCCTTACGAGAAAGGACCGACGGCGTGCGCTCGTCGCTGTCTTTACTCGAGTCGTGGTGACACGGTGCATCGGCTACGCAAATCCTGCCCTGTTACGGCTTCGACTGCCGTTGCTGGACGCTCTCAAAACTCGCTCCCCACCCACCTTGACCTACTAGATATCTATATACAACTGCTCTGTGCTGCTGCTGAGCTTCCGGCTTGGTCATTTGTGTCTCTTTCTTTGCCGTGCTGCATCTCAGTCCGAACATCGCTGTGTCGTGCATCCGAGAGTGCCTGGACCGCTTTTTTTCGTTCCCCTCGATCCCTCAATCACCCGTTCTGCCCCCTCCATCACCAGATCAATCACCAGACCTCGACACAAACATGCCCTGGCGAAACTCGGACGCATACGGCTCGCAGCCATATGCCGCCTTCACTGACCCGAATGGCTTTAATTTTACCTTTGATGTGGGCTCAGACAACTTCATGAGCCCATATGCATTCCCTCATATGTCGCCTGATTCCGCATGTTAGTATAACCCCCCTCTCGCTCCAAGCTTCACACCATCGTCACCATGGACCTTCTGCTATCATCCCCAAGTACCCCACGATACTCATACAGTCTTCCAGGGACTCCAACCTCACAGCAGTTCGCAACCTCGAACCAATCAGATTCTCTGTCTCCGCTAGAAATCAACAACTTCACCTCTCCAGCCCAGGATCAGGATCTGCAATATGCGCCATCCGCGAACGCTTCTGTTCATTCTGATGGAAGCTCAATTCCTGCTTTCTCCATCCGCCATTCTTACCCGGACCAACAGAAGCCTTCGACACAGATGATCGATTCCAGTAACTTGTCTCACGGCCAAAAACGCAACTCTTCGTTCCTGGACCTTGAAGCACCTCAAGTTCCTATCGAGCATGTTGCTCAACCTACCTCTTCAACATCACCTCCCGCTGTGCCTATCAAATCACGACAGAGCTCTAGTGCTGGTAGCCCCGAGGAAGCCTCCCAACCCTCTGATGCTGCCGCTGCTCGTGTTCGCACGACAGATTCTGCAAAAGTACGACACAACATCGTAGAGCGACGATATCGTGAGAACATCAACGCACAGGTTGATGTATTACGCGAAAGTATCGTCGCTACTGTTCACTCGAAAGAGGAGCAGCAAGGCGGATCGGCGTCTCGTCTAGGAGCCGATGAGCTCAAACGTCTGACCAAAGCCGCCGTCATCGCAGCGGCCACGAAACAAATCAGACGTGCAAGGACTGAGAATGAACGCCTGCTTGACGAGCACCGCGCTCTACAGGCCCAGATTCGAGAACTTGAAAGTCTGGTCAAGTGTGGAGATTGTCCGCTTATGAAGCTGACCGTCGACCTCAGTCTGGAAAGCCCGACTCAGCCACCTTGAGTTATCTTGTGTGCGGCAGCGTCGTGGACCAGGCTTCTGCTAGTCTCGATCAGATGTTATTTTGCGCCAGTACGCCATAGACATGCACAATACTTTCGAAAGGAAGGTGGTGTCCACGGAGAGAACCCCAGTGAGGGCTATCTCTATGGCCGAACTCATGTTCAGATCACAACTGTGCATCTCTTCAGCTCACAATATCCTTCTAGCCCGAGATGGAGAAGGGGTTAGCCGCGAGGTTGTGACAGTCTTGCAGCTTCAGCACGTTCGAGACCCAACGTGATCGAAGCAGTGTCGGTCATATGGTCGGTCGATAGTCTGGGTGGCTGCGTACAAGTGTTGGCCTCCAAGTGCTTATGAGTTTGGGCAGGCTTGGTGACCTTCGTCTTTCGAAACGAGGATGATTATGCGTAATGAGAAAGTTGAGGCAGGCATTTGGCGTATCTATTCTCTTTATAAGTAGACCAAACTGGGGCTCATAGGCAAATATAGAGTCGTCGACTATGCTTGGATAGAACAAAAGTCGAACTTCATCTTGAAAGGGCACACTCATCTATATATGCCTCAAGGAAGCAGAAGCAACCCCCAGGCCTCGATCACCTCTCTGCAGTGTCCTTTCTCTCTGCTGGATGCAAGCACACGTACCCCCTGCCACCCTCGATGACGTCCGTCATCACCTGTCATCACCCCATTTCGACCTGTTACCGTGGGATCTATCATTTGGTTTGGCCAACCACAATGTAGAATTGTGGACTAATGACCTCTGCTTTTGCTTTCCCCCAGATTGTTATCGAAGATACTCAGGTACACACGTGTCTTTGTCTCATCCAAATCTGCAGCTCACCGCTGTTGGACAATTGACAGGCAGCCACCAACGACACAGCCTGTCGATTGCGCCTTGATAGTTGTTTCTTCTATGGGATGTTGCTTGAGGCATTCATGATTGATGTCTTGGGATTTGTCGCCTGATATCACCTGAGTTGCGTTCTCAAGTTGGCAGATAGCAAGGATTGGGGTCTCGATGCAGAGCATGCAAGTGTTCACTGATTTGTCGAATAGCCATAAAGTGCGGTGTAGTTTCCGTGGCAGATCATTCAAAGCGAACGGAGTGTTCAAGATCGGGTGGGGATACCTAGCATATATATGTTTGCTGGCCCCACGCAATGCCCACGTCTCTCTGAGATCGTACGAGATCTATTGAGCACGCAACCTCGTGTTTGCCAAAGACTGTTGTGATACCACGAAAGGCATATGCTTTAGTCATACTTCTTTTCTCCATGAGAACGGTATGGTCTAGTCAAACTGAAAGACCCGCGATTCCGTGCGAACACAAGAAAGAGTGTGGCCGTAGGAATACCACAAGAAGATGTTCTCTCCGTCATCGGCAGTCCGCACTCGAAAGCGTTGCATGTGTACATGGTAGTAATATGACTGTCCCTTGGCATTGGCAGGGTAGTGTCATATCCAACTATCACCCCTGCGCACGTATCATGATTAAACTGAGTGCAGGCTATATTAAACTTCCAGTTGACTAATTAACGCCCCTAACCGCACCTCTAATCGTATTAAAGTATGTAACGCGTATAGCTGTAAAAATGCACAATGATGATAAGAAACAAAACAGTGTCCGCTGAGAAGCGATAAATCATGGACTCTCTGTGAATATGCCTATATTTGCTGAGAAGACTGTGCCTTTTCATAGCGTATACTCTGCTCGCTACGTAGTCGGAGTACGATGGATTGAACTGAACTTTACAGACTTTGGCACAAGTGAGGCAAGGTCCATAGACCCAAGTGAGCAGCTTATGCATCTCTGGCTCAGAAGTGAGAATATTGTGCCTGTCGAGCAGGGCTAGCGACCATGTATTTTCACCGGTACTTGACCGGTTCATCACCGCATGTCTTGATCATGTGAACCCTGTCGACTTCTGGAATGGGAGCACGATGCTGTTGTGCTTGTCAGAATCTTATCCGATAGGCCTTACCCGCACGTCTTCCATACTCTCGGTAACTTCCACTCATAAGTCTCGAAAACAGAGGATACCTAACAACGAGGTGTCTGTTCCAACAACCAACTCAAACATAGGCTTGTGTCCCGTCCCTCGTGGCGATGCCGAGAAAGCTAGCATGATTGTGGCCTGCTCCTGATTGCTATGCAAAGATGACAGGGCCACGCTCGGTCGAATGTCCTACCACAGGCGGTCATACTATATAGCCAGGCGGTCTCAATTTTTGGAAAGGTCGAGCGAGGGCGAGATATGTTGGCCGGGTCGTCCTGGGAAGCACGACTCGGTTCAGCATCGAGTAGCACAGTTTTAGAATGGCACACTTCGAGGCTCTTAGACGCGTGGTTCCGCTCGTGAACTCGCACTGTCTGAGATCTCGCCATCATCCGTGATGGTACCATAGCATTCTTTGTTTTGCTAATTATGGCTGTACGCTTGTGGAAGTTGCCGCCCTTGCTTGTTCTATATCGGTGGGCATCGCAGAAGGTTCAAACGTCATGGGCAGTTACCGTCTTGGTACGGCAATCAACCAACGTTTGTATTGCTAAAGATCCATCAGTTGTTCATCCGACTGCGACAGATACACTCTTAGGATACAGTAGCAGAGCTTGAAGGAGCGATGGCATGTAATGCGATGCTGCAAGGATCTACCTCCCAGCCCTACCACTGTAGTTCACTGGTACTTCCTCTGACAAAAAGGTCAAGTTTCGTCGGTGGCCGTAATAGTCGTCTGGTAAAGATGCAATAGAGTAGCGTCAGCCCTATGGACAGGGGAGATGTTGGTATGGATGCAGGTGGCGTGAATGTACACAAGAGTCCTCAAACAGTCATTGGTCTGCTCGTTCCTGCTAGACTTTGCTTCGCACCCGCAGCTCCGATGCGCAGCATCGCGATCAGGCTGGTGACCGGTAGGTGTGCAGCGTACAGTATGCTCGAACACGAGGGGAGAGAGACAGGGGTCTGTTCGTACACAATCTACACCAGATTGGGCAATTGGTCCATGGCGTTCGCGAGGGACGCATCACTTTGGTCTCACAGAGCTCAAGCTCTGAGCAAGCGGGCGAACCACGCCCCGCGCGCAAACCAGCCAGCCTCCCTCCTCGCTCCGGATCCTCCCCATCCTTTCCCCTCCTTCCTGTCGTTTATTTCTAATCAGGCCTCAGTATGCCAGCGGTGAGCTTTGTAGCCAATCCTTGCAGCAGCATCGCCCGAAGGCGCAAGATGCGCAGGGAGAGTCGCATCGCCTCGACTTTGGCCTGCTGTTTTGGAGCAACGTAGACGGCCATAACGGACTTTGGGCCAATATGTCCAAAATCTGGCTTTGTTGCATGACCCTACGTGGCACGCTCTGACCGACGTCCACGCTTGATGCATGCTCTGGTTGCAATGAAGCCCAGAAGGAACCCTAACATGCAAACTTGCCGTGGTAACTTCACCGCACTCGCGACCCTTCAGCCCTACGGGTTTGTGAGGAATGGGCCGCTGGTTGCTGCTAATAATGGCGGAATTGGCGACTTGGCTCGGTGTCACTGTCGACCCGCATGCATGGCTCCTTCAGTTCCAATTGCGGAGCGCCTTGGAATGCCGCTGCAGCTTTCACATGGCACTTACGCTAAACGGTCCAGGGTGCTCATCCTCTTGAGCTTGTCTGTATCTAGGCAGAGAGCTGTAACCACAACAGGCCTACTATATCAGAGCCACACCCCTCAAGGCTGAAGTACGTACATCCTCGAACCCACCTCGAACATACAAAGTCCACCCTTCGCACCTCAGTATTTCATCTTTCCATTTTATCACACTCCACACACACACACACCTCATACACTCTGTACACTCCCTATTGTCTACACACATACAAGATGAATAGGCGTTCGACATACTCATCATGCTCATGCTCTCCACCTTCTTCACACAAGCACCATGCCTCAACACATCCCACCAGCAGTGCATTCAGCGCCAGTGCGAATCCAGACGAGGACTGGACCAAGATCACGGATCTTGCTGAGCGAAGGAGGATTCAGAACCGCATCGCTCAGAGAAACTACAGTATGCATGATGCGGTCTGTTGCGTATGTCGTGTGTTACTTTGCTAACGGTCACCACAGGAAAGAAGCTGAAGAAGCGTCTCGAAGATCTGGAACGCCGTGCAGCATCTAGCTCAGCCTCTCCATCGCCCGAAGTCAAATACGTCGATCTGGATCTCTCCAACTTGTCCGGTTACAAGAGTTCATCGCACATGTCACACGCACAAGAAAGCAACAATGTCGACAGTCGTGGCTACACATCCAATGGATACGATTACCCTTACTCACAAGCGCCTGATGATAAGAGGATGTTCTCGTATCAGCACACTCGTCAGTTATCAACGTCTCCACCTCCGTTGTTCAGCTATCAGGCCTACCCGTCCATCGAACATGGCCAATTTGCTCCTTCGGTTCCCAACTACATGGCATATCCTATTCCTGTATCTTCTTCATGCATGATGCCTCCATCCACCATGACCTACCAAACAAGCATGCCGGCTATCATCAAGCCAGAGGTGTACGAAGAGGACGACATGAACCCCTTCAGCCTGAGTTATGCTTCTATAGCTGGTGTAGATGTGACCAGCCAATTCAGCTATCAGACGCCTGCTGTTCACGTAGGTAACACTCCTGAATTCTATCCGACGCCCTGACTGAGAACCTTAGCTAGACTCCAGCTTTGTCAGATAGCTTTGAACCTTCGACAACCAGCTCACCTCCTTACGATTACATGACTTTTCCGCGCACACCCCTCTCAATGCCCTTGACGCCACCCGTTCGTCTACGTGAGGGCCCAAAGTAGAGGCATCTGTTGATAACGACATAATGAAACAAGGATGAGGGAGGGCATGAGCGTTAGGAGTTCACGGGTTTTTTCAGCGCAAATTACTGAAGCTTAAAGGGAAATACCATACTGTCGTTCGCTAGGGCAATTTTGGGGTTGAGCAGCTGGTTTTGTGGCGTTCTTGTTCGGGAAAAATACTCACCTTGTTTAACTCGGCTCTCTATGCGCAAGGGTTCAAGGCGTCATTGGTTACCACTCTCGAATGTACAAATCATCTTTCAAATAGCCTTATCGCAACGGGCATACCTAATCGCGAAGTCGGTACTCTGGTGCGGCTGCAACTTTCCCCACCTCCTCCCCGTGTTCAAAAGTATGTAAAAGCTCCTTTATAGCTGTAGAAATGCATGATCTGACCAGGAAACTGGACAATCTCCACTGAGAGGCAACAGAACATGGACTCTCTATGGACGACATTTGTCTCCAAATGAGATTGTGCCTTTTCATAGTGTCTACCTTACTCTGTGTTGTGATCGGAGAGGCTGGATGTCCGTTCATGACCTTCAGCCCAACAAGCGGGTCCATGCGAGGATGCGTGACCGGTTCGGTGTCACCAGAAAGGATGCCGACTTTCAAGGAGCAAGTACAGTAGGTACATACCGAATTACAACAGGCTCAGCAGGCAACAAACCAAAGGTAAAGTGGGGTGTGCAAGCCACGAGGGAAGCCTGAACCGCCAAGCAAGGTTCGAAGCAACCAACCACAGCTCGCGCAACCAACGCCAGAACATTTACTTCCTACACGACTTTCAGCTCTAGATACGGCCATGAACAAAGAAAAGGACCAGACTCTGTTCGGAGGTAGTCGGTGGGTTATGTTGCGTCACTTCGAGTCTGCGGGACGCTGAGAAGTTTACGCCCTACAGCTCCTGGAAAGACGCAGACTGGACTGCAAGCGACGATCGCGTACGCGGCGGAAAATCACAAGTAGGATGAGTGACAGTACGTGTGCTTTTCAGCTTCCGGATATGCTAAATCTGTGCTGTGCAGTCTTTCCTCGAATGTCACAGCAGCACAGGCCGATTCCATGGCAATCTCGACATCAAAACCTTGGGTGGCGCGGGATTTGCAAGCCAGCGGACCACGGGTGAGGATAGAAGCTGGGATTTGTCTAGCTATGCAGGAATCGTGCTCGACATTGCAGAAGCAGACGGCAAGTATTCTATTCCTCGAAATCATGCCACCTATATGGCTAGTGCAGGACGTCAAGCTCATAGTTGCAAACTCGCAGATAACAGGTATACCTTCATTCTCAAGGACGAACTGCTTCCCCGCAATCCAGACAATGGACGTGAACAAGCCACTATCTCGTGGGAGTACGACTTCAAGCCTTGTTTCGGGGAAGGTGGTCTCGAGAAAGGTGGCCTCGTGTGGGTTCCATGGTCTGCTTTGAAGCCGACCTATCGCGGTAAAGAGAAGGAGCATGCGGATCCTATTAATCTCAAAACAATCAAAAGAATGAGTATCATGATGCGAAGGTAAGTGCCGTGCAGCTCGTTTAATTCTTGAATATTCATATTGCGTGGCAGCTTCTTTGGCGATCAAGAGGGACCCTTCTCTCTAACCCTTCGTTCCATATCTGCAGTTGTGAGCTCACCGGTTGAGCTTGGCAGGCTTGAACAGGGTAACGCAGCATCTGCAACAACCAGCACTAGTCGCTGGACTCGGTATACCCATTCGTTTACTGTGAGTCAACTCGGACAACGAGTCAATGCAGTGGTGGTTAACTCTTGCAGATTGCATTATCGCCGTGGCGCATCTGCGGACTCGCTTTGGTCGCGACTGCCCTATACTACCTACATGGCAGCAAATCGCAAGCAGCCTGATCCCAGTCCGAAAGCCTCGGACACGAGGCCCTTAAGGGTCGCACTGAGCGATGAATGGCTTTGATGCCAAATCAAAGTTGCACAACCAGGTGCGCGTGGCCAACTCGTACAGGACCACCTTGATTCTGTAGAAATAGTCGAGTGTAGTGCAAGTTCTAGCGCTCTATTTATTCTACCAAAGCGCCGGGTTCGACACAAGCGACGGCGCCACGTTTGTAGTATAACAAACCTCTCAGGGCATTGCCGTTTTGGGATTATGCATAGAATAGTCTTTCCTCCCCATATGCTAAACTGGAACACACGTAGCTATACAAATGCACGATACTATTGGAAAGCACGATAGTGGCCACTGGAAGAAAACATTCTGTCTGCTCTCTTTAGCCACACCTCTGCTCCAATTAACAATCATGCCTTTTCATGGTAGATATTCTGCTCTGCGACATAGTCTGGGACGATGATACACATATCGAGGCTTAGAGAGTTCCATGATTCATCTCGGGCACGTCAACTACAAGATTGGAGGTGATTTGCCGTGGTCTGTATCATCAATCTGGATGCTTAACCACGGATGAAGATGAAACCGAAAAAGGTTGCACAATAATAATTCACGAGACGGTAACCCATCGACCCGGATCAGGTGCAGGTGGGGTGGCGGCGCGGTGCTCGGCATCTGTGAAGGACCGGCTCGCTTCACGGGGCGGCGGGAGGTCAAAGGTCCGATCGAATAGGCGAGGATCGCAAGTGGATTGCAGAGCAAATCTGCCAGTCGTTGTTGCAACAGAATTTCTAGAAATCGTGATACAAAAATTCTCTTTCTGTTTGGGTTTTAAGATTTTGATGTTTGTTTTAAGATTAAGGGGGCATGGAAGAGAATAGATCTTTGTAGTTGTCGAAGACGCACAGAATAAATGTGCATTCGACCTGACGTGACAGCGGTATCGACTTTGTGCTGAAGGCGAGAAGATAACTGAACATGATGAGGGATCTTCTTGATTTATAATTCGGACCAAGAATACCACGAGTAGCTTTCAACTCCTCGGCGAGGATCGAAACTTGGAAGGTCTTGTATGCTCGTACCGCCAACGACGTTTGAGAAGTGCTTGTCAACAACGAGATAGGCTCGGACCCTCGGCGACTTCTATCGAATGAGGCGTTCTGGGCATCCTCACGGATGTCAAAGAAGCGAAAAGCGTTGCATAAAAAAGCACAATCCAAAATCCTGCCAATCAGAGCCATTGAGGCTCACACAACTTGTTCACAGAAGGCTTTCGGAACCTCGGTTCTCCGTTTTTTACGCCTCCGAAAGAAATGAAGTCTAACACCAGCGTTTGCCATGTTGTCACCCCAACAGTACTTTTTCTCCTCTTCATATTAAATGCCTTCCCCCTCTGTGATACCTTCGAATTACTAGCATTCCTCGAACGACCGAAACTCTGGTATCTTGACCCTAGCTTCTGCTACTCGAATTCTGGTCGACCCCAGACAAACAATCCCCACATCTGACTCTCCTCGATACACTCGACTAACATGGAGAAGTCCAATAAGGATGTTGAGGCTGGCAAGGGACCATCGTCTGTCCCTCATTGGCGCCTTGTTTTCGACCAAGGCCTCGTCACTGATGAAGTTATGAACTGGAACTATCCAGGCTCTGGAACTGAAGAGGATCCCTATGTTGTCAACTGGATCCAGAATGATCCCCGCAATCCGCAGCTGTTCTCAAACTGGAAGAAGTGGGGTCTTACCATGCTTGTAGCCATTGCTACCCTCGCAGTCGCCTTCGTCTCTTCCGCATATTCTGGTGGTATCAGGGAGATCCTGGTCGAGTTCCATTCTTCGCAGGAAGTTGGTATTCTGGGTGTTTCTCTGTTCGTTTTGGGTTTCGCCATTGGTCCGCTTCTCTGGGCGCCACTTTCTGAAATGTTTGGCCGTCAAATTCTCTTCATCCTAACCTATGCCGGTTTGACAGCATTCAACGCTGGAGCTGCTGGTGTCAACTCTATGGCCGGCCTCATCGTCTGTCGATTCTTCGCTGGTGCCATCGGATCTTCTCCTCTCACCAACGCTGGTGGTGTCATTGCTGACATGTTCTCGGCCAACCAGAGAGGTCTAGCCATGACTCTGTTCGCCGCTGCTCCTTTCATGGGTCCTGTTCTTGGTCCTATCGTCGGAGGTTTTGTTGGCGAGACTATCGGCTGGAGATGGGTCGAAGGTGTTATGGCAATCTTGTAAGTTGGCTTATTCTTGACATGAACGTTCGTTTGCTGATTCTTGCTCCAGTACCGGTGTGCTCTGGATTGCTGGTACGCTGCTCATCCCTGAGACTTACCCTCCCGTGCTTCTTCGCAAGCGTGCTGCAAAGATGTCGAAGATGACCGGCAAGGTCTACCGCAGCAAGGGTGATGTCGACCAAGGCCCTACAACTTTCGGCAAGGTCTTCAAGACTTCTCTCCTTCGCCCCTGGGTATTGCTCTTCCGCGAGCCAATCGTCCTTCTCTTGTCGATCTACATGGCTATCATTTACGGAACTCTCTACATGCTCTTCGCCGCCTTCCCTATCGTCTACCAGGAGAACAGAGGCTGGAGCCCTGGTATCGGTGGTCTGGCTTTCCTCGGTGTCGCCGTCGGTATGATCGGAGCTGTCATTTACTCTATCTTCGACAACAAGCGTTACGTCAAGATCTCCAACTCACACGGAGGCTTCGCCCCTCCTGAGGCCCGTCTTCCTCCTTGCATGTTGGGTGGCATTCTGTTGCCTGTCGGTCTTTTCTGGTTTGCATGGACCAACTCGCCCTCCATTCAATTCATGGCTTCAATCGCTGCTGGTGTACCCTTCGGTTTCGGCATGGTATTGGTATTCCTCGCGATTATGAACTACCTCAGTAAGTATAAATCTATTGTTAACAACGGTAAAGAAATGCTGACAGTTTTAACTTAGTTGATTCGTACACCATTTTCGCAGCTTCGGTGTTGGCGGCCAACTCGGTCTTGCGTTCGCTCTTCGGTGCCGCTTTTCCCTTGTTCACCACTTACATGTACCAAAACCTCGGCATTCACTGGGCATCGTCCATCCCAGCCTTCTTGGCCTTGCTTTGCGTTCCTATGCCTTTCTTGTTCTACAAGTTTGGACCAAAGGTTCGTGAGAACTGCAAGTTTGCCAAGCAATCTATGGATTTCATGAAGAATATGCAAAAACAGATGGCAGGTGGTCAAGACAAGGAGGAGGAGGAGAAGGAAGAACAAGAGGCCTTCGACTACTCCTACGAGGATGAGTCGCACGGTGACGCCGAGACGCCAAAGTTCGAGGAGATCAAGACTGGAAAGGAGAAGCAGGCACAAGATGGTGGCAGACTGTCTCGCACCTCTACCTACGAGCACTCTCCCTACGACATCGATCGTGTCAACACACGAGACTCATTCTCCAAGCCCAGATCTCGTGCTTCGAGCATTCGCCGTGGTGCTTGATCGGGATTTATTCTTGGAGGATAAGTCATACCTCTCTTTCCTAGTACTATGGACTCATGGACTTTATACAATTAGCGCGGCGTTCTGGGATACCAAAAGCTGATGTCTCCCTTTGAGCATCATATAACTCAGGCTGAAGATCTTTGACGATACCACAATAGAGCTTAGAAACATTTTAATACTTTTCCAACACTCATCTCTGTTTCCACTCTTATCACCGTGCAACTAGTTCGTCGTGTACTGCTTCTCTTATTTCCTTCATAGGTAATATTTGTAGTTGAATTCTGTTTAGCTGCTGCATATACCAACAAAAAGTCCTGATGCTGTATCCGACCGTGAGGAGGCGTCTCGTATGGATGAAAGGAACTCGGACCAGCAATCGGCTCAAATTACTCGACATGAGAAATGGCGAAGCAAGCGAAATTTGTCTGCATGTATAAGACTAGGTCATGACTCGTCAATGTGCGCGGGAGTCATCGGCATCAGATTGTATGATAAGTTAGCATTTAAGCTTCTGGCAATCGGATAGATACCGCGCTAACAGGCTCGGTGTCACAGAACATTCTCAACACTTTCGGGCACACATGGACAAGCCTAGCTGTGGCGGTGATGTGAAAGTAGTGATTGCGATAGACCATGTTTGAAGCAATGAGCTTCCTGTTGTCAAGACAGTGTGGGTGATAAGCTGGAGAAGAAGAGTGGTGTCAAGCCATCAATGTTCGGCGAAGAAGGTGGATGAGCGGAGCCAAGCAGCGGATCGGACCCTGAATGACGCTGAGGCGGTGACGACAGATCAATCAACAAAAAAATATTGCCCCAAGGGAGAAGATTCGGAGCAAGATGAGGTGATTTGGCGATTGCCGGTCAGGGTTTCGTCTCAGATTTGATACGAATAAAGCCCCGGCCTCTTCCCCATTGTTATTTCCCCAGCTAGAGTCGATACAACCATGGCCTTGACACTTCCGTTGGAGCTGCAACAGCAGATTTTTTCGTACCTGGATCCGTGGTCCTTCTATGCATGCCGGAATGTGTGTCGGTATTGGAAGCATGCCTCCAGAGATGCTGTGACGCTTGCCAATCAACTAGGACAACTGCCCATCGAGCCGACAACATGGGTCAAGAAGGTCGACTCGAAACGAAGAGAGTCTGTATACGATGAGGCGGCGAGAGCGTTGATGCTGGGCATGCGCGTCAAGGCTTCAGCTTCACCCGACGACAGCCTGTCAAGACGACTCGACAAGACCAAGCTTGCTCTCTCAAAAGATGGCAAGCGTGCAGTCTCGCTACACGATCGCACCATCACCCACTACGACACAACCTCCGCCGAACCCAGCATCATCTCTACACGCCCCATCAACGACCTCCGTACAGCAATCGGTGGAGGTCCTTGGTTTAAATGCTCCCCGACGTCCATGTACGAGCTGGCTCTTTCTTCCGACGGGCGCATGCTGGCTGTTGCCCTGGAACGCACCATCCAAATCTACGACATGAATTCGGCTGCCGACTCGTGGCCTGTGGCCTCTTACATCACCTCGGCCACTGGTCACTACATCGCCGCTCTCGACTTCGAACACCACGACAGTTTGCTACGAGTGCAGCTGAGCAACAAAGGTGTTGTTGTATATCTTGGCTCGCCGAGAGATGGCAGACCCGATCTAGAGCACTGGCAAGACAAGGGTGGCTTGAAGCACGCCTTCCTCGATGCTAGCAAGCTTTCCCTGCCACCGTCCGAACCTTTTGACGGTAGCCCGGCTGTATCGCAGCGTTTAGCTGGTCTTCAGCTCCTGCGTCCGTTCGCCAATGGCTGGCTAGTCGCTGCTCAGAAGCATGCGACAAACGTCCAGTCTGGCTCATACTGTCTGGCTTACGTTCCCTTCAGTCAAATTCATGGCCACGTCCTCACCGCCGAACGCTCTGTCACCATCCTCGAAAATCTTCCCGTACACTTATCCGAGAACATTCAGCACTTATGGCATGATCTGCCTTCGGCTCACATTAACCATCCCCATTTCGCCCTCTCGCCCAACAACTCTCTTTTGGCCATGTCCGAGAACGTCGCATCCTCTACTCCTACATCTCCTTCATTGAACCGCATTTTCCTCTACCGCTTGCCATCAACTGAGAAGCTGATGGACACCCTCGGGCCACAACACCCTCTTTTGCAAAAGCTTGAGGCTGAGCAGGAGTTCAAATACCAGATCAAGCGTCTTCCTACCAGCCTTGGCTCAATTTCTGGCAAAGTCCTCGACTTCACCTTTGAGTCTGTCGAAAGCGGTGCCAGCTCTCCACTCGCTGTCACCGCTGTCACTGATACTGGCGCAATGACCTGGACGTTGCTGGACAACTGAACAAGTCATGCGCCCGAAACTTCTCTTCTTTCTTCGCATCCACTTTGCATACTGAACTCTTACGAAGCGCTAGACTATTTTTGTATTTTTCTTTGAAAACGTTAGACGCATCATAGAAGGAACCATAAACGGCATAGACGGAATTTATAGATACCCAATACATTGTATACACACACTAAACCCTACTCCATCAATGCAACATGAGACGCCGGCCAATGCAATGCGCAAGCTGTATATCATGACATACTCATTCCACCCTTGTCCTCTTATCAGAGCATTCTTCATCTTCTTCTACCTCATTGTGCTTGCGCTTGGCACCTTTCTCGTCACCAGCAGCCGTTGTGTCGTCAAGGTCGAAAGTGTTTTCGTCCGGGTCATGCAATGCATTTACAATCTTCCTCGTACCCATGTCATCGCCCTCTATCGTCTCATTCAAGTTGGGATCTACCCAACCTTCTGTGTAGCTCCCTCCAAAGTCGATAATCCATAGCTTTTCGTCCTTATCGACCATGAAGTTGTCCGCTTTGGCGTCGCCCCATATAAAATCATGTTGGTGCAGGAGATTGACCATCTTCTCTGACTCGGAGGCCCAGCGGTCTCGTTTGGCTTGTGGAACATCCGAATCGAGGAGATGAGTTAGTGGCTCAGCTCCTTCGATGTGTGTCTGTAAGAAGCCCATAATATCAGTCCTGGAGTCTGTGAACGACACTAAGCCCTGGACTTGGGGCACACGCATCTCTTTGTGCAAGTTGAGCTTCTCGATGTCTTTCATGATTTTGAGTTCGCGTTTGGTTGGTGCGGGCTGAGCAGGATCGACAACCTTGAGGAAGTAGAGGTTGTCCTTATAGCGGACAATGGCAGGCAAAGCACCAGCATTCTCGACAATTTCCAGATCTGATGCTTGAAACCAGGGGATGCCGAGCTTCAGGATGTATTTCGGTAGAGTAACTTTAGGCAGGAGATTGTCCATCTTGAATCGTAATGCAGGTGAAGACTCAATTTCTTTTGATGTGATCTTGCCATCTGTGTATTGAATGGCGTAGAAGTGTGTCATTGGGTGATACCAGTCGTGCACGTTGATTGTCTGCATCTCGCTTCGTGAGGGAGCATGCTTTTCAATCTCGTTCTCCAAGTGCGAGAGTATCCAAGCCTGTAGTTTTTCTTCCGAGTCGTTCTCGGCTTTGTCGTTATCTTCGAGGACAATGCCGCTGTCTTTGGAAGCAACGGTGGGACTTCTAATTCCCTTCTGGCACTCGGGGCATGTATACTCGTCAATCGAAGCTCCTTCTTCTTGCGAGATGCCAACACAGTCGCCATGGAACCATTCATTACAGCTGTCACAGCCAATCATGAAGCCTCGATCAGGTCCACGACATACACAGTATCTCGGTTCCTCTCCACGGTCTGCCTTGGCTTCCTCTGATGCGCGAGGCGATCTCTTAGGCTGGTCCTGTGGTGTACCATTTTTCGCCATCTTGACCAATTCTGCATGTTCTTCTACAGCCCTGTTGTCGTCCCCCGAGGCGGCCTTCATCTTCTTGAAATCGACAAAGGCATGAAAACGTATTCCATTGGCGAGAATTGTCAAACAAGAGTCATTGTTCTTGTCGCGAAAGAAATCGAGAACATGAGCAGGCTTCGTCCTGCGTCCTGCTGAAGCTGACATTGTGTGTGGGATTTTTTATGATCCAGGGAAAACGGTAAGAATTAGGTGACAGGCAGTATAGTAGAGAGTAGACAGTATGGAGAGATCTTTTTCTGCTAAATTAACGAACAGTACGAAACACGCGACCATTTAAGGTCAAAACCACTTTACGCGCTGGACCTACCGTGAGCATCTCGCGCTCGTCATTGATATCATTTTCTCAAATCAACACATCAAAGGCGTCATGGTTCCTGATCTGCGGAAGGAAAAACGATATGGCTTCCCGATCGGGTATCACAAGTGCAAGATTAGGTTTGAGACTTGGCGAGATCTGATCTCGCGAACGTGTCATCCTCGTGATTCTCCCAGCCACATGATGATGTCGTTGCATCTTCTGCTATTCTATTCTCGATGCCATTCAACAATTGATGACAAGTTGCAGAGCTATATAATTGCCTTCTCCCTAGAGTCATGCCGCCGGAGTGCCAGCAGAATGACAACACCAGTATATGTCCTTCAGCATAACACCATCGCGAGCTATGCATCAATCAGATTGATTTGCTGGCTGCAACATATTGATGCTGGTAGCAAATCTTCTCATCAGCCAATAGCAGCTCAGCTAGCTCATCTTCATTGGTCTAGTGGTCATGATTTCCGCTTGTCAGGAGTAAAATCTCGTCAAGCGCGGGAGACCAGGGTTCGACTCCCTGATGGAGAGCACATTCTTTTGGCGAATTTTTGTCCCTCAGCTGAACACTCTGCTTTCTGCTACATAATGTTTGGCGGCTTGATTGCTGGTACTCGAGTAGAGTTCTGGCCTTTCGTGCTAGTGTGACACTGCAACAGGTGCAGTGGAGATGTTATTTTCTCTTCAACTTGCGACATACTTGTTGAGAGATGTAACAGGAGACCTATCTTTCCGCTTGTCGATAGCAGATCTTATTCAGTCATTTGACAAGCTATCAAACATTCTTTTTCTAGCATGGATTGACTTTGTGGTCGTGTAGATCTCATTGATGATATGCTTGCATTTTGTGCGATGTTTTGTGAAGTTCGGCGTGAAAATCCACGAATGTGCTTGAAGCAGCCTATTGACCAACAGTCTTCATCTTTCACGCCGCATGTCTGCTTGATCACATGTAAAACAAGTCTGCAAGCCTTAACAGCTATACAAACATTCGGTAGTCTGTGTAGTTATCTGATTTGCGTGTGGATATGCATTTAGATAGTTGAAGTCTGGGGAACCCTGCCCTGGACATTCGGCTACAAGACAAGTTGGCATCCTCAGGCTTCCATGCTGCTACGGCCGTTGTCCTTCCTTGTCTACTGATCTGATACCGTTAGGGTAGACTCAATCATGCGCAGATGTCAGTTGTGCGAAAATCTCGCTTCTCGCCTCACCTTTACCAAGGTCTTGTGATTATTGGACGTAGATCAGTAGGCTGACTTACCATGTGAGCAGTTGAGTTTGGATACAGTACGAGGAGACTTTGCGGCCTGGAAAAGGAAGTCGACAAAAGTGGTACATTAATAGTCACCTTGTGGATGCAGAACTGCAGAGTATCGTTGTCGCTCACGGAGACTGGTTATTTAACGCGTGCTCGCAGGCGTCAATTACCACTAGCACATCTTGTTATGCAGTAAGTCAGCTCATCTAAGAAGTGAAAGTCTAAGAAAGCGACAAATATACCAATTGACAAGGGCAAAGAACGTGTGTAGTCTGACATTTCCACATGACCTGCAGCCCCTTGTACTTCGTTTGGGCGTTGCGCCTCAGCCTGCGACGACGACTCTCCACCTTCCAGCGGCTGTGTACCTCGAGTCGAATACTGCTAGCACATGCCGACGCGTTATACGCCAAAGACATGGCACACAACGATGGGTGAAGAGTAAATTAAAAACTTCTTCTCCAGGCCAGGATTGGCTGCAGAAAGTTGGCATGAATACGTCACTACCAAGCGCTGGTGTAGTTTCGTCTCGGCTCTGGGTGAGTCTGCCCTTGTGTTCACGACAACACACCAGACACAAGAAGCTGTATATAAGGAAAGGTTAATCTGGTCAGCTCATATGCATTTTTTTTCCATAATCCATCCCTTCTTCTTGTTTCTGCAAGTCTCCATCATGGTTGCATCTTTACCCTTCAAGCTTGTCAACGACACCAATTCGGACAATGTCTGGGCCTATATCACAGGCATCAACATTGCTGACGGAAGACGTGTTCTGTTACAAGCAGACGGCAAGACCCTCTACTTTCCGGAGAATCCGCCTGCCATTGGATCACCGCTAGCTCAGGACTGCGCCATACCACTTGGAAAGCCAGGAAACTCCGTCACAACCACTGTACCTCAGATTGCTGGTGGCCGTGTATGGTTTTCAATTGACAGCAAGCTAACCTTCCTCTTGAACCCTGGACCAGCTCTTGTCGAACCCTCTGTCCTGAACCCTAGCGATCCGAACGCAAAGGTGAATTTTGGATTCTGTGAATTCACGCTGAATGACGCTCAGCTGTATGCGAATATCAGTTATGTTGACTTCGTGTCCAACGCTCCCATTGCCATTACTCTGGAGAATTCAGCTGGCACAATACAACATGTATCAGGCATGCCTGCGAACGGTCTTGAAGGAGTGTGCGCCGACATGAGGGCTCAGACACAGAAAGACGGAAAACCATGGGACAGACTGATCGTTCAGATCAACGGACAAGACTTCCGTGTCCTCAACCCATCTCACGGTGATGCTGTTGGAGCAAGTTTTGCAGGATATTACGAGCCCTATGTCGAGGAAGTTTGGAACTATTACAGCACTGATTCCAGAAACTTTACGCTCAACACCCAGGCAGGCCCTGGTGTCCTTGATGGAAAGGTCTCGAACAATCAATTGCTCATTGGCCAAGAAGCATTTGAGAAGCCAAGCACAGCAGATATCTTTGGATGTAACAGTGGTCCCTTCACTACCGGCCCAGACGCAACTCGCAACGCGATTATCCCTCGTCTCGCCGCTGGTTTCGTGCGTACTACTCTAGTGTCTCAGACTCAACAGCCATCGGACTCTTCCACCTACTACCAATCCGATCCCACCGACCACTACTGTCGTATTGTACACGACCACAACCTTGACAAGAAGGGCTATGGTTTTGCGTACGACGATGTGCAGCCAGATGGTGGAGAAGATCAGTCGGGCAAAGTCAACGATGGTTCACCAGCTCTTTTCACGGTTGCTGTAGGAGGCCAACATGCCTACGCCGGAAACACACCTCCTGCTGAAGCTAGCAGAGTTGTGGAAGAACAGGCCGAGCCTGCACCAGTGGCTGAATCTGCTCCTGCTCCTCAAGAAAACGGACAGCAACAGCCGATGCAAGAAAGCCGTCCACCAATTCCGCAGCGCAAGAGCAGAGGACTTCGTGGCAAGCTCAGTGGCTGGAAGAAGAAGTTCTTACAGTAGAACTCAACGACACGAATACTTGTGCCAGCCTTTTCTTTTTGATACCACATTCTGTACAGATTGCATATTTCTAGTTGTCCTCGAATCCATCTATGATCGATTGTTCCTCGTGCGCCGAATAACATGACACGTGCATTCATAGCACCTTCGAGTTATTGTTGAGTGAGAGTGAAAGTAAGTGCGTGTGAAAGAGAGAAACCAAACGAAACTGGTGTTGATGAGCATATTGTCTGAGTCTTGGCACGACGGAAACGCGAACGTGAATGTTTGGAAGCTCGTACCGATTCTGGTCACGATCACATACCAATTCTTTCACAAAACTACACGGCAGTGACCTTGATACGCTGCTGGTCATCCGTTGCAGGCACTTCCGTTATCAATTAAATTGCCAGAGGGAGCAACCACAATGGCGCCTATAACAAGGAAAACCGCCAACTCTGGCGCATTCAAGCCTGTCCATCGCAAGGTACAACTTACAAGCTATTATTTACGCGCCAGCTCTGACCCAATCTTGGAATCTCCAGGGCTCTCAGACCAACACAAACCCCTTCGCCGATGTTGCCCGCACGAATGGCTACTCGACAACACAGGTGCATTCTCCTGCCGCTCTCTCTGCCTCGACCTATCGACTGACTCGATCTCTTCAGAACTCTGCTAGCAGCGGCAGCGCCCTCGTACCTACTAGCCAACTTATCGACCAGATCAATCCCTTGCGCGACATGGCAGACCGCGTCGGTCGTGAAGTCGATCACTTTGCAGAAACTCTCGACAGATTCAATTCTCGTCTACATGGTCAGGACGCATACCGTACCGCCATCGACCTCACTCTGGAGTACACGGATTTCGCAAGCACCATGGTCAACAAGTTGAAGAAACGTCACGATGCTCAGCGCGTCAACGAAATGAAAAATGAATTCGGCAAGAGGATCACCCAATCTCCTATCAGAAGCTCTAGCCTTTCTGGCGTTGTGGGCCCTGTCACTCACAACGATGGCGACGAAGACATTCCCGCCCAAACTTCGCTCGACACATTGAGGCAATGGCAAACCGAACTCGACACCTGGGAGCTATTCCGCATCATGCTCGAACTACGATACTCACCTGAGAAGCAGGCTCGCCAGCAAGAGAAGGAAGCTAGGCTAGCAGATCTGGGCACACCAAATACATACACATCAGACTCGGACATTTGGGAACGCTTTACCTTGGACAACGATTCAGCAAGAGAACGGCATCTTGTCCTGAAATGGCTACAAGGAGCTGCCAATCACGGTGAAAGTGACATCGAAGCCATCGCTGAAGAGTTGGAGAAGAAGTCGGGCAGAGGAACAGGTATCTGGTTTAATGGCTGGATGGAGACTCGTGAGAGAATCAAAGGAGCGAAAAGAATGCGCGTCTTTTCAACGGCCTCATCCGATATGCTCGACGTGAAGCGCACTCACAGCAACGAACCCCTAGTGTCTTCTCTGGACCCGGATGCACCAACTCGACAATACCGTGTCTTGGAGAAGGCAGACGAATATTCAGAAAGAGCTCTTTGGATGACTTGCTGGGAGATGCTAAGGCGTGGCCGCTCATGGAACGATATCTGCCAGTGGTGCTCCGAACACAACCAAAGCTGGCGCGCTGTAAGCATGGCCGTTTCTGCCGACTCGGACGTCGACATGGCTCTTCCAGGTGGCTCGGCTGGTTCACTTTGGCGACGCATGTGCTACGCCCTGACACAACAAACAGGTCTGGATGAGTACGAGGCTGCTGTCTATGGTGTGCTCAGTGGTGATCTAGAATCAGTCAAGCGTGTGTGCCAGAGCTGGGACGACTACATCTTTGCTCACTACAATTCCCTTCTGGTCGGGCAATTGGAAGAATATTTGCAGAAGAGCTTCCCTGAGAAGTTTGCGTCTGGTACTGCCACAAAGTTCCCACTCTTCGACTCTCTCAGGCACCACGGCGACCAACAGGATGTTGCTCGAAATTTGATCAGGCGCCTCAACGAGCAATCTTCCACTTCGCAGGAGGCCAGGAAGCCTCTCAAGTTGCTGCAAGGCAGTCTCGTTGCAGACAATTTCGCCGACTTGTGTAAGAATCTTGCGACAGCCATCTCGGACGCTGCCTGGTACCAAACCACTTCGACCACTATAGTCCCCTTGCGTACGGCTGTCTCTCCAGATTCTCAACGAGAGAGCGTCATCTTCAATGATTACGATGCTCTACGTATTGTTACTCACATGGTTTTGATGCTACGTGAGTTCCACGAGCCTCTTTCAGACATCAAGTCCGACCCTGAAGCCCTTGACAACATCATTGCTGCTTACATTCAGCTTCTGCGTGCGGCTGGTAGATGGGAGCTCACATCAGTCTACGCATCGAGAATGTCGCCCACTCGCGGTACCAAATCACTCGCACAAACCATGACCGACGTACAAGACCTCCAAGAGAAAATGCACTTTACCAAGCTCATGTCGACCTACGGCATTGATCCTGTTGCTGTCCTGACCGAACAGGCCAAGTATCTCATGGAAGAAGTTCTACCGAAAAAGCCTGCTGGGCAGGAGAATCTGAAAATTATCGAGAGTACCAAGGAAGATCTTTACCCTGGTCAAAGAATCAAGCTGAACTTTGCGGAAGAAGGAAAAGGTGGCGAGGGTATTGCCGACCACCTCGCCGTTTTCCATCTCATGGATGGTCATTGGGAGGTTTCTTTCCAGACATTGGCATATGCCTGCAGAAAGCTGTTGCGTAAGTTGCGAATATCTCCTGTTACTAATCAAGCATGCTAACAGTTTGCAGTCAATGGGTGCTTCCAAGAGGCCTCACGGTTGGTTGATCAACTCTCTTTCGAGCTACTCTGTACAGCAAAATCAAGGACAATCCTGGGCACATCGGTCAACGTGATGGATCGTGAAGAGACCGCGTTGCTCCCCCAGGATGCCGAACATGCAGCAAAGCTACGTGTCCTTCAAAAACAATGCAGAGGATACTATGAGCTCAGTCTGCTGGTGAAGGCTGTTGATGCCCTTAATGCCTGGAGGACGGTAGAGCATGATTATGCCACGTGAGTATTGGTGATCTTGCCAATATCTAGCCCTACTAACTGCGCATCTAGTAAGGTTCCACGACCCAGTTCACTGCCGGCCAAGGTCAAGACAACTTTCGAGGATACTTGCGCTGCAATCGAGCCTGTGCTAAGTGGTATTCTCATGCATGCAAAGGATGGTACGCAAAATTTCTATGCTCCAAAACCAAGATCCCGACTGACTCAAGCAGATGATGAAGCCGCAGACTTGGCCAAGATTCGTAACTGGTACCTGCCCGAGGTTGTCCTCGCATACAACACAGTGCTTTGCGCCGGTGCTCACATGATCAGCCGCGATCATCTCTTAAGGAGCATGGAGCTGGCAAACGATGTTGCCAACGACAAGACGGGCCTGGCTGAGTGCTTCATGGAGTCTCGACGTATGCGCGAGCTGGTCGTTGCATTCGCACAATCCAGTGAGACTATGCTGAAGTTGAACGAGATGAACCAAGGCAAGCGCGAGAGGAAGAACAAGGCAGGCAAGAACCTAGACATCTGGGAGATCAAGGCGTGAAGAACCATCTCCGCCCGGACCTGTATTTTCCACAAAGATCGAGTACATAGGCAGCTGCCATTATCAGGGAATGATGGTCCGTTCGTGTGTATCAGAAGGCTCTTTGACAGGAAGGCGCTCTGAAGATCTGAAACACACGGAGGACGAAAGGTGGGGCTGAATGTCAAACGTGGGGTAGTTTAGCTACAGTGATGACATCTGACGTTCACGCCCTTGGAGAGACAACAATAGCGGAGCACAGATTACGACACATTTTTGCATTCGTCGCCATTATCACATAAGCACCGAACTGTATAAAACAAAGTCCTCAATCGCAGGAAAGAAGATCAATCACAGCGTTCATCATCAGCTTTAGTGTCATTTGCTTGATCATCACCAAACCCCAACTAACCACTGACCATGTCAAAAACAATCGAAGACAATGGCTGGACAGCAGTTCCAAGAAGCCTCGAGAAGCTGCTCGCCAACCGCAAGAACCCCGAGTCAAAGGCAACACCGCTTCGAGTCGAGGACATGCCATTGCCCAGCAGCCCTGTCGTGGACATCACTGTAAAGCATGCAAGAGATCACCTGCCAAAGCAGACCTTCAGCCACAGCATGCGCGTCTACTACTACGGTGCGTTCGTGAATCACTACAACATCACTCAATGCTGTCAAAGCGTCACACACGACAACCACTGACACAATGACATGCACAGGCCAGGCAATCGCCATGCAGCACTTTCCCGAATGGCGCTACAGCCCAGAGACATACCTGCTCGCCAGTCTCCTCCACGATATCGGCACCACAGACACAAACATGTCTTCCACACAGCTGAGCTTCGAAATCCAAGGCGGCATCAAGGCACTGAATCTCTTAACTCAGCACGGTGCATCTCGATCAACTGCTGAATCCGTGTGTGAGACTATCATCAGACACCAAGACGTTGGCGAAACTGGTAATATTACCACTTTGACTGCTGTGATACACTTTGCGACGTTACTCGACAATGTTGGTGCGAACCCAGAGCTGGTGCATAAAGATACAATCGAAAATGTTGTCAAGGCTTGGCCGAGGGAGGATTGGACTGGATGCTTTGCTGCTACTGTCAGGAAGGAGACGGAACTCAAGCCGTGGTCACACACGACAAAGATTGAGGGCTTTGCTGAAAAGGTAGAGGCGAACGAGACGATGCGTCCTTATGACTAACGAGAGTGATCGAACCTGTTGTTGAAGATTGATGACCAATGCTTTTGGAGGCATATTCACACAGTATGACTGGTTTGCGGGATAATGATTGTGGTAATGACAGAGAGAAACCTCTATTACTCAAAGGTGTGCATTTTTGTAGCTACACTTGTTGATCCATCCTTCTTTGGGAGGAATGATGGAAGAAGAAAAGAAAATAAGGCTATATATACATTAACTTGAGAGCGTGACTTTTGCCCAAGTATATGGTAGAAGATGGGGTGTTCTTAGAAAGGAAGACCAGAAGAGCAAAGAACGCCAGTCATGTATGCGATGATACTGGTTTATGTTGACAAAGGAAAAGAGAAAAACAAGGAAATAATCATGATCTCGGAGCAGGCTTCTTGACGCTCAACTCGACTTTGCTGTACCATGCAGCACCGAGAAGAGTGACCAGCATGCCGGCTCCATTTTCGGGTCCAACGCGGACATTGAAGAGAACGATGCCGAGAAGAATTGTAAGGCATTGCTTGAGGTTGCCGCAAACGCTCAATGTTAGGGCACCAGCAAGCTTGTTTGTTTGGAAGGAGGTAACGTTGAGCATGAAGGCGAGGATGCCGTTTCCGAGCAGAGCGAGAACGACTGAAGAGGTAAGACCACCCTCAGCGGTGAACTTGGTGAAGTTGGCGACTTCTCCGGTGCAATATGCGTAGACGAGCGACTGAACGGCGGCGAGGGGGGACATGCGAAGGAGGAGTTCGAGGGCGGGGAGCTTGAGGCTGCCGGTCAGGAGACGGTTGGTTGCGACGGTCTAGTGAGGTTGTCAGTAAAGATACAAATGCATTCAAGTCGAGATGTGGGATCTTACCTTGATTGCAGCAAGGAAGACACCGAGGAAGGTGAGGGATGCGCCCATGAGAGAAAAGTAGTAGTCGCCGTATGTGCTAAGTCCAACACCGAGGACGATGGGGATCAGAGCCATGTATGTAGCCTTTGCGTAGGAGCGGCCATAAAACCAGCGGTAGATCAGAATGGTTGCGACAGGGCAAGTCGAGCGGGCGATCTGGTGGAAAGGAACGGAGACCATCTCCAGCGAGACGTTGGAGATGGCAATGTTGATGGTGAAGAGGACAGAGAATGCCACCAGGACATAGTTGTCTTGTCGTGTGAGGTATGAGAGCTTGATGTGGCCTGCGAGCAGGAGCGCGTAGCATCCGACCGCGGCGCATGTAGCGTGCAATGTGGTCATGAGCCATGGGAAGGCAAACTTGTCGAGGACGGCCTTGTTGTATAGCGTGAGGCCCAAGTTCATGGCGAAGTATAATCCGAGACAGATCATCTTGACCCGAGTCGACACAGAGTACTCAGCGCCTTCCTGTGCGCTCTTTGCTTGTGTCTGTTCCTCGACTATTGCCTGCTTCTCGACGTCGTCATCATCGCCCAGCAGCTTTTGGCGCTGCTCTTCATGGTAGTCGCTGAATTCAGACTCGTCCATGGACAGTTGTGGTTGCTTCTCGGAAATAGAAGCCATGATTGTAGTTTGTGAATAGGGAGAGCAAGGTATGCGGCAAAGTCAAAAGGCCAAAGTAGCGGATGCGTTTGGGAAGACAAGTAGTTGGATACGGGCCCGGTACGAGGGACGATGTGATACGAAAGTTTCTCGCAAGCCTCAGACAGCCTACCCAAGCCAATATATCATCAGATAACCGCCCTCAGACCTACGTAGTCATGTCATGCGAAGGGGGCCGCATGCAGCCGCCCCTCTCTAGAAGCGTTCAGTGCCAAGCGTCGAATCGCAGCAGAATATGATACAAACAAGGCCTCTCACGAGCCCAAAGTCGACAGTTAACAAGGGGGTAATTAGCATTCATTTCTTGAATGAGGCATAAGGCCATCTAGTCCAACGTTCTGCCACCTTCCAGCTGACACCGTTTCACAAATTCTTGACCGTTGCATCCCAACTCAGCTATATGTTATTGTCCGTTGGAAAGGAGTTGCACCATGACTACAAAACCATCGACACCCCAGTGGCCAAGAAGCGAAGGATCGGCTCACGGAAAATATCTTGACATCGCCTATCATGGTGGGGTCTGTGGAGATTATTGCGCCAAAGCACCAAGGGTTTTGTTTGAGAATTATCTTCTCTTCCGCCTTCCGAAAGTCAACCGCGAGATCGGCGTCCTCACGTGTCCTGGAGAGTTAAACCTCCTATCAATATATCAAAACGTTCATAACGAGGATCCTACAAGCTCAGCTGCCCACCCACCTGATGGTGTGAGGCTGAAGCAAAATCACACAATTCCTCTACCCATAGATGAAACGCGCACTGAATCGATTTACGTGAGTCCGCGTATACACCCGGAGGCACGGTCTTGTCATTGCCGCGACCGGAAAATAAGCAGTCCTATCTCCACTGTCTGCAGAACGCCACAGGCTTTTGGCGTTCGTGGCTGGCATCCACCCCGAGAGCTAATCAGGGCCACTTCATCAGATTGCTGGGTATCAATTTATCCATCGAACATGGATACGCATGTTTGACCTTCTGCAAGCGGCAGTCCTAATCCGCAATCCTCGGCTCCTCGGCATAAGCATGAGCATGGATCTTGAGTTCTTGAGCTGCATTACCATATCAGATCGCATAGCACACCATGCCCAGCAAGGTATGTGCTTGGCTATCCCGTACCCATGCAGAATCATGTGCAACCTACGAAAATGCAGATGTTGGTTCGAACCAGACAAGGTCCACGAAACCTGGGCGATCGACAAGTCAGCAGATGTTACTCGTTCGCTGGCGGCACCCTATCCTTGGAAGTACACCTATACGCGTCACGTCTTGGATCATGGATGAATGTAACAGAGACTGCAGTTAGGTACTTCAAGCGCATGGCGCTGATCAGAATCATCAGATTGATCGAATAACTATTACAAGAACGTGTGTATAGACATGATTGAAACCCACCCAACCAAAACTCCCAGAAGTGCTCTCTAGTTTTAAAACCATGCCGTGATCATGTCCCAAGACGGAAATAGTAAAAAGGAATGCCAGAATCCTTTGTAGATTATTATTGGAACGAGTTGCCTCTGCCGATGCACTCGACGCGGAAGCCCAACCGTTGCAACTTGCCAGCGTCAATCACTCTACGGCCGTCAAAAACGAATGCTGGACGTTCCATGATGTCGAAGATCTGTTCCCAATCGACCTTGGTGTTTTGTGCCTCGGCGTGCTTGAGGGCGGTTTTGGGGCTGTAGCGCTCGCGTGCAGATCTGTCCGCAGGTGTCATCTCCATTTCGTTGTCAGACGAGTGCTCTGAAGCGACAGGACTGGGCAACAATTGCTGAGCGTTCTCGGTACCAGTCTTCTTAGCAGGGACAACATCCTTGTTGGAGAACTCGTCCCACTCGGTGAGGACAATGACGGCGTGAGACTCTGAAGCACAGTCGTATGGGTTTTTGGCGATCGAAACGTACTTCTCAACGTCATCAATGTGGCAGCCGTTGATGTCGAGCTCCTCCCAAATCTGTGCCTTTGTGACTTGAGGGTCGTAAATGCAGACCTTGGCTTGCTCGGCGATAAGATCCTTGACAACAGAGATGGCGGCACTCTCACGAGTATCGGCGGTGTTCTTCTTGTATGAGAAACCGTAGACAGCAATCTTCTTGCCAGTCAGAGTTCCATAGAGTGTTGAAACGATACGCTTAGTGAAGCGAGACTTCTGCCATTCGTTGATAGCGACAACAGACTGCCAGTAAGCGGCGACCTCGGGGAGATGCAAGGTTTCGGCCATGTATGAAAGGTTGAGCACATCCTTGCGGAAGCAGGAACCTCCGAATCCGACTGAGGCTTGCAGCATGCGCGAGCCGATTCTGCTGTCCAGACCTGCGGCATATGCAATCTCGCCAACATCGGCACCAGTAGCCTCGCAGATTGCGCTCAGGGCGTTGATACTGCTGATACGCTGAGCCAGCAGTGCGTTGGCAGCGAGCTTGGCAAGCTCCGAGGACCAGATGTTTGTCTTCAAGATGTTCTCTTTGGGTACCCAGCTGCCGTAAAGGTCTGCCAGAACCTCTGCTGCCTCTAGACCGCTGGGTGTTTGCATGGAACCAATCAGAATACGGTCGGGTCTCATAAGATCGGCCACAGCGGTACCCTCAGCCAAGAACTCGGGGTTCGACAGGATCTCGAAGTTGAGGCCGGGCTTGCCAATGGCCTTGAGAATCTCTCTCATGTTGGCAGCAGTTCTGCAGGGAACAGTGCTCTTCTCGACGATGATGGTATCTTTCTCGGCTTCGGCGGCAATCATACGGGTGGCAGATTCGAAGTAGGCCATGTTAGGAGCCTTGCCAGCGCCAATACCGGCGGTCTTTGTAGGAGTGTTGACACAGATGAAGACAATGTCGGCACGCTTGATGGTTCCTCTGACATCGGTGGTGAAGAAGAGGTTCTGAGGGCGGACTTCAGCATCACGAGCCTCCTTGACGACGGGTAGGAGACCAGGCTCGTAGATGGGGAGGGCGTCTGAGTTCCATGCTGCAATACGGGTCTCGCTCAAGTCGACAACGCTGACCTCGACGTCGGGGTTCTTGAGTGCAAGGACAGCACCACTGGGACCGCCCTGTGTTATAGGAAGTCTTGTTAGCCACGTTCGGTAGACGGCCTCGTGGCAGCTCGTATTCAGATAAGTTTAACTTACGACGAAGCCGGCGCCGATGAAGCAAACGCTCTTCACGGGACCCATCATGTAATGTGCTGTTAGAGGAATGAAAGAATGTGGAAAAGTGAGCGAGAGTGATGAAGGAGACGGGAGTTTATTCGAAGCAAAATGTAAACACTAAATAAGTAGTCCTTTGGCAATACTAAGTTATGGGCAGCCCTTCGCTTGGATGGCTTGGCCGGGAGAGCTGCAGGGGAAGCGCCGTTGATCATCCATGCTACACAATATGGCGGCGGCACAAGATCCTTTACCCGTTAGAAAGGGGATGAGGCTTGGAAGCTGGACATCAACGTTTGCCTGCACACATTCTTGCCGACCACGCGACTCAATCGTCAACGATCCTACGACACGTAAGAGCCGACTTGCCAGGCAAACCTTCAACCATTACACCACCATGTATCGTGTATCGGACGACATGGATCCCTCGTACTCGGAATACTTGTACCTTGGCGTAAGGCTAAACCTTGAAATCATGATATGTACCAACGTCTCGTCTCTTCCGAGGGCACAAGAGTCAAGAATCGGTCGCATGAGAAGCCGGTCCGCTTGTGTGGTTATTAGCCTGACTCGCCCAGTGCCTTGGCACTTGGCGTACACCGTTTGGCGTCCCCTTTTATCTTTAGTGCTCAGAGCCGCTGTCGGGCTTCAGCTACACGCTGAGTAGGAACAACAGTATCCACTTGCCAGCTCGACCTCTATAGTGCTATGTAACCGCACGATAAGGGAGCCCCTGTCAGCTTTCACGCGATCGTCCTTGACAAGTCTCCAAGTACCATTTTCGCCTAAGGGTCTAGTTATCCACAATCCACCGGTGCTCGATTCTCAGAACTTGATCCCCTTGCATCCTAAGTCGACTATTCATGCGCCTCTGAGAGTGCGCGTCCTTCTTCTTTTTTTTTTGTTTTGCTATCACCATGGCTTTCTCATCACTGTCCAGGTCCGACATGTCATTGAGTGATATGGGACGCTCGATGTTAAGACCGAGGTGGATCGTTGGTTTCGCTGTCCTCCTCGTAACTTTAATCACACTGTTTACACACACGGCATCTCGCTCAGTCGGCGGTCTGGTCGGTTCAATCAGCACTTCAGTAAGTGCCCTGCACACTCACCACGACACTCAAATTCTTACCACGCTACTAGAAACCCTCAACCTCTACAACCTCCACTTCATCAGCCAGCAATGGCAAGGCTGGTCTCCACTACCTCATCCCTGCAACAAGTAGCAACAGAGATTTCTGCAAGCTCCTCCTCTCCTCCACCATCCTCGACTATCCTACGCCCGTCTTGATCAATTGGGGAGCCCATGAAGAGGCCAATCCGTACAAGCAGCATCTCGCCAAAGTCGAAACTCTGCTTGCTTACATGAAGAGGCTGAAGCCCATCAGCAAGGAAGACGATTTGGTTCTCATTCTGGACGGCTACGACGTCTGGTTCCAATTGCGACCAGACGTCCTGCTCAAGAGATATTTCGAAATGAACGCGAACCTCGACCAGCGAACCATTCAGGCATATGGTCAAGACGCTTTCGACCAGGGCGATCACCGTACCACCGTCATTTTCGGCCCAGACAAGATCTGTTGGCCCATCGACTTCAGTCGCCCCGCGTGCTGGGCTGTCCCTCATACTGGCCTGTCCTCAACCGCTTTCGGCCCTGAGGAGAACGATTTCAGAGAGACACATAATGAGCCTCGATGGTTGAACTCGGGAACAATCATGGGACCCATCCAGGACATGATTGACGTCTTCCAAGCTACCCTCGACCTGATCCACTACAACCACACCACAGACTCGGATCAATTCTACTTTGCCAATGTATTTGGCGATCAAGAGTTTGCTCGTCTGTCTCTGGATCAAGATGTTCTCGAGAAACAGGCCAAGGAGAAGTATAGAGAGGAGTTCCAGAAGGAAGAGGATCCTCCTCGCCAGATCCCTCAATTCCACGAAGGACAGAGAACCGAATATCACATTGGCATCGACTATTTCTCGGCCATGTTCCAGACTTTGGCCTTCTACAAACAGTACCTAGCCTGGATTCGTCCAAGTGACTCGTGGGCAACCAGAACGAACGACGCTGGTGATGTTTCTCAAGAGAGATACGGGTTCAAGGTGGCAGAGGACATTTCTTCTTCACTTTCACCCTTCGCCGCATTCGAGGCCTCGCCGCCTTTATTCAACAGCTCGGTGGAGTACCCCAAGTCGTGGGAAGATGTCAACCTCTGCGTCAACACAGTCACTGATCTGGCCCCCGTCACGCTGCATTTTACTGGCGAGAAAGCCTTGCGTGAATTATGGTGGGACAAGCTATGGTTTCATGAAGACGCTGAAGAGCTTCGCAAAGCTAGTCTGAGATTGCCTGACCGGCCCATCAGCGAGGAACCTATTGCAGGCAAGACGTGGTACAAGATCGAATCTAGTGATCCAGAGGCAGGAAAAGGAGGAGCATGGGCTGACAATGGCGGTTGGCACTCATGGACCAGTCTCTGCAAGACATATGAGGATGAAATCTTCCCTCGAAAAACATTCAAGAAAAAGGGACCTCATCAGCACTCCTAGAGATTGACTGATTGTCCTGAAGTACATGCAAAAATAATACAGTATCTTAATGCATCAAGTAATCTCGGGTGACTACCTACCCAATTTGGTTCTGTCCTGCGTCAAAGGAGGAACATGTCTCGAGGGTTTCGGTCGCTCTTCCGATACTCGGGGGTTTCGCCATGTACTACTCCGTAACGGCGTTCCTATTAAAAGGTGGCTTTTTTCAGCTGGAGGGTAGACATGGATAGACTTGCATAAGAACGGGCGGTGGCAATTTTGTTAGCGAGTATCATGACAACCCTTGTCTAAAGGGGCTCCCGACCAGTAGGCTTATGAATAGTTTTATTTCATTTTTTTTGGCCGCACGGCTCATACTAATCGGCGCCCGCAGGAAGCGTCGACTCGTCCGCGCGCCGTTTTTTGCTAAGTACACTGATCTATTACTTAGGGAGTCAGGTTCGCACACGCGCGCGAAACACAAGTGTCCTGACTCTCTTTTACAACAAGACCGCCGTCCAGGGGTTCTGTGATTCCTTCCGTCTTTTGCTTGCGATATCCATTCTTTTGTTTTATCTCGATTGGATTTTGTTTTTCAGAGTTTCGACCCCTTCGTGACGACCGACTCACGATGGTTCAAGGTATCATGAATAAGCTCAAGCAAAGCCTGTGGCAAGGCAGTGGGCCAAATTATGAGCGGGTTGACCTTGAAGATGGTTTCGAGAAAGAGCACACCACCAAAACACGATCTACACGACACGTCAAACCGGTGATCATAATCCTTGGATCCTTACTCGCCATTTTCGTATTTCTATCTTCGGTATGTGACTTTGCATCCTTTTGATATTTTCTTTTGACCAACCTAACAACATAGGGTGGCCATGGTTCTGCCAGAACCATCGTTTCCTCGAAGGAGGCATTGCTACCACCAGCTTACCTCCGGATGCTTTTCCCGGTGAGGCATTCCGATGCCAATTATTGCAAAACTGTTCTTAGTACCGCCATTCTGAACTATCCGGAGCCAATATTGATAGGATTCGCGGGTAAGAAGGATGAGAAGGAGGACGAGAATGCTGACTCCACTCTGGACTTGGCTCAACGCATTTCTCGCAAGACCAGTATCCTTGGCATCGACAAGTATCTCAGGAACACCTCAACAACTTTCGACGAGGATCTGGTTATTATTGCCGATGGGCTAAATACCTGGTTTCAATTACGTCCCCAAACACTTCTTGACCGCTACTTTGAATCGAACAGAAATGCGGACGAGCGCATCAGAAAAGAACTCGGCGTGAATGCTGACGTCCTAGGCATTCGTCAGAAAATCATCTTCGGTGCACAAAGAGACTGTTCACCCTGGAGCGCAGAGGATCCAGCTTGCGCAGCAGTGCCCGAATCCACACTGCCCAGCAACATCTATGGCCCTCAGACTGATGCTGACGCTGGTGAGGGAAAGGACCCTTTCACCAAGCAGCGCCCACGATACATAAACTCAGGCTTCGCGATGGGTCCCGTCAAAGAATTGCGCAAGCTCTACGCTGAGGCCGCAAAGCGCGTTATGGGCGATCAGCATCTTCAAGACGAAGGCAAGGTTCTTGGTCAGCTTTTCGCCGAGCAAGAGATGGCTCGTGTATCCTATAAAAAGTCATCAGCCTCGTGGTTCTCGTCGGTCTGGGAGAGTGCCAGTGCAGCCGAGGATAGAAAGGCACAACAGTTGAGAGAGACTGATCTCTCACGAGAGTACGGAATCGGCTTGGATTATGCCAGTGGACTCGCCTTCGAGACTGCCCACGCCGATGGCGATATGGAGTTTGTCAAGTTTGGCGATGCAGCATCTGTGCATGCAGCCAACGCTAAGCACGGCATCAGCGATAGTCGGATCAACCAAATCGCGCCTGATGTTGGTTCATCTTTGCCGCCATTTTGGACTTACAGTCAGGAAGTCCTTCCTCCCCGCAACACATCGTGGACAAATGTGTCTCTCCTCACCAATGCCTGGACTGGAGTCACACCTGCTGTTATCCAGCACGACATGAACAACTATCGCAGTGGCTCGCCGCGCGAAACATGGTGGTCCTACATGTGGTACCAAAAGTATGCGCGCAAGTTGTTCGATGTCCATATTCAAATGCCTATTGGCCCCGTCGCCGTCTCTGGCTACGACGCTTCTTCTCGCCGACAATGGTGGGGCGATGATGACTGGAAAGGCGGCGCAAGGAACGAGACCAAGTACTGGTGGAGATATGAAGATGTGTGTGGAGGAACAGAGAACGAAGTCTTCAAAGACAACAAAGGTCCGTGGTACCTTCCATCCAATCATTAGGGTCGCATATATCGTGCCCATGTATTTGCATTTGTGAATGTTCAATTTTATGTTCAAGTTTATACACCGACTTTTCACGATCATGTTATTTTGCGAGCATACCAGAGAGATATAGCTCTAAGCTTTCATGTGGGCTCGAGAGCCCTCGTTGCAAATTGTAGTTGTGTATACATTTCGTGATATTACTTCTGCTACTCTTGCGTTCTGTATGACGGCGCCACTGGACTACTGCCATACCATTCAGTGGAAGCTGTTGACGCCGAATCAAGGTCATTTGTGTTGATGCGCAATTTTCTGCTGGTATCAGGTAACTCAGCTCTGTGCTCAGCTGGCAGTTCTACACGGCTCCCCTCAGGCAGTTCCAGTATCCGTCCATCAGGAAGTTCGACTAAGATCGTGGCCGGTAATGCAGCTGGCATCTCGACTCGGGCGCTATCGGGAAGCTCGGTACGAGAAGAAGTGGTATCTGGCGCCTCTGCATGTGAGGGCACATTGGGGACTTCTACTGCAGCTGGAGCTGGTGAGGCAGTGTCCTGTAACTCAATAGCATCTGAATCAGCATCAGGCTCGCTGGATTCTGTCTTCGAACCAGCATCACCAGCCTCAACATCGTTGGAGCTGTCAAGGTTACGTTGTTCTCGTGACATTCGCCGATGAACATGTACTTCCCAGATCTCCAGCAAGAATAGGATACAGTGTAGAACACCCAAAATTAGGCAAAAGCACCAAAGCACCCGAAAAACCCCTTCTCCTCTACTGAATATCCCGCGAGGCCAATTGGGGGAGAATTGCATATTCAAGACCAGGTCCGTGACTAGTAGCAAGCCAGTAACAAGGTCCAGAGACAGCAACCCTCCAGGATTGATAGTAACCTTCCTTCGCAAGAGAAACAAGAGCGTGATTGCCATCGCACTGGTCACGAATGATAGCAGTGGCTGTTGATTATGATAAGCTTGCTGTGTCTCGTTGTGCTTAGCTGATCACTTACAGCTACGATGAAAAGTACGCTGCCGAGATACATGGTATCGACATTGTAAGCTTCTGACCAATCACTGTACAAGACGGCGAACACGATCAAGTCTGTTACGGCAGCGGCGATGGTCAGCCAACGAAGGGCAGACCTCAGGTACCAATATTTGTTGTAGCCACCCGAGATGTAACGCCATCTAGCAATACCTTTGGCGTGTCGTATTGGCGTAGTCATCCTGCGACCTGCGAGGATCCAAGTCCTCGTAGTGCGCTTCGTATTCCTGTTTGGCGGTCAATTCCCAGAGGTGTGGAGAAAGAGGACAAAAAGAGTGCCCGTATGCTTAGAAGGAGTCATCAACGCCGTATTTCGCATGCACTCACTCTGCTCGGCGCAGTTGTTCTTGCGCCTTGAAGATCTGATCAATTGTTTGGGAGCGGGGTGTGTCTCCGATGCTTTGGGTAAGGATCGAAGAAGATCACAGGAGCGAAGGATCTAGCGCCAAAATCCACCACAACTTTTCTTGAGATAAGGAAAACAGGAGATAAAATTAGACACACACTTGACACTCATTGACTGACGCATTGTTAGTAGTCTGAGGCGAGTGTTAATGCGATGTTATGATATGCTTAATGCTCCAAGTAGTAGAGCCTGGAATAGTGTAGCTTTAGAAAGTCACAATACTATTCAGAACGAGATGATGTCCACGGAGAGAGCTTCAGATCAGGTATTTCAATGGTCACACCCCTGATGCTAATAGTACCGTGCATTGTGATAGCACACGATATCACCGCAAATCATCGACGAGATACTGGAGAACATGTAAGCTTGACTTGATCTATATTCAAATCTATTGGGGTATACAACAAAACGATCATCTCGAGCACGGTCCATTTTAGAAGCCGCTTGCGAATTTCTTCTTCAGCCTCTCATACTTTTCAATACTTCCAACACTCTTGTGTACGACACTGATGGCGTACTCGAAATCTTCTTGAGCGACCTTGCTGTCTTTGCGTTTCAGACAGTGCTGACCGGCTTGTCGTAGAAGTGATTCCAAGTCAGCACCAGAATAGCCATTGCACTTCTCGTCCCGAGCGATTTCCTCGATGCCTGCAGGCCATACGCCAGCTCTGCCGTCCTTAGCTCTGGATTGAATGAGGGCCCTGAGGATTTCAACACGCTCGTCCGTGCCTGGCAGACCGACGTAAATCTTGGTTTCGAGGCGACCAGGGCGCATCATGGCCTCATCGATGATGTCAGGTCTGTTGGTTGCAGCAATGACATAGATACCAGCGCGATGAGACAGACCATCGAGCTCAGTGAGCAGGGTATTGACGACACGTGCAGATGCTTCGGACAACGAGTCGTCACGACGAGGCACAAGCGCATCAAGCTCATCGAAGAAGATGACACAAGGCGCGGACGAGCGAGCGCGGTTGAACAGCGTACGCACTGCACGTTCTGACTCTCCAACATACTTGTTGAGGAGTTCCGGACCCTTGACACTGATGAAATTGGCCTTTGATTCGGCTGCGACTGCTTTGGCAAGCAATGTCTTACCACAACCAGGAGGACCCCAGAGCAAGACACCAGTAGGCGCAGAAATACCAACAGCGGCATACAGATCGGGCGATTTGATGGGTTCCACGATTGCAGTTTGAAGCTCTTCTCTAACGTTGGCGAGTGCACCGATGTCTTCCCAGGTAGTGTCAGGTATCGTTGCAAAGCCTTCACGCTTGGAAGAGGGTGTGATTGTAGGCAAGACAGTCAGGAACGCTTCCATAGGAATAATTGTTTGCTCAAAGCCCTCAGGCTCGTCCATCTCGGTGTTTCTTGCGCGGACGACCAGGCGATCCCAGAGTTCATCAACATTTGGTTCTGAGTTATCATCGAGCTCCATCCCGTCTGTCGTTGCTTCTACCTGTTTGATCAAGGCGTCTTGGTAACGGTCCATAGCCCATGTAGCAGCCTTGCCTACAAGATCCCTCAGATCGGCACCCACGAAACCAGGGGTCATCTTTGCAAGTCTTGGGAAATCGACATCGCCAGAGATAGGCGTGTTTCTTGTTTGTGTGCGCAGGATTTTCTCTCTCATGGGCTCATTGGGCACACCCATGTTGATTTCTGTGTCGAAGCGACCACCTCGTCTCAAGGCAGAATCGATGGTGTCCGGTCTGTTGGTGGCAGCTAGCACGATGACAGGCTTGCCGTTGTTCTCCTTGTTATCTAGAGCCAAGCTGTCCATGCTGATGAGAAGCTGGGCGACGATTCGCTTCTCCATCTGACTTTGCGAGCTCTCGCGTTTGGGAGCGATAACATCAATCTCATCGATAAAGATCAAGCAAGGGGCGTGTTTGCGGGCTTCGTCAAAGCGATCGCGGATTTGTTTTTCAGATTCTCCCGACATGCCAGATACGACAGATGGACCGGCGATTTCGATAAAAGGAACACCCAGCTTTGCAGCACTTGCTCTTGCCAGCATGGATTTACCGCATCCAGGAGGGCCGTGGAGAAGGATACCGCGAGGAAGGGGGACGTTGAGATCGGCATAGCGCTGTGGGCGCAGTAAAGGCAAGGTGAGGAGGTTCATGAGCTGGCGCTTGACATCGTTGACACCACCCAAATCCTCGAGGGCGATTCCAGTGGGTGGAGAGCGGTCGATTTCTTCATTCTTTTCACGCTTGATGCGTTTCTTCATGGGTTCTCCGTTGGACTCTCTCTTCTTTGTCTCTGTTCCGGTTACCGCAGGAGTGCCAGGGGCTGTGGTGGGCGTGGCAATCTTCCAAGAACCAGTGATGCTCTTGTTCATGATGTTTGGTTCCTCTACTACGAGTTTGTCGGCTTCGGCCTCTTCGTCTTCCTGAACAGCGTCGTCTTCCAAGGTATCGAGAATGCGTTCGAGACTATCTTCGAGTGATCGCTTCGGTTTGCGCTTCAGACTAGAATTTGATCGCTGGATGGCTTGATATAAACTGCGGACATCAGGTCGGTTCAGGGGATCCTGGAGCAAATGAGTCACAGCCTGGTAGACTTCGTTGTCCAGACCCTGGCGCAGGCGCGAGGAGGGTCTCCCAGGCATGGTGGTGTGTATGTGTAGGCGACTGTGATTTGCTGCGAACGAATTGTTGATGGACTTTTTTTCAGGGACATCAGACAATGTGGGGCAGCGATTGGCCAGGGCACCCAAATGTTTCCGGCGTCTCAGTGGAACTCTTTGACATGCAGTCTACCACTGTGCATTTCTACACATAGTCTTGGAGGTGCACTCAACAAGAGATGGTTTGCGCAAATTGAGCCCGTTGCCCTCCCCCTCTGCACGCAGACCAAGCAGCAGTCCAACACGGCACCAGATGCTTTCTCTTCGAGGAGACCTCAGCAGCCGAAGCTTTTCCGAATGACATCAACATATTCACATGCCAATCCGCCCTTCATCCCCGAGGGGCACACGCGATAGAGTACACAATCTGCGCCCAACCTCGCCATATCTTTGTCAACATGGGCAACTCATCGAGTACACCCAAGATATCCGCCCAGGATAGGTCAGCCACCATGTCCCTGTCCACCGTCGCCATCTCCCTTCTGACACCCAACCAAGGGCGATCCTTGACATGAAGAACCAGCGCGATAAGCTACACCAATATCAAAAACGCATAACTGTCATTACCAATAGAGAGAAAGAGATAGCCAAGGAATGTCTGCGGAATGGTGACAAGCGACGCGCTCTGCTCGCTCTACGGAAGAAGAAGTACCAAGAGTCGTTACTCGCCAAAACAGATCAGCAATTGGCACAGCTCGAGACCCTCACGAGCGACGTCGAGTTTGCCCTTGTACAAAAAGATGTCGTCTTTGGCTTGCAACAAGGCACAAAAGTATTGAAAGAGATACACAAGGAGATGGGTGGCTTGGAACGCGTCGAGCTCATCTTGGGCGAGAATGAGGAGGCCCAGGCATATCAAAACGCACGTCGCTCCATGCTCTCAAACAGCTGCACACGCATACTGACAGTCTTGTAGGAGATTAACGAGATGCTTGGTACGAGGATGACCAACCAAGAAGAAGACGAAGTCGAGGATGAGCTCGAGGCTCTGGCGGCAGAAGCAAACAGACAGAGAATGCCCAGCACAGTGGAAGAGGGAGTCATCGCACCCATGCCAAACGCACCTACAGACGCGCCCAAAGAATCGGCAAAAGAACGAGCGGCACGAAGAGCAAGAGAACGAGAGATGGGCAATGGTGCTGAGCCTATACTTGCATGAGATGAGACACGAAGCATGAGGGAATAGTGGTGTTTTCTGATTTTAGTTCAATACCCATGAGTCTGGTTTTCTTTCGATACACACCAAGTTGCAATCATGATGTGTGTGTTTGTTGATCTCGTGCTCGTGCTCCTGACATACTGTATGACGCACGGGCTACAATACCAATGACATGAATGGGCAGCTTCAATTTCTAGAATCTGCCATTTCGCAAACATGTGAAGAATCCACCAACTGTTCACCAAAGCACCACAGGCATCATGTCGCACTGTCACGACGAACACGAAGGCCATGGCCACGGCCACAGCCACGCGCACGGCGTCCACGACCATTCAGACGACATCACTCCGGCTCTGCAAAACAGCCTTTACAAACAGATCGACTTTGACGCCATCAACACTCTGAATGAGAGCGCCTCAGGATCCGGAAGCAACATCTGTAAAAAGACATGGGACGAGCGATTGAACCCTGAGCCCGAACTCTGCAGCGATGCCGACGAGCAATTGCTGATGCATATCCCGTATGCTGTCTACCATACCCTCTGCACGACCTTCATGCTAACATATCCATGAACAAAGCTTCACGGCACAAATCCGCCTGCACTCCATCATGATCCGCACATCCACGACCGACTCCGCGCCTCTAACGCTCAAACTCTTCATCAACCGCGACGACCTCGACTTCAGCACCGCCTCAGAGGTCCAGCCAACCCAGACCTTGTCGCTGTCGCAAAGCAATGATGTCCAGGAAGTCCCTGTCAAGCGTGCTCTGTTCAACACGGTGCGCTCGCTGGATCTGTTCTTCGAAGACAACTGGGGAAGAGGCGATGAGGATGAGACGCGTATTTCTTACCTTGGCTTCAAGGGTGAGTGGATGGCTTTAAACCGTGAACCCATCAATTTTGTCTATGAGGCTGCTGCCAATCCAAGTGATCACAAGATGGTCTCTGGTGTCAGGGGCGAGGTGGGCAGTCGCCTGGGAGGGGCAGGTGGTCGAGGTAATGGCATGTAATCACAACGTCAATCAGAAGAGTGGAAAATAAGAGAACAAACTCGTAGGGTATTACAAAACTGCGCTGATGTTGAGTCTGCTACTTGCGTATCTGGTAATACGCTGGTGCATACTCTGTCAGCCAGCTCTTTTCTATCTTTGTTATGTCTCTGATGAACGTCTTGTCTCCTGTCTGCATGACTTCGTGGAAGATGACCCAGTCCGCCTTTCGGTTCTGTTTGGCCTATTAGTGCTGTCGCGTCAAGACATTAAAAACAGGAATTACTCACAAACATCAGAGAGCTAGGATGTGCGTGCAATGTCATGCTGCCATCCACCGTCTGGAATGTTCCGTCCGGTTGCATCCTAGCCGCATGCACAAAGTAGCCTGCTGTCAGACATCGACGGATCTGTTCTGCCTTGTCTGGGCCTCCCACAGTCAACACGCCCTTAGAGCTCAAAGACTCGTCTACGTTGATGCCGAACCGCTCCATGTATCGCTTGAGCTGGTTCCGCACACTGACAGCTTTCGTCATGCTTTTGAAGTTGAGGTGATGATTGCGGCACCACGAAGCATCCTTCTTGCCTTTAGTGACAAACGCTTGATACGCATTGAGCATTGTCAAATGATCGCCCTCTGCGACTGCGAACTTCCACCTTGATGACTCCATTGCCTTCTTTTCACCTCCGTGTTGAAACCACACTGCGCCTTGTAAAGTCGTCATAGCAGCGATCGTCAGAATCTCGCTGAGACATCCAAAGTCTGGTGCGGAAAGCAGGACTTTGGCCATCATAGGCTCTACAGCCAATTCTGCCATGCGAACACCCAAGGGTTTGGTTAGTCTTGCATAGTCGTCTAGTGCTCCTAGAGAATATAGCATCTCCAGTGCTCGGACAACGAGCTCTGATGGTGGCGGTGTTAGGTAGTCGAAGCGAATGATGTTATCGATGCCCAGGCATTTCAGCTGTAGAATCACTGGAGCAAGGTTGCTTCTCTGAATCTCAGGCACAGAGGCATCCTCCAAAGCATCATATGCAGCTTCTGTGTAAAGACGATAACATTTTCCAGATTTTGTTCGTCCAGCTCGACCGGCTCTCTGAGTTGCAGCAGCTTTGGAGACCGCAGTCGCTGTCAAAGTCTCGATGCCAGTGCTCGGGTTGAATGCTCGTAACTTGACAAAACCCGAGTCGATGACGAAGACTATGCCAGGTATGGTCACCGAAGCTTCCGCAATATTTGTAGCCACAATGACTTTTCGAGTGTCTTCTGCTGCAGGTTCGAAGACGTACATCTGTTGTTCTGTCGAGAGACCAGCGTAGAGCGGTAGTGGTTGGAGGGCTTGTGAGCCACGAGGTAGAGAAGGTAAGCGGTCGGCGATCATGGATATGCATGCATCGATCTCTTCACGTCCGGTCAAAAAAATCAAGATATCGCCTTCGCCCTCCTGTGTATGTATATCGAAGACAGTCTGGACAGCACGTTCAACGTAATCCTCAGCGGGAGCTGTCAGATAATGAATGTCGACTGGGAACATTCTGCCTTCGAGATTTACGATGCGGCCGACATCACCACCAGGTTCATCTGACTTTGTTGATTTCTCTAAATTGCTCTCGTCGCGCGTGAAAAAGTCCAAAAAGTCCTCGGCTTGTAGAGTTGCACTGCTGACGATTATCCTCAAGTCTGGTCGGCGTTTTCTGATCTTCTTCAAGACTCCTAGCAAGATGTCTGAACTCAGGGAGCGTTCGTGGGCTTCATCAACCATGATGACCGAGTACCGCGATAGTAAAGGATCTACGAGTGCCTCCCTCAAGAGCAAACCATCAGTCAAAAATTTGATCTTTGTGGCTGCTGAGGTTACGTCCTCGAATCTGATTGAGTATCCGACCTGCATGAGTTAGTATTTCTCGACTGAAACGGGAAGAGATGTAGGCACCTCTTGACCAAGATTGCATCTCATTTCTTCAGCGACTCTCGCAGCTACTGTAGTAGCAGCAACCCTACGGGGCTAAGATTCCTGTGAGTATGTGTCATGGTGGATGTTTACAACGTTCTAGTACTCACCCACCTGAGTGACTGCAATCATCTTCCCTTGTCCGCACCATCCTGCCTGGTGTAGGAATTGAGGGATCTGAGTTGTTTTACCGCTTCCGGTCTGACCCACAACAATAACAACAGGATATGTTTCGATCAAATAGAGAAGACTTTTGCGATGGCGGGCGATTGGGAGTAGAGACGAAGGTTTATGAAGGGCAGGAATAAAATCGCGGGAGAGGTCGAAATCTGCCATGTTGACCTCAAAGGACTATAACTAGGTAGCTCGTTTAGTGGTGTAGAAACCCCATGATTTGGTCCTCGTAGTGATGGTGTTGGAAAACGACCAGACATGACGCTGCGCGGCGTTGCCGGTGGCTTGGTGAAACAGGGTCCACGAGCTGCTGCTCTACCTACCCCTCGGCTCACCCGCCTAAACATCTTGACTTCTGCAGCACACAACACCGTCGCCATGTCCGAAGGTTCAAACTCAGAGAAGCCCGTACGCTCCTTGTATGCGTTTCATCCACAGAGACTGACACAACTGGCACGCAGAAAGCAGGCGCCGAGTCGCCAACAACAGCACGCGAGCTTGACTTCGACGATGATCACCACGACAGCAGTCCTCTCAAGAGCCCTACCCCTAAGCAAGTCAGCTTCGTCGAGGTTGAGGATGAAGATGCTCCGCCCAAGCCTGCGCGCCCCTTGAGCCCCAAGTCTGAGAACGAGAAAACGCTCAAGGAGGCCTTTCCCACAATCGACTCCAAGGTCATCAGCGCTGTCTTGATGGCCAGTGGTGGCAATGTCGAGCCCGCATTCAACGCTCTGCTGGGTACGTTGCTTGTTTATGTCTTGTAGACTCTTACTGACAGCCTGTAAGCCATGTCCGACCCTAACTTCAAGCCCGAAGAGGCTCCACCACCACGTCCCCCGAGACCTACCCAGGCTCAGCGCCAGCTCGACGCCGACGAACAATACGCCCGCCAACTCGCCCAACATTTTCAGTCAGAGTCCCGCTCGCAGCGTGGCAGACGTGACGATGACGATCGTGGCCCGCCTCTTCCTAATCGTCCTAGACAGCAGCGTCCAGGTTATGGAGATGAAGACAAAGAATACAACTTTTTCGATGGTACAATCTTACTCAGTCCAAAACCAGCGTCTTTGGACTAATGGCTAACTCGGCTGTAGATGACCTTCCTCAGATCAAGGAGAACGTGCGCAAGGGTTTCTTGGAGACACAAACCAAGGTCAACAAATGGATCACCGATTTCAGAAAGAAGCTGGATGGAGATGACAATGACGACCCATACGCCGGTCCTACAAGACAGGACAGCCCTCCTCGTAGACAGAATTTTGGCGCTTCACAATCCGAGCAGCTCTATGGCATTCGCAGATCGGCCGATGTAAGCAGAAAGAGCACAGACAAGGATCGCTACGATTTGGACAACCGCGTTCTGGACGACGACTTCACAGCCCTCGAGCTACGTGATGATGAAGGTATGTCAAGAAGATGCTGATTTGGGTGGACGTGCATTTGCTGACCCTAGGACTAGCCCAACCTCGTGCTTCATCTTCACGCAACCGTCCTCTTTCCAACCCCGACCTTTTCAAGGCCAACGTTCCTCCTCCGCAGTCCGGTCCAGTTGATGAAGTCGACGCTATAGATCGAAAGAACCAGCGCCAGCCATCCCCTAGTGGTGCTGCTGCCAAGTCAGCCAAGTGGCAGCCTTTGACCTCGATTGCGCCCAACCCGGAATCGGAGGAGAACGATCCTTTCAGTCTCGGTGACAGCGATGACGAGAAGGAGACAAAGACCAAGGACACCAGAGAGTCTGATACTGCACGCCTAAAGGAGGCTGCTCGCAAGAGTGTTACCGCCGAGTCAGCTGAAGCTCCTAAAGGCCTTCAAGCTAGCGAGAGGTCTGGAAGCACCAATGTCAGAGACAAGGAAGCTGAGGCTCTGTTGACTGGCAAGAAGCCCGCATGAGAGGTAGCATTAACCGAATTTTATACCCGTGACAATTTTTTCAGCACTCTCGTAAACATGTAAACAGAATGGGAGTAATGACAATCGTTGATACAATCGGAATTCTTGAGTGTTTTCAACGACCAAACCATCAAAACGGCTACGTCAGTCTTGTCGCAAAGGCCTTCCTCTTTGGGTATGTTAAGCATGTCTATGCGATAACCGAACTGCCATGAACCTTGTCAACACTTCGGATCGTTTTATAAATTACAAGGGCATCTCATATTTTCCTTCCATGTATCGTTCTTATACCATTTCTCTGTCGGAGCAGCAATCATATATCTCACAATGATCTCTGCACTTTCAGTCTTATTGCTCGCTTCTACCGCTACGGGCCGGGACATAACATTCCCACCTGTAGCAGGATATCAATCTCCTATGATGCACGTCTCAGGTCACGAAGATATCGATATTACTGGAGCCAAGTTTGCAGGATTGACTACATTCGCCAATCTCCCGTATGTTCACTGTCTTGATGAGAGCGGCTCTGAGAAGTACGACATTGCCATTCTAGGTGCTCCGTTCGACACTGGCGTGACCGCCAGGCCAGGTGCTAGATTTGGACCCAATGGAATTAGGACAGGATCTCGTCGTATTCACCCGGATGCTGCTTGGAGTATATACAACGGAAAGAATGTATTTAAGGTACTGAGCGCAAATTAAGCGGTGGTTTATGACACTCAGCTAATTCCAAGACAAGGATTGGGCTACGATAGTCGACTGTGGAGATGCACCTTTGACGGTATTGGACAACACGGTGGCTTTGAAGCAGCTCGATATGGCACACAAGATCGTTTCAAGCCGAGCTACCAATTCGAGTGACTACACCGTGCCGCGACTTGTCACATTGGGTGGTGACCACACCACGACACTGTCTGCCTTGAGATCTACCTTTAAATCTTGGGGTGCCGTGAGTGTGATCCACTTCGACAGGTCAGGATATCCTCGTGACTGAAGATGCTATAAACTAATACACGTGCAGCCATATTGATACCTGGGATCCTGAGGTTCTCGGAGGAGGTGTGTCGCATTATGCTGGAGTCAACCACGGCACCTTCCTTCACATTGCCCACGAAGAAGGGCTGATCAGAAACACGTCGATTCACGCAGGAATAAGAGCACCTGTTATGAACAAGAAGCACGATGTCAAGAACGATCGCAAGTGTGGGTTTGACATAATCACAGCGAGGGACATGGACAGGATCACGCCTCAGGGAGTGATCGAAAAGCTCAAGCGTCGCGTTGCTGGAACGAAGGTCTATATTAGCGTGGATATTGACGTGCTTGACCCAGCCTATGCCCCTGCTACTGGTACAGCAGAAGTTGGAGGATGGACTACTCGAGAACTTCTAACAATTCTCGATGGCTTGTCTGGGTTGGATATTATTGGTGGAGATGTTGTGGAAGTGGCACCAATCTACGACAATGCTGGCGAGCCAACAACATTGGCAGCATCAGAGGTGGTCATGTCTCTTTTGCAATTGATGGTGGATCAACCTGTCAAGGCAGGACAAGAGTAGATAAGAACACGATAGAATTGGTATATTTTGGTAGAAGTTGGATTGGTAGAAGCTGAAAGGCGGTGTGGAGGCGGGAGGTCGCAAGCACAGGCCCGCCGATCTGCCTCGGAAAGAAAGTCTCAGTTGCCAAAAAGTTGGGCCCTGTTTGCTGCTGCTGCACTTTTTTCCAAGTCCATACAACAAAACACAGACAACCATGACGCCCCCACGCAAGAAGCAAAGATTGTCTCTGGATGCTGCAGAGGTCAAGGCCGCTGTCGAAACCGCCACCGAGACCGCCGTCGAGAGCAATGCTGTCACCAAAGTCTCTGACAAGGAAAGCGAAAATGAAGCCGCTGCTCAGCGCCGCTCGCTATTTGTTCGCTCTCTGCCTGAGTCTACCACGTCCGAATCTCTGACCGAAATCTTTTCCGCTTCCTTCCCCATCAAGCACGCCGTCGCCGTTACCGACAAGGAGTCAAAGAAGTGCAAGGGCTATGGTTTCGTCACGTTCGCCGACGCTGAGGACTGCCAAAAGGCAAAGGAAGAATTCAACGGCTTTGCTGTCGACGGCAAGAAGTTGCGTTGCGAGGTTGCCGAACCTAGACACCGTGAGAAGGGCGCCGCTGCTCAATCTGCTGGCGAGAAGTTCAGAGAGGGCCAGGCAAAGGAGAGAGCTGCTGCTCAGGTCCCGAGACTGATCGTTCGTAACCTTCCATGGAGCATCAAGTACCCGGATCAACTGGCCAAGCTTTTCCAAAGCTATGGAAAGGTCAAGCACACCGTCCTTCCAAAGGGCAAGACTGGACTCCTGCGTGGTTTTGGTTTCGTCATCATGCGTGGCAGACCCAATGCTGAGAAGGCTATTGAAGGTGTCAACGGAAAAGAGATTGATGGAAGACAATTGGCCGTTGATTGGGCTGTTGACAAGGAGACCTGGGAGAACACCCCTCAGGAGGAGACTAAAGAGACGGATACAACCATGGAAGATGCTACCGAGGACGATGCAGCCGACGGTGCCGATGAGCACATCATGGACGAGGATGACGACGAGTCTGGTTCGGAGGATGAAGACGAAGATGAGGATATGGACGAATTGGATGACGATGAGGACGAGGAGGATGTTAAGCCGAGAACAGAGGACAACTCATCCACCCTTTTTATCCGCAATCTGCCTTTCTCATGCACCGACGAGGATCTCGAGGACCACTTTACTCAATTTGGCTCAGTTCGCTACGCAAGAATTGTTGTCGATCACGAGACTGAGCGCCCTAGAGGTACTGGTTTCGTCTGCTTCTACGAAGTTGAAGACGCCGACAATGTTCTCAAGATTGCACCTAGACACCAGCCTCCCCGCCCGAACGACCCCAAGGCCAAAGACGGTTCTATTCAGATGACCCACTCTGTCCTCCAAAACGAGGACGCCGATCCCACTGGAAAGTTCACTCTGGACGGACGCGTTCTGCAGGTATCCCGTGCGGTCAACAAGAGCGAAGCCAACCGCCTGACCGAGGAGGGTGCTGCTAACCGCTTCAAGCGTGACACAGACAGAAGACGTCTATACTTGCTGTCTGAGGGAACCATTCCGTCCAACTCCCCTCTGTACGAGCAGCTTCCTCCTTCAGAGAGAACTATGAGAGAAGCCAGTGCCAAGCAGAGAAAGACCCTCATCGAGAGCAACCCTTCTCTTCACTTGAGTCTGACCCGTCTCTCTGTTCGTAACATTCCCAGATCTGTTACATCAAAAGACTTGAAACAACTCGCCAGAGAGGGTGTTGTTGGTTTCGCTACTGATGTCAAGGAGGGCAAGCGCCAACGTCTCAGCAAAGAAGAACTCAGCAGAGGTGGTGAAGATGAGGCCAGAGCTGAGGCTGAACGCAAGAAGCGTGCCAAGGGTATTGTCAAGCAAGCAAAGATCGTCTTCGAAGGTCGCGAGGGCGCTAAAGTGGACGAGAAGAGTGGTGCAGGCCGTAGTCGTGGATACGGTTTCATCGAGTACTACACCCACCGTTCAGCGTTGATGGGTCTTCGTTGGTTGAACGGTCACGCTATTGGCTACCAAGCACACGAACAGAAGGGCAAGGGCAAGATGTCGCAAGAGATGATTGCGGATCGCAAGAAGCGATTGATCGTCGAGTTCGCCATCGAGAACGCACAGGTTGTCAAGCGAAGAAAGGAGATGGAGGAGAAATCTCGTGAGCGTTCATTTGCTGCTACCGCACCCACCGCAGACGGCAAGAGACAGTCTTCAGGCCGTGACACCAAGTCTGGTGCTGGCAAAGGAGGCAAGTTCGACCGCAAGCGCAAGCGAGACGCCAAGGACGAGGCTCCTGTCGATGAGGAGAAGAACAAGAAGGCTCCCGCCGATGAGAAGTTGGCGAAGCGTCAGCAAATCATTCAGAAGAAGCGTATGGCTCGCCGTGCACGCAAGCAGGGAGCTGCCTAGAGGAAGTGTCAACGTTCATACCCGTCGACACGGCATGAAGTCTGTGCAACTTCTGAGTCTTTTTCTCCGTCGTAGTTGGTCTTGCGGATTCATGCTCGACGCTCGGTCAGAGAGCTTGGTCTGTCATACACGATGTTTGGGTGCTTTTTGCTGATAGGAGGAAGTGGTAGTGGACCAAATATTGCATCGGCGTTAGGTGAAATGTCGCTAGAGGGTCGACTAGACAAAAATTTTCGTACCATTTTCTTTTTACTACAACCAAAACCTAGCGCATGTTTGGATCATATCTATGGTCTGTTTATGTGATGTGCAACTGCAGGTTGAAACCCAATTGATCAGACATCTCGACTCGAATGCGTGTCACAATACAATCTCAACAAGAAGCTGCAAGAACCCAGATTGTTGAGCATATATCTGGTCAGCTTCGATCTTGCTCTTAATCAGGTTCACAAGCAACGGATGATGTGCAAGAGAACCTGGTTTTATCTGTGGACCCAGCTCTAGCTCTTGTGCAACCTTCGGGCCATCGCTGCCGTCGGTAGTCACCCATCGTCACAGGTCTTTGTGCATCTTGCAATCTAGAATGTTTCTCTCCCACTCATTCCTGTGCCGCGTGTGTAAATCGTGCAAAGATCGTCTCCTTGCTTCGAAGTCAATTGGCTCGATAGATTGAGAATCGAGATGTGACCACTTCCCAATCAGGAAGAAAATACAGCTCGCGGAAGGGCAGGAACCGATGCTTTTCACAAGCTCCACAATCCGGCAAACATCTACATTTGGTTTCTTGTACACCAATGGCTCTTTCTTGTGAACGATCTTTGGACTTGTCATTCTTCTGCGGAGATTTCTTCTTTCCTGTTGTTAACCGGCGACCCTGCATATTCATGTCGATAGCCATTGTGGCTGCCGCCTGTCATAACATCAATTGGTATACCATCTTTCTTCTCTAAGCTGCAAGTCATTGCTCAATCGACGTGCATGCCTCTTTTGTTTCTTGTGTTCAATATGCATCACTTTTTGCAATGACAGGTCTCTCACATGCATCTGCGTCATGAAGAATCAACAGTCCGTCGAGCAAGAAGAAGCGTGACGGTTGAGTAAACAAACTCATCAATCTCTTGATCGGAATGTGGAAGGAGCAACTGCTCAAGATAAATAAAGGGCAAATGACTTCTCTAGAACGACCAAACAACCAAAGTTACTACCTCTCTGATCCATTGATCGTCTACAAGCACCAGAGCCCATCTGTCCATAACACTTCCCGCTGCCAACGACACTCCCGCAGGATCACAGAACTGCCGCCTTTGGTCTCCATCTACCGTATCACCAATCTCTCAACCAAGCTACCCAAGTAAGTCCTCGATGCTCTCGACCATTCTTCCAAGCGTTCTCTGAATCAAAAACAGCGACATCCGAGATGTGCCAGTACGAGAACATCCACTATGGTTGCGGGCACACCGTTCGCCGCTTGATCAAACACTGCCACTTCGCCCGCAACGACCCTAACCACCAATGCTTCGGTGCCTGGTCCGTCAAGAGAGAGTGGTCGAACCCTACCGAGTATTGTCGCAACTGTGCGTACTATGCCAGACAGAGAGCTTATGGTCATGCTCGTTAATGAAAAGAATTCTTGGTATGGTCAAGGATGGCGCAGGGGGTTGCGGAGAAACATTGGTCCTCGCGGAAATTTTACTTGTTGACTTGAGCTTGACTGGCATGAAATGGAAGAGACAAGGCGCACAAAAGGTGAAGGAAGTAATTGGCTGGTGGGTACGGACAAAAGTGTTGCATGTAGATACCGAGTCGCTGGCCGCCCTTGGTATGAAAAGTATTCGGTTGCAATGAAGTTTATGAAACTTGTTCTTCCAATCAATTTTTGAAGAATGGGATAGTCCCTCGCCATACTCGAATTTTCGAATGCGTTGTCATTTGTACTGGATATATGTGGACATGCAAGTCTCTAGATCGAGCAGATTGTCACATCCGTATGTGTTGTGCATCGTGAGGGAGGCGAATTGCTTTCCTTGTGCGAGTGTGCGGTCTTGTTGTTGCCAGCATTTCACGGCTTGCAGCAGCAGATCTTTTCAGCGAATGCCAATCCTTCAGAATGGTCAGGTTGTAGAACCTGAATTTGGGGCCCAAAACAGCCCGCAAGTTCTGATTCTGGTCGATCAGAAATTGTTTCCTGTATCTGGGTTTCAGCAATTCGTTGTCAGTATATAGCATATCACCTCTTGGTTCTATTCTCTTTCGTTTTTTCACCACATCTGCACTTCGAAACAAAAGGCCACATTTGCTGGTTCGCGTTGAGAAAATCACCAGTCCAAATCAGAGTGACTCACTGCGGTACCTCAGATTGAATTCTCGTCTAGAAAGCTCTATACAAGCAAGCACAACTCGAGAAAATGTGTACTTGGAACGCGGTCCACTACAGCTGCGGACACGATGCAAAGAAGCTCGAGCAGGCGTGCAGATGGGCTGCATACGCAGAGTGTAAGCTGGTCAGGCGTATCGGCAAGCATCTGAGGATGAGAAGGAGCTGTCCAAATTGCTCCGGAAGAGTCGCAGCTTGGTGCCGTCAATGTTAATGGTAAGTTAATGAGTTTGAGTCTTCCTTCAAGTTATCCATGCTGACTTTTGAAAAGGGTTCAAGTCCTGAATATGATCTAGGCAGGTCCTGTGTGTGTGCAACGGACTCTTGAATGCTTGGTTGATGTTCGGGTGAGGGAGTTTAGCCTTGTATTGTGTCACAAGGTAGCGGTCTTTGGGGTTGACGGTTACCAATACAATTATTCGAGGCACGTCTTGGTCTTGAGCAGGGGAACCAGTGTTCAATGAAGCATATGTCTTGTTAATTGCCTTTCATGTTGAGGAGTAATTCTTCATTATCAGCAGCGAATTACAAGCTTGAATTACCTGTGACGACCTTGCCCTTGATGTTGTAACGCTTGCTGAAGAAAGTGAACCAGTCGTCAAGCACTTTCTTGTGTTCTGGCTTGAGATCTTCCCACTCGGGTCGGCACTCCTCCTTCTTCAACGAGGACTGTGCGAGAGCTCTGGACGCATCCTTGCCGGCAAAGACTGTGAGAATAAATCAGCAAAGAGTTTTTCTGATACTTTAATTGAACATGATACCTGAGTATGAAGCTCCTGGTTCATAGGCCTTGTTGCCAGTCACGTCGAAAACAGTTCCCTTTCACATGTCAGCTTTAATAGCGTTTTGCACTGTCGAGCTCTACCTTGATGGCCACATATGTTGGGTAGCCCTCGTGAGTACCTTCAATCGATTGTTAGCAAATGAACTTAACACAGAGAGTTATAGCCTTATCAGTAGCATACCATCGCATTTCGAAAGGTAGTCCAGACTGATAGGATCATCCTTGGGCGGGTCAAGCTCGACCTTTTGCTTTGGCTCAAATTTTCCAGACATGGCGAAGATGTCTTTCGGATGTAATCTTTCCTGGATGTCTTTCCTCAAGATTGGTCAGGACTTGATGTTGTTTTGATGCTCAATGATACAAAGTGAAGTCGGGGATGTGGCGGCTTGGCGCTGTTGACCGAGGTTCTTTCTTTATTCGATGCAAGACTTGATGACTTTCCAAATTCCTGTTCCGATGAGATGAAAACCTTTGGCAGTTGCAAATTGCTCAGAAGAAGAGCTTGCACAACACGATAGTGGAAACTGAATATGATGTGTCTGAATAATTCAGCTGCTCAGGCCACCCTGCTCGATCCTATGAAGTAAGGCGTCCCGGCCTGCCCACAAGATCTGTCAGCTCCCAGTTGTGCAAATCATGTCTCGACTCCTCACAGTCAATTCAGTGATGCGGAAGTAGCGTACTGGACTTGTTCGTGTCGAGTCTTGTTTTGGTACCCAGAGAGTTTCGTTCCTTCCACGACAACGCTTTCAGCAACCATGCCTAGCTTCGGCCATGTCGACCTGCACGAAGAGCTCTTCCAACAAGTCTTATCCTATAAACCGAAGGAGTGTCTACCCGTGTTGCCGCTTGTCTCCAGAGACTGGCACGCCTCTGTGACGCCATTCTTGTATCGAGATATAAAACGTCTGCCGCCGCACGAGATACCTCTGCAGTCACAATCATCGCCGTTTCTATCGCCCATCTCACCCTAGCCCTTGCCCTTGCGAAAGCGCCGGTGTGTGCAAGCACAGCAATCACTCACAATATTGTTACAAAGGTCGACCTCATCCCCCATGCTTGAAAGAGGTGTCATCAAGTCCTTTCAGCACGTATACATCTCTGTATCTGCTCGTGAGAACCTTGGTACACTCACCAGTGCGAGCCAGTCGCGTACGTTGTCTTTGTCTCGTTGGTGCCATTCCCTCGTCGATATGGACAGATGCTGAACAGACTGAGCGCTCGAATCACGACCGCGATCGAGTACAACTCGTACTGCGAGAGTGTCCCGCAACAGTGTGTCCCACAGAACGATGGATGGAGGATCTGGACCAAGGCTGTCCAAGTGCTTTCGCTGCCTTTCTGCTCGTATACCTTGAAAGGCTCGAGAATGTCGAAATTGGCGCAGAATTTTCGCGGTTATTTTCATACATTGGAGAGTCAACCATGCGACAGTTGACACGCCTGACTACGGCTTCGATAGGCACCTTTCGGGATGAGGTTTACATCGGGCCAGGTCGAGTACCCTTGGATCATTCTGCAGGTTTGCACCATCCACTTTTGTTCTTCAATCTGCCCAACGTTCATCATCTCTCGCTAAATGTGCCGAAACCTCCTGAAAACATGTGCTTCAGATGGCCATTCGAGGGCTTGATCCCATTGACTACAAATCTTGAGTCGCTCGAGGTTGCCCTCACATTCTTGAATGAACGGAAATTAGCTCATATACTGAAGGGGTGTCCGAAACTGCGTACGCTGAAACATGATATTTGGACGACTACAAAAGATAGTGCGTCCCGAGAAGAGGGACGTGTTGATCTTCCACTCCAACAGGCACTATCGTCCGTCAAATCGACTCTTGAAACCCTATACTTGCATCTGGGAAAACTCCACTGGTCTTCGGGATCCTGGAACGACTATCGGGGCAACGTAGTTGGTCAGCTAACATTTAACAACTTTCCAAGGCTGATGATGTTACATGTACCTATACGAGTACTGATAGACGCTCGCACATGGGAGATGGATGGGAATTGGGAGGTGAGGCTCAATTCAATCGCAATTGTGAATCTGGGAGTCGTGCTGCCCAAGACTCTGATGTGTCTCTGGATCAACCTTGATGGGTTTGAATTTCCAGCCGAAGATTGTCCAGGAACTGAGCCCCTGCTTGATGAGGAAGGTCTTATCCGAGTCATTTCCAGTTTCCTGCATAGCCGACTTGCATGTACGCCCGTGCTTGAGACATTGAAGCTTCTGGTCTCCCAAAAGCCTGCGCTTGTTTGGGATCAATGGAATCCTGACGTGCTATCCAACGCCTTAGTAGCTCAGGGTGTTGAGACTGGTGTAGATGTGTCTTTCGAAAACAGGTACGATGAAGGGATGAGATATGATCCGAATGTCATCTCGGTGCTTTGTTGATGACGATAATATATGTATATACGCCACTTTCAACCTCCTATTAGATTACTTTTGCGTGTAAATCTTTGAAATGCAAACCATCTAATCATGCTTACCAGCAGTGTAAGGCCCATTTCCACGACCCGACTGCTCTAATTCTAACCTCCTCCTCAGCTCAGGACTCTCCTCTCCTGGAGTGGAACTGTCCTTTTCTTTATCACTCATATGCCCACTATCTCCCTCTTCCTCAGCAGTGAAACCTCGTCTCTTTCTTTCTAGTGCAACTTCGGGCATAACAGGTTTACCACCAAAACTGCACAGCACGACATCAGAATCCGCGGTGAGTGCATCCATGATCTCCAGTTCTCTGCGCGTAAAGAAGTGTGGCATCAGCGACCAGCGCAGAGGAATAAGCGATATAATGATGACAGGGAACCCGATAGCGCCAATAGTCTGCGAGATGGCGACGCTGAAACCAACACCCAGGATCTGGAGAAGAAGGAAGAGCATAATCTTTCTCCTCGAAACCTGTAAGAGTGGCTCGGATGGATCGATGAAACGGTGTTCCTTGATGAGGAAAAGGAGTTTTTGCGTCATGCCGTTGCCTTCAATTGAGCCCCAACCGACAACGAAGAAGACACCACAGAAGAGACAGCGGGGCATCGTGTGCAGCACAATGAGGAGAGGACCGGTCATTGTGCCTACGATGCCGAGGCCCATTAGGAAATGACTGATGCGTTGCTCAACTACCGCCTCGGCGACAAAGATCTTCTTCCTGCGCTCCATGGGCTGACCATTGTTATCCTCGGTTTCGTGACTGATGACGAGTTTGTCCTTGTACTCGGTCAAAGAGTCTGTGTGGACAGGAGCTTGAGGGACCAGACCGTTGGGCATAGGAATTCCAATGATACCAGCGATAAAACATGTGACACCCAGGAGAGCAAAGTCCCAATGGAATCCAGCGGGCTTCTTGAGAGGATATTGTCTTGCTTGAGCATTGATACTGCTGACGTTGTGGTCATAGTAGAACAACAAGGTCACAAGTATGCCAATGGGCAAAGCGACAAAGATCCACTTGACGGGAAGATCCCAGAAATGAATCAACCAGCTGCGGTTAGTTGAGGGGTAGAATGCTTTAGTGATAGGCAACGTGAGCACGTCTGCTGATTTGATGGTTCCTGGAATGTGCACAAAGCCAGTCCAGAATAGGGTGGCGATCTAGAAGAATGCTTGTTAGGCTTGTTTGAAATTGGTATGAAGTAAATGACTTACGGGATATGCGTAGTCAGACAGAATCTTGCGAGTGACTGGAGTAAAGACAATGGTGTGTGGAAGCATTTCCAATGCATAGACTGTGAACCAATAGCACAGTGCGACAACAATGCTAAGGAAGCCGGCCGTATGTGTGCTCTCGTAGAATTGAGCAATGAGTTCTTGGACACCCTTGACTGCAGAAGGTTCAGCATGTGCAAACGTCGGCATACGTATTGGCGGTATGACTTACTCATATAGATGATACCGACATACATGCCGAAAGCATTACTTGAGAAATCGGTAATGAATCGCATGTAATCACAAAGGTTGCCAAATGATGCTATCCAATGAGTGATTGCTGCCCAGATGGCAACCCAGGCCAGAAACTCCGGATACAGGTCGCGAATACCCTGCTTTACGGCAATATCGTAGATGGTATAGTTGAAAAGGGATATCAGTCCAGTAATGCCGACGATCGTTAGTGGTTGGGCAGCCAGAGTGCTAAACACGATTGCTGCAAGTGCAGAAGAGAACAATGCCTCATTCACACCGAAGAAGCCATCTGTATGACGGTTCATGTCTAGCAAGAATGCTAACGCTGGTAATAGACTTGTGATAGATCATTAGTCTTGATGTCATTGTTTTCTGATGTTAACTTGAGGCATACTTGACAAAGTACATTCGAACTGTAGCGGCGAATGTTCTATATGTCACAGCATCTGTGATATCGCTCCAGTAGTATGGTAGTCGTCTTTTGACGTCGTGGTACATTCCACGGCCTGGTCTTAGCATTCGATATTGCCGCCATCCAGTTGCACCTTCCCAGGTGTAGGGATCCTGTTTGGCATCCATAGCAGGTTGTGTCAATTATCCAGATGTGTCCAACACTCGATAGATAGAGAGAATGCTGATAAGAAGATCCTGCCAGCCTGCTTGAAAATGCTTTCCAGGTATCGACGGATTGCTCTTGCCGAGGTTGTGTTTTTGGAGGAAGATGTTTGTTTTTCCTGTAGTATTAGGATAGTACAAAAGGCAAGAGGAATCAACAGGTCAACAGGCGCGTCTTGAACAAAATTAAAAAGGGATAGCACAAAGATAAAGTATATGACGACCGAAGCATGGTCTGAGTTGAGAGGCGCGAAGCCACGAGAGGTTATAATCCTTTGATGATTTATCCTTTTGCGTGGTGATTATCCTTCGCGGTGATGAAATGGGGCGGCGCACAGACCGGCCCGTTGGCTTGATGAATGTGTGGGGCTGCAGAAGGGCTTGACGCCTCCCACTCTCAGACTTCCTCGAGGCCGAGTTAAAGGGAGGAGGAGGTAAAGACAGTGCAGTCAATATATTTAATACATTTCCAAAGAATTCGTCTTATTGAAGATGGAGTATAATGTACTGAATCCAGTGCCCTATCTTTACTACGTTTTGGTAGTCCAGAGTTGAGAGTTTTGTCCTTGCAAGTTGATGTTCGAAGCAAAACTCCGTTGCGACTACGATCCAATCAATGCCAAGCCATTGAACGCAAAGCATATCAGTTTCAGACAGTGAACCCCGATACGGTGCCCGTCATGATTTTTCAGGCGTTCGTCAATGCAAGATTCGTATTGCCGTCGGCTAGAGATGACAGTCAGTGACGGTTGATGGTTCTGCCTTTCCGAGATGAGGAGACCCACAAAAGTTCACGGCCGAGCAGTGAGGCTCATCTTTGGATTTGCTGCCCAGGCAGAAAAAGCCCAAGCTCTCGTACAGTGTTGAATTAACTTGGTATATGGTTACAATCAATATTCGTACATATTCCTTGCCTTCCTGATTGACGAGTCGCTTAGCATAGCCGCGTATCTGTACATTATAGCCGAAAGAAAACTAGACGATATGCCTTGACAATCACATATTATTGGCTGATTTGAGGCAGATGGCGTTTAGAGATGCCCGAGCATGCTAGTAGCGTAGGCCTCGCACTGCATGGTTGCGAGAGGGGCGGAGCTTGGAGCGCAATGACTTGTAGCATTTGAGCCTCTGACTAGTACACAACCAACCTTCTTAGTCGGTGGGGTCCTCAGTTTGCACGGACGTGAACTCTTTACGAGTCATCAATGTGGCAGGAGTCTTCGAGCGGACATAGAGACCCGCGAGCACGCCTGTTGCAAGTCCGGAAAGATGTCCAGGATAATCAATTCTGGTGTTCTTGCCGCGCCATGCTCTCAAGATTTCGAATCCAGCGATCATGCCCAGAACAGTCAGACCAGTGATGTCTGGGATCTCATAGCCGAGCACTGTCACGTTGTTGCTGTGGCACAAGTGATTAGTGAGACTGCCAGATATTCAAGGGTAGAAATCGCTTACTTTGCTCTGACCAGACAGGCTGCGGCCATGGTGCCGATGACGGCAGTAGATGAACCGAAGCTGTAGTTCATCCAACGCTTGGCGAGCACATTGAAGGCCAAGGAGCCATACGTGCCCACAGTACCACAAGCAAGGTATATAGCTAGGAAGGTACCTCTTCCTACATCATCGTGTACTGCATGTCATTGAGTTAGTGTCATGTAGCTAAAGCGGTGCATGGCCCAATCCTTACGAATCCAACCAAAAGGCCACAGCATGACCATGTTGACGAACAGGTGACGGAAGCTTTGATGACTGAACTGTGCACCAAGAGTTCCAATGGCGAATGGATATGCCGCAGTGACCTGAAAAGTCTTGTTCATGGTTCTCCATAACGGCGGAATCCTCCAAGCGACGAACACGGCAAGATTGATGGCGGTGATGGCCCCGAGGGTAGCAATAGCTGGCGGTACATCAGGGAACATCCTCGCTGATCTTGGAGGAGGGTTATATGTTTCCTCAAGCATCCAGCAACCAGCGAGAACAACCAAAAGAACCAAAGCGGACGGGCCTAATCGGCGGAGGGTAGAGAGATCAGGAATCTTGTTGTCCTTGATGATAGTTGCTTGCTCTTCATAGTACTTGACCCAAGGCTTGCGCTCCACGGGCTCTAACCAAGCCTTCTGGGTAGGCTGTGCAAGAGCAATCTCGTCGAAGGGACTGAAAATTTTCCCCGGTTCCTCCTTTGTTTCCTCTCTTGTTTCAACTCCAGAGTTGTTATCCTTGGCCTCGGCCTTGAGAGTAGCAAGTCGTTCTGCTTCCTGTTGCTTCTTGGCTTCCTCCTTCTTTCTATCTTCTTCCATCCATCTTGCTTTGTTCGCTTTTCTGAGTTGGTCCAAAGCACTCTCTCCATATATATTGGAAGAGCTGGCAGATTGTTGTGAATCGTCTGGCTGGCTATCGTCGGTACGCTTGTAGATACCTAGCCTTTCAGCGCGTGCCATGTACTGTTGCTCCACTTTCATGATCTCTGACTCTGCCCAAGCAGCACCGGCCTCGTTCTCATCAAAGGCAGGATCCAGCGTTCTGATGTATTCCAGAGCCTTAGTAGCCATCTCGGGTGAAATTCCCGATTCTCTCGGAAAGTCAATACCTATATCAATGAGACTGCCTGAGAGTCTACGGTAATGCATTAGCCGCAGGATATGGTTGCCATCGTCGCAATGCATATCTGGGCCAAAAATTTCCGCGATGGTGGCTTGATCGAGTTCTCCTGAGGGCAGGGGTATGCCAATTTCTGGATCGTAGTCTCTCCAAGTGGGAAGATCCCTACGTCTGCGGGTTACTTTCTGGCCATCTTGCGAACCCCGGCCAGTCTTCTGGACAACAGGAGGCGGTCTTGGGATGAAGCGATTACGAGCCGAGAAGGTCGTACAGGCGGAGAAGTTGCGCAAACCAGAAGCTAACGTGAATCGAGAGCGTAGAAGCGATTGTAAGTGGCTGCGAGCCTCGGTACGAGCGAGGACAGATGCTAGAGAAGATGGCGCAAAAGGTGATGAAGATGTCGAACATGAAGCCCGCATCACCACCGGACGAGCATGGTTCATGGCGTATCAATCATACACAGCAACCACGCAGAATTGCGAGACACGCGATCCAAGGCAGATATTGAAAAAACAAAGACACAAACATCATGTCGTCGACGACAAAATGGACCATGATGAATTGCGGAGTTCGGCGGTGCTCGGACCACATGGAAGCGGCGTCATGGTCGTGTTTGCCTGGGATGAATAATGATCACCTGCTGTCTCCTACTAGTCACACTCACTACACACCGAGCTCAACCAGTCGTCATGTCGCACGAAGCACTACCTATCGACCGAGCCAGATTCGCTGAAGCTCTCGAGTCGCTGCCCCTTGACGCACTGCACTCCAAAGTTGCTGAATTGCGCAACAACATGAACCATCTGAGATATTCTAACGAGCAGATGGTCCCCTTTGCCGACGAAGGTGATCAAGGTAAGTCAACTTTTACTTACTCTGAATGACTAGCTCTGATGTAGATGGTGAAGATTGCAAAGACGCCATGTACGAGAACCTCGTTGTCATCAGCCGCATGAACGAACGCATCGACCTGCTACGAGCCGAAGTCGAGAAGAGAGGCATGAGATGGTCAGAAGCCGAAGTCGAAGATCGTCAGGTCAGCGAGAGAATGGTCAACGGCGACTCTGCATCCACAACTACAACACAATCACAACCTCGAAGCGGACGCTTGACAGACGATCAGCTCAGAGCACAACTTGAGGCAAGGCTGGCCCAAGACACACAAGACGTTCAGGAAGAAGAAGGCCTTCATCTCTGAAGCCGACGTCGAGATTCGCATTTCTCTTTCTGTACGATACCCCCATGCTTGAACAATCTTACACCTTTACTCTGATTGTCCTAAACACACACGTCTTCCTCTATGAACATGCTCAAAACTATTCGAAAGCCGCAAGATCTAACGGCACCGTACTGCCTCTCCCCGCCCGGTACATTTTTGTGACTCCCGAGAATTCTCGCGGCTTGGGAAGCGTCTCATCAGGCTGGAACTTGAAGCGGGTGTCTTCGATCGTGATGCGCCCTCCTCCCATCCTGCTCCCGCCTGTTCCTTGTGACATACTTGGTGATTTTGCTCCATTGCTCAATGTGTAAGATGAGGCATCCAGGGTTGAACGTGAGATGGAACCTGCGTGAGGTCGTGTAGGTGGTGCCGAGGGAGGTGGTGAAGGCGCTGCGACTGGTGGACTAGGTGCTGCAATTGGTGGTCTGGGTGGTGAAGGCGCGGCGGCAGGCGGAGGCGGTGGTGGTGCAGGTGCAGGCGACCTCCGAGGCGTAGCACTGGCTGGTGGAGGAGGTGGTGGTGGTGGAGGAGCGGCAGGCGAGGCTCGGCCAAATGCGTTGCGCGCAGCTGTTTCGGCCAAGGATGGGGCATTGCTCATGGGTGGTGGTGGTGCGCTAATCGAAGGAGGAGGCGGTGGTGGCCTAGGGGCTGAGGACGGGGGCAATGGAGGGGCGGCTGGAGGGGCTGGCGAGGCAGAAGATGGAGGAGGTGGAATGTTGCCCGAGGGTTTGCGCGAAGATGGAGGCGGCATGGGCGGTTTCTTGCCAATTGGAGGTTTGGGTTTGGATGGTACAGCTGGCGAGGAGCTTGTAGTCTGTGGTCCGGGTCGCACGCTGTTTCTAAGGGCGGATACAGCAGGATTTGGTGGTGGTGCCATTGGGGGAGCTGGTGGGGGGACTGGCGGAGCAGAACTGGCGGGGCGAGGAGGAGCACCTGGAGGTTTTGGTGCGGCAGAAACGGGACGAGATGGAGCATCCGAACCTCCCAAATATGACGAATCCTCATCTGCACCAGTCTTGACGCCACCTGACTTGCGTAGTTTGGGCATGCCGCCAGCGAAAAGGCCTCCCAATTGAGGGGGAGCAGCTCCTGCATCGCTCGAGGCACGATCTCTATTGCCGCCGGAAGGAGGTGGAGGAGCAGAGCCTCCGGGTGGTTTGAGCATTCCTGGTACTGGGGGAGCACCCATAGCGACGGGACCTGACGACTTCTTTTCATTTCCGAGGATGGGAGCAGAACGATCATTGACCTGGGTGACCTTCTTGAGCTTGGTGCCTTTTGTGATGTCTCCTAGCAAAGCGCCCTAGAGTGTGTTAGTTGAGAATGAGATGGGTGTCGACTTTTTGCGGCACATACTCGACCTTTGGCAGCAGCAGCGGGGGGTCTACTGGGCAAGCCTCCGGGTGGTGGTGGAGGGGGAGGTGGTGGGCCTGGGCAACGCAGTCAGCGCAGGTGACAACGAGTATTATGATAGACTTATGCTTACCACCTGACATGCCGGGCGGCATTGGGGGCGGAGGGGGTGGTGGAGGCGGCATTATGGTAGCCTTGGGCACTCAAGACGGACAGAATGCGCGGGCGCGTGACGGGAGACAGCAGGCAGGCGCGCGCGCTGGCAGAGATATGGAGGGAACCAAGTCGAATGGAGACGTCGAGTATGGATAGACGACCAGAGGAGGTGCGGGCGTGGCGTTTTCGTCGAGGTGATTTGTGGTGGGTATGTGTATGTGGTGGTTGGTGGAGGGTGGAATTGTGCCCACTCGATGAACTGAATGATGGCTGAGCACGGCGTCGTCACTCGCAAGTCTCGGCCCGAACCCTAAGAACATACTGTAGAAGATCACTCGAACTTTGGAAGTTGCGACAGGCAGGCATTGACCAGTCGCCGACACAAACCAAACATGAAGGCCTTTGTTCCACCTCGATCCGCTTCCCTATGCCACTTCTGTCGCCAGGCTGGCACGCGACAAGCTGCTGCACCATGGACTTCTTCCGCCCGACTTATCCAGCAATCTCGTCCCATCTCGTCCACCTCTACACACACGCAAACCCGCCATAGGACCCTCGGATCAAGGCATGCCTCGAGTCACCAATTGCGCAGATGGCTCGCATCATCTGCCGTCTCGACTGAAGATGAACTTCCTGCTGCCACTGCCTCTCCACCAACCGAAATATCACAAAAAGACTTGTCTGAATACAACGCTCGAGTTCAAAAACTGGCCAAGACTGTTCTCGAGCACCCGGCCCTTCCAACAGAAGAAGACGTCGTCCATGTCCTGACCGAGTACAATCTCATGGCTCGGAAGCTGGTCAGCACCAAAGATATTCAGCAAAAGCCAACAACAACTCAGTCGGAGAAGACAGCCACTTCTGCGCTACTAAGCAACCTCGACGCTTCCTCAAAACCCTCCATCACAAGGATACGCCTTATGGATGCTCTGACCACCAATGCCTTTGACATGCTCCTCTATGGTCCCGTCTTCATTACCCCTAGCATCCTGAAGCTCTACGTCGATCTGCAGTCTCTATTGAAACGTCCAGAGTCCTTCCCAGCCGTCTTCACCCTATACCGTGAGAAGCCAGTACCGCGGCCTTCCAGCAAAGCTGATCTCGTCACCTACGACAACCCCAACCCCGATAAGCCTGCTGCTGCCGTACAACCTGCCGTGGCTGACATGGCTATCGACGCTGCAATCGCCAGTCGCGATCTGTCTCTTGCCCTGGCCACCATTGATGCTACATACTGTACAACAGCATACAAGCGCTCCAAGTTCTTGCGAAGTGCTCTCTTCCCATTGACTGGCTTCCTGCTGACTCCACCTGCCGCTTATACACTTGCAACACGCTTCAGTGACTACCAGAACACAATGGATCCTGCAATGGCCACTAATATCGCCATGGCCGCTATGATGACTTATAGTGTATGTGTTGGCAGTATTGGCTACGTTGCCTTGACCACTGCCAATGACCAAATGGTCAGAGTTACCTGGGCTCCAGGTGTGCCATTGTGGGAACGTTGGGTACGCGAAGAAGAACGAGCCGCCCTTGACAAGCTCTCCCAGGCTTGGGGCTTCGCAAGCACAGAAAAGTGGGGAGAAGAAGAAGGTGAGGAATGGGACTACCTCAAGGAGTTCTGTGGTTTGAGGGGAATGATGCTCGATCGTGTTGAGCTGATGGATGGCATGGAGTAGAAAACATCTGACGCAAATTGTCAGCTAGGATGATTGTACAGAAACCACTATATACCCCAATCTTTTGTAGTTTCACATCTACAGCTGCGTTAGGAGATTCTGAAGCCTCTGTTCAAGAGCACTTGAGACATCGCCACCACATTGCACTTCTTCTTTGATACCTAGCCGTCTACACTGCACCTCCACTTTACCCTCTGTCTTCCATGCTCTTCCCAATACGACAATCAACGGGTATCCCACCAAATCTGCATCGTTCAACTTCCAACCCATAGATTTCTTGCGATCATCCAACACGGCATCGAAGCCACTCAACACAAGCTTCTTGGTGACATCCTCAGCAGCATCCTCATTGCCGTTTGCAGGAACAACAACAGCAGAGAATGGTGCAATAGCAGCAGGCCAGTTCAACCCCTTGGCATCAGACAGCATACTCGCGATCGCACCCACAAGACGCGAGACACCAATGCCGTGGCAGCCCATCTCGATCGTCTGGCGCACGTCGTTGCTGTCGACAAACGTAGCCGAAAGAGGCAACGAATATCGCGTGCTGAGGTGGAATGTATGGCCAACCTCTATCGCGCGGCTGACGGTGACTTTGCCATCACCGCACTTCTGGCAGGGATCGCCTGTTAGTGTACGAGTGAGTTGCATCGACTTTCCGTTCTTTCTCGGTCGTAATTGGAATTGCACGCTGTTGAATTTACCCGAGGGAAGGAGGAGCTCGCGTGGCTGGAGTTTTTGTTGGATATCGGCGCAGGTTGAGTTATTGACAGGAAGTCGTTCGTCGTTTATTTCGATGATTTGGGCTGAAGATGGACGAGAGCCAGTCTCTTGACGCGGATTGGCTTTGTCCCAGATTTCCAGTGGATTTTCAACTGAGAGGTCGACATCTGGAACGAGCGCTTTCATAACATTTGGATTGATTTCGTTCTTGGTGTTATCATCTCCAAAGGATTGTTGTGTGGTAGTTGGGAACCATGCGACAACGAGGCTGTTGCGATCTTTGGTAATGCCAGTCCAGCGAGAAAGGTCTTTCTTGTGTTCGATGGGCACTTGTTCTGGTTGATCGATCGAGGTGATGGCGAGTTCGTCGTTGATGGTGTAGCCACATGAGCCACAGCTGATAACATTGTCCTCACCCTTTGCCGAGACAAAATGGTATTCATGACTCAATGTGCCACCGATGTTTCCAGAATCCGCTTCAGCAACCAGATAGGGTAATTTGAGCTCATCGAGGAAAGCCCTGTATGCTAGTCGTACTTCCTCGTAGGTTTGTCGTGCTTGTTGTTCGGTGATATCAAAGGTGTAGAGGTCTTTCATGGTGAACTCTCGACCACGTAAAAGACCTTGTCGAGGACGAGCCTCATCTCTGAATTTGCGTCCAATTTGGTAGAGTCGGAGAGGAAGATCCTTGTAAGATTGAACAGTGCTTGCGACCAGAGATGTGATTTCTTCCTCATGCGTTGGAGATAATAAGAACTTTGCATCTTTTCTGTCGTTGAAACCGAACAACTTGGACAATAAGTGATTTGTTCGAGGACTTGTAAAAAGATTTGGTGGAGATAATGTCATTGAAGATGAAGGAGAGATGTACTTACTTCGCCGCCATGGCCCACGAATCTGCCAGTCTTCTTCCAGAGATCCTCTGAGGAGATGGTAGCCAGAGATACTTTGGCAGCACCTACATACAACTCAGCCGATAGCGCCTACCTGTTCCATACACGATATGCATACCTATGCTCTCCATGTGCTTGTCAATTAAGGCTTCGAGTTTTTGTTGTACACGGTTGCCCAGCGGCAGCATATGGAAAATGCCAGCGTGGGCTTGTCTCAAATAGCCTGCTCTGATGAGAAGCTCATGGGATTCATCTTTGGCGTCTTTAGATCTTTCGGCGCCAACAGTAGGGATCCAGAAGCGAGAGAGACGCTGAATATTGCTGCTCGATGATATTGACCTCGAACAAGTTCTTGACAAATTACCGGGCAACGTATACACAACGCGGTGAACAGCTCGAGACAAGGGCACACATCCCAACGATCTGACTTGGGAGTACATCCGCGCGCCGATTACTATATGGTTCTCGACTCACGAGTATCGATTGGTAGATGTCAAAGTCACTGGGCCAGACTCAGCAATGAAAGCAGTTTGGCCGGGGTTATCGGAGTTTAATTGTCGAAGGGAAAAAAGCCGAACGGCTCCCGCAAAACTTCTTGGTTGGCGCATGTGAACGCCGCCGAAGACAGACGATCGTGTTTTTTTGTCCAAGAAGACATCTTCATACAAGACGCCGTAAACATGGGCTTTGCCAGGAAGCGCTCTGCCGATGAGGCCCGCGCTGGAGGTTCGCGCCCGGAGAGAACATTTCCCAAGAAGGAGTACGCGAAGAAGGAATACTCCAAGAAAGAAGGTGGTGAACAAAAGGCAAAGAAGACTCCTCTGGTATGCGGCCTGCGATTTTGCTGCACTGAGCATGCTTTCTGACAACAACCTAGATCTTTGAACCAAGGCCCGACTGGTATGCGACTGCATTGCCTGAATTGCCCGTATCCACATCCGCTCAACCACCTGCCCAAAGATTGGTCGACGAAATTTACGATTATGCCTACACTCTGCTCGAGTCCGAAAACACGAACTATGCTGCCAACAACAACTCTGCCTCTTCGTCACACAAGTTCTTGTCCACCATCATGGCCTCCGGTACCCTTGAGGATAAAATTTCAGCCCTGACCCTGCTGGTACAGGAGTCACCGCTACACAACACTAAAGCTTTCGAGACATTGCTCGGTCTGGCAAGAAAGAAGAGTAGGAATCAGGCTCTCATGGCTGTCGCTGCCATCAAGGATTTGCTGGGTCAGGGTGATGTCCTTCCTGGTGACCGCAAGCTCCGCGCTTTCACAAAACAGCCTGCTTTGGCCAAGGCCCTCGATGAGCACCACACTATCTGGCGAGTTGGCAGTCCTTTGCCAAAGGGTCTTGAGAAGACCCACCTTATCTACTGGGCATTCGAGGACTGGTTGAAGAAGCAATACTTTGAGCTTTTGAAGATTCTGGAGAGTTGGTGCAGTGACGAGGTTGAATACGCAAGAAGCAGATCGATCACATACGTCTGGGAGTTGTTGAGAGACAAGCCCGAACAAGAGGAGAACCTTTTGAGGTTGTTGGTGAACAAGCTCGGTGACAAGGACAAGAAGATCGCCTCACGCACATCATATCTCCTGCTGCAGCTGGAAAACACCCATCCGGCCATGAAGGGTATTATCGTCAGTGCCATCGAGACCGAATCGCTCTTCCGTCCTGGACAAGCCGCTCATGCAAAGTACTACTCCATCATCACCCTCAACCAAACTATTCTCAGCGTCAAGGAGCCTGAAGTCGCCAACAAGCTGCTCGACATCTACTTTGGCCTCTTTATTCAGTTCTTAAAACCTAGATCACATGCCAAGGTCAAGGCTCAAAAAGTTCAAGGCGGTGGCGGAAAGGCTGGCAAGATGGCCGCAAAGAAGGCAAAGGCTTTGGAGCAGGCTGATGCTGCTGACAGCGAACTCAACGAGAAGATGATTACCGCCGTTCTGACTGGTGTCAACCGTGCTTTCCCCTTCGCCAAAACCGATGACCCTACCTTTGAACAGCACCTCGATACCATTTTCCGCGTCACCCACTCATCCAACTTCAACACCAGCATCCAGGCCTTGATGCTGATTCAACAGATTTCTGCCACCAAGCACTTCTCAGCTGACCGATTCTACCGCACACTCTACGAATCTCTCCTCGACCCTCGCCTCATCACCTCGTCCAAGCAGATCATGTACCTCAACCTTCTCTTCAAGTCGCTTAAATCCGATGTCAACGTCAAGCGCGTACAGGCTTTTGTCAAGCGCTTGCTACAAACAATCACCATGCACGAAGCACCATTCGTCTGTGGTGTCTTGTACCTCATCAGCGAGCTCGAAACCACTTTCCCCACAATCAGAAACATGATCCGTGAGCCGGAGGCCGACCCCGAGGATGAAGAGGAACACTTTGTTGATGCACCTGAAGATGGAGCTGACAAGGCAGAAGAGTTGGCACGGGAACAGACAGTCCCTGCAGTGCGCTACGATGCACGGAAGAGAAATCCTGAACACAGCAACGCTGACCGCAGTGCCCTGTGGGAAGTCCTGCCATTACTTTCTCACTTCCATCCGTCGGTCGCAATTTTCGCTGAGGCACTGGTCAACCAGACCACGCTACCACCCAAGCCCGATCCTACCAAGCACACATTGATGCACTTCCTGGACAGGTTCGTTTACCGCAACGCAAAGACCAAGGGAGCCACAACAACACGTGGAGCATCCATCATGCAGCCTATGTCAGGATCCAATGCCGCAGACGTACTCATCAAAGATCGTGCCGACCCTACTCACCGCATTCCTCTCAACTCGGACGCTTTCTGGAAAAAGAAGGTCGAAGACGTTGCAGCCGACGAGGTCTTCTTCCACGACTACTTCACCAAGATCAATAACGCCAAGCCTACCAAGAAGGACAAGAAGAAGCAGAAGGAGGCTGCTGACAGCGACGCGGAGAGCGATGCCGACGAGGATGAGATCTGGAAGGCCCTTGTCGAGTCAAGACCTGAGATTGAGGGCGATGACGGCGATGACGACGACGACCTCGACATGGAAGATCTCGAAGAAGGCTACTCAGATAGCGAGGAGGGCGATGGTGGTGTCGAGATTGGCGAGTTTGCTGAAGACGACATGGATGAGGCAGACTTGGGATCTGATATGGAGGATGATGTGGAAGATGACGGCTTCGAAGGACTGGAGAGTGGCGATGAAGACGCCATGCTCGGCGACGACGAAGACCTACCATCTGACTTTGAAGGACTGGGAGACGACACAGAAGAGAAGGACGAGAAGAAGGACAAGTCGGAAGAGAAGAAGAAAAAGAAGAGGAAGCTCAAGCACCTGCCGACATTTGCGTCAATGGACGACTATGCCAAGCTGCTGGGTGCAGACGACGAGGACATGTAGATTTAGCATTAGTTATACCATGTGGTTGCCCTTTGCGCAGGGCTTGTCTGACTCAAACAAGGAGAGTTTTGTACTTTGATATTGTCAGGTTGTGGTAGATGAAATAGACTTTGGCCAACAGGGCCGAGGGCGCCATGACGGTGAGCGGCACGTTGCAGATCCGGGGCTTGGATGTTGAATGAATCGAGAGCGAGCAGTGTTGGAATTGTAAACAGACGACAATTGAAGCTCAGCAGCAGCATGAATCGGTAGCGCCATGAGCCTGGAGAAGAAGGATGTGATCACGGCTGGTGTGGCCGCTTTTGTCTCGTGGTTGCTGCTCACGCACTGGGTGCCGTCGTTTCGCTGGATCCCCTACGCCTTTGTCACCGGCTGCCTCGCAACTCTCGCTGGTCTCGCATTCCTCCTCTTGACCTCGTCAAAGGGCCCTAACTACCGCTACAACCATGCCACTACCATCAAACCTCCCGCGTTCGTCACTCCAGCCCTGTGGAAGCAAGAGAAGGCTGCTCTCAAGGCTCGCTCACGATACGACAAGACGCCCATCTACCCATCCTCAGCAAACGTCTCGCTGAGCATTGACGCCCTGTTGGACTATGTTCTCCGCGACTTCATCACCGTCTGGTACAAGAATATCAGCCTCCGACCGCTGTTCCAGAATGAGGTGGATCGTGCAATCAGACAAGTCTTGGACAACGTGCGTAGGCGCACTCAACAACTCGACATGGTCGAACTTGGTGTCGCCAGGATTGTCCCCATCTTGACCAACCATATGCGCGACTTCTACAATGCCGAGCGTATCGTCAGGGGAAAGAATCTTTCTCGCGACATGACCGAGTCTGAAGAGTTGGACCTTGCCATAGCCGCCAAATTCAGAGATGGCAAGCTTCACCCAGCTGCTGCTCTGGCCTTCTCCGACACAAAGCTGCTGCAGCAAACTCACCTGCGTCGCCTGATTGCTAAGATACTACCTCTGGTCATGCCCGAATACATGAAGACTAGTGCAGCTGTAACCACCCTGGTCAAGGAGATTGTCGCATGTGCTGTTCTCACCCCGATCGTGTTGATGCTTTCCGACCCCGACTTCTTCAACCAGCTCATTGAGAACTCTGGACGTACCATGCTTCAGGATCGTAAATCTGTTCGCAAACTACGAGCTGCATTGGATGAGCATGCAGTACCTACCCCCCAACATCCCAAAGCTGCTCAGTTCCCTCGTCTGAGGCCAAACGATAACGAGAGGCAGTTTGAAAGATTTATCCGTGCGACTCGCAATTGTGCCACCCTCTCTGACGCTAGACGCTTCAGAAGCGAAATCTCCAGTCAAGTTCGAAAAGCTACTTCTGGCCCAGAGCAAGACCCTGTCTACCTCCGCCGCTTGGAATCTGGACGGCGCATTTTGGATCAAAAAATCGCCCACTTCACCGCCGGCGGTTCTGCCAGACCGAAGCTGACTGTGAAGGCTTCTACATCTAGTATTGAGCATACCTCGAGACTGAGCCAAGCCTCTCTGGACGAAGTGCTCCACAATGCGTCAGGTCTCTCCTACTTCATGGAATTTATGGATAGGAAAAGCCGCATGCGTCTAGTGCAGTTTTGGATCGTGGTAGACGGTTTCCGCAACCCGCTCGAGGGAGACAACGACGAGCCAGAGCAAGAATTACAAGATACTCCATGGACGCCTTCGGATAGGATGGACCTAGAGCAGATGTATGAAGCCTATCTCACAAAGCCCGAACTCAACGTGCCAGACCACGACAGACGGACGGTGAGGGACTTCTTGCGGGCAGGCAGGACAGCAGATGCTCGACTCTATGTTTCTGCTCGACGTGCTGTTCTTCGGGCGCAGACGGCTGTCTTTGAAGAGATGAAGGAACAGCATTTTGAGAATTTCAGAAAGTCAGATTTGTTTTACAAATGGCTTGCTACCGAGGAAAGTTCCATCCTGTCAGCCACCTCAGATGGCCATCAAGAACTCTCGAGATCATTGTCAGTTGGTGGTGAGAGGGATCGACCACTCCATCGAGAAGCTCGACCGGCGACTGTGCTTTCGCCAAAGTCGCCTCGCGCGCCTGAGCTCAAGCGGCCGGCACTGTCATCTACCGATCTGAAGAGTTTCATCAAACCCGGGGTTGTTGCCAGCCCAGTACGGCAATCCATGGATGGCGGAAGACCTCGGCCTTTGTTTGATGACGATGTCGAGGACGAACGTATGACTCGATCTGTCTCTGCACTCAGTAGCATGGACTTGGACATTGATGGCGAGCAACCTCATGATGATTCTGCGCAGGTAGTCGATGCCATGCAAGCTGCTTTGAATGAGATCATGGATGAACCAGACAATGGCTCGATCTTTTCTTCAGAGAGTCTAGGTGTGAGTAATGATTCGCCAAGGACGTCTCTAGATGGTGTGAGACCTCCTCTAGTCCAGACGAGATCGAAGCCCAGTATTGCCTCACTAGGCTTGGTAGGCGCCGTTTCAAGCAAAGGAGTCTTTGAGGATGATTTGTTTGGAGAAGAGGAAAAGTTTGCTGAAGATGAGAAAGAGGATTCAGACTTGGATGAAAAGTCGATCGAGGACGATATTCACGAAGCTGCGCCTGGCGATCTTGGACTCACGGAAGCTATCAGCACTCTTAACGCAGACATCGACCGCCTAACGGCTCAAGATGCCATCCTGGACTCGCTAACGAAGAAGGCTGAGTTGACCAATAACGCAGCTGAATTGCGCATTCTACGCAAGTCGAAGCAGAGCTTAGCAAGAGAAATACACCGCAAGGAGATGCAAAAACAACAGTACACTATCCAGGAGAGCGACAATAGCTTGTATGGGCGAGCGGCAGTCAACATCAAATCAATCATGGTCGGTAGAGAAGAGGATGGTCATGAGTTCGCGCTTTGTGAGTTTCGTTTATTGTTACCTTCTGGAAATACAGCTGACGGGATCAAGACGTTATCGAAGTCCGACGTCAGGCAGGCGATCAGATGCCTGCTGCAGTGTGGATGGTGACTAGACGTTATAGCGAGTTCCACGAGCTGAACAAGCGTCTTCGAGAGAGATTCCCTGCTGTCAGAAACCTTGAGTTCCCGCGCCGACAAACACTTTTCACGTTGCAAAAAGACTTCCTACAAAAGCGAAGGGTCATACTTGAGAAGTACCTCAAAGTAAGTGATTGCTATAACATGATGGTCTCAACAGCTGCTGACGGTTCATAGGCTCTACTTCTTATCCCGGCCATCTGCCGTAGTAGAGAACTTCGTGCTTTCCTGTCCCAGTCACGAATCACGTCGAGTGCCAATGGCAGTCAAATCGACGAGAAAGACTTTGTAACAAGAATTTATAACTCAGTCACCGATGGTATGGAGGAGTTCCTGGGCAACATACCAGTCCTCGACCAGCTCTCCGTCGCCGGTCAGAATCTCATCTCAGCAGCGACCGCCCAGATGAGTGGAGTTCCACTGAACCCCAATGCCCCTGAGTTCTCGTCAGATCCAGCCTCTGCTGCAGAAGCCGAGGCCGAAATCAATGCTTTCGAAGATCGTGAGGCAGAGCCCTTCGTCAAACCCATCTGTGACATCTTCCTTGAGATCTTTGAGTTGCAAAAAGGCACCAGCTGGCTACGAGGTCGTGCCGTAGTCGTTGTGTTGCATCAACTTCTCGGAGGCACCATCGAGCGCAAGGTACGCGATGCAGCGAAAGGGTTTGGACAGGAGGACACAATCATTCGCTACCTTGATCTCGTCAAGAACATCATGTGGCCAGACGGCCAAATGAAGCAAGGCGGTGTTCCACGAACAGCGGCCCAGAAAGCAGCTAGTCAGAAAGAAGCAGGGTTGTTGCTTGCGACGCTGGTGCCGGACTTGGCAGGGAGTGTTGTGGGAAGGCAGAACGCGCAGGCCGCGAGTAGGAAAGTGTTTGCCATGCTGAATAATCAGCGATTAAAGTAAGTCTGCTCCCCTCGCGATCGATACCTTTTTTGAAGGCGAGGGTGATATACTAATGCTGGCATAGTACGCATCTGGTTTTTACGCTTTTAGACGAGCTGATAGGGGCTGTATTCCCAGAAGCAGTTACACGATAATAGAAGAAACACAATGATACCATTTCACAAGCTATGCTGGCTCTCTTTCAAAACCGTGATCATAAAGAGTATTGGAGGGAGTGTGTGGTGTGTTGGTAGTTACCATCAAGGATGTTCTTGGTAGAGGTTCCTTCAGACACTGCTGACAGTTCAAAAAAGAAGTTCTGCCATACCAAACAACAATCACCTTTGGTCTGACGGTCAGCAGTGCAATATCAAAAGCTAACCATGTCTTGGCAGTCATGACAACAATTAATCACCAACATCAACTTACTCGAGTTCGACTCTCTGCATCAGCCAATACTTCCACCAGTCAATCTTCCACCAATCAGCTTGGATCTCTTGATAGACGCGCCCCTGTGGAAAGGTGGTCTGGTCACTATCAGAGGCTGGAGGAGAAGATGGATGGAGGGAAAGTGAAGGTTGTGGATAACTTTGGAAGTGAGTAATAACTTCCCGATCCGTCAGACCCGTGATCTCTTTTTATGCTTGGATCTGCTTGATATATTCATCGTCTTCTGCATCACTTTCTTGCACTTTTTGGTCTTCTCAAGTTTCCTTCTGTGAAACACTCTGCTTGTGCTCCTTCAACAAGGTGTTTCGCTGACTCTCACTTGATCTATTCTCAGCCGTCATCGCTGATATAACTGCCACTGATTGGTGGCTCAGACCAACTGATTCGTCTGTCTCGTTGTCATTTTCCGGATCGGCTCCCACTCGTCTGGTTCGCGTCACTACTACAAACGAAGCCAACACCAACGCACAATCCTTGAATTGTGTTTTCATCGCTCCTTCCTTCGACCCCAAGACCATCAACTTATCAATTCAAACTCAGTTGGCCATCTGCGAACTGAACACGCAAGCATGAATCCACGCGCCCCCCACTACAAGTTTCGGGCATCTTCTTCGTCTACCAGCAGCGGCAAAGACCTTGAGAGCATCTATGGAAGTTTGCACAACACATTCGTGCCCGCTTCTAAACCTACCATGAACAGCGCGCGCGAGGCACCTCCTGCCACTATGAGCAACAGCACGCGCGAACCCCCTAGTCACAGTCGCTCGCTTGTCAAATTCCAGCCACATGAGAGCTCCGCAGTAAGTGCTCACTGTGTATACAACTGCCTGAATCTTGCTAACCAGCGCAGGACGACTTACTCGAGCGCGCACGTAGTGAGCAACTTGAACAGAATCAGCTGACTATGCACACAAAGCTCCTGCGTTTGGCAGATCAGGTTCACGAGTTGTTGGCTCAGCGCTCAGCCTTGGAAGAAGAAAAGGCCCAAAGCGACAAGAGGATCGAGGAGCTCCGTTGTGAGCTCGCCAGTCTCAAATCCCAAGTTCAGCAGCACCACAACAAGCTGGATGTTTGCAAGCGTGGCATTGACGAAAATGCCAAAGAAGCTCTAAAGTTGGAGCAGCGCATCAAAGCAATCCCTGGAAGTTTGGAAATGCGCTTCCAACATCACTCCACTCGTATCGACAAAGTGGAGAGTCTTGTACGTGGCGCTGGAATTCAAATCAAGCAGCACACTACACAGCTGGGCGATAAGGAGAAGCGCATCGACCAGCTTGAGCACAAGTCCGGTGGTATCATTACCACAAACAGTTACTATGGTTCACACTCGCAGGATAATGGCGCTATGATTGAAGGTAAGTAATCACGCATTCGCTGTGTCTGGATTCTGCTGATGATCTTAGTGGCCCAACTCAAACTCGACATCGCGAAGGTCCAGCAAACTCAAGATTCCCACAAGTCGTACCTGGAGAAGACTGGAGAGACTCTGATCATCCATCAGAACAACATGGCCACGGCCAGCAAGACTGTTGATGATCTTCGCTCTGAGCTTGAGAGATTGAGCACTGTCAACACTGGACGCCGTGGCAACGAGAACTCGGCACCTAGAGCCAACCATCTAAGACTGGACGTAACCCCCGACGCCATCTTCAAGCTTCAAAGCCAGATCGATCGCTTGGCTGAAGAAGTTCGTCACAAGGTGAACCATGCAGAAAGTCCCAATAGCGACGCATCTAGCGCTGCCAACGATGTGGAGACACTGATGATTCAAATGGATGAGGTCCGCAACAAGATTCGCAAGCTTGAGAGAGACATGGTAAGCTATCGAGGGCTGTTCCTGACAGACTCTGGAACTAACACATGGTTATAGGGCTATCAAGCCGACATGCATCGTCATCTGGAGCAGATCTCGTTGTCCAGCAAGATTAGTCTGGAGACAATGTTCTATCAACTTACGAAGGAGCTCGAAGGCAAATGTGCCCCTGAAAACATCGAATTTGGCCTGGACGAGGATCGTATCTTCATACTTAGACAGCGTGTCCTCGAGCGCCTGTCGGTCGAGGATAGCGTCCAGTGCAAATTCCTGCGCCTCAAGGAATCGCAACAGATGTTCACGTAGTCAGCCTAATCGATTTTTGGAGCTATAGGAACGCGCGATAGTCTAGCAAAGGATTCATTTCTAGAGAGAATGCAATCAAGGCTATCTCCATGGCAGAATCTACTTTAAGATCACAACTGTGCATTTCAACAGCCTATAAAACCCCTTTGCACGTCAGGAGGTCGATTGCAAGTCTGTGACAGTCTTCAAGCAGATGTAGATTCTCTCAAGGCCGGCGGCAGCTGCTTCTTTCTTTTGGCGTCTCTCCTCCTTCCTAGCCTACTCCTCCCCCTCCATCACACCTTCCTCGCCTACCCTGCCAAAGAACGTGACAGTCCTGCTCTTGATCTTCCAAACACCACTCGCACCTGCCTCTATCTCCGTGTCTCCCGCTTCACTAGCAGAAACGCAGATCAGTTCGTCAACATACTTTCCGTATGCAGTTACTTGCTGGCCTTCCCATTTACCTCTGCCCAAATGCACACCAGTAAAGTAAGTTGTTGCCTTTGCTGTAGCTCCGTCGAGGAGTAGATGTTGGGTAGTCAATGCGTGCTGGGTTGTTACCGGCTTCAGTCTATAATTTTAACCACATGTCAGTTCCAACTCCACAACTTCTCTCTAAGTCCATCTCTCCATCTTCTTTCATTACTCGATCGCACGCAATATTGGGGATTGGTGACGAAAGGAAAACTTACCGTTGCTGTATCCTCTTGCTCAAAGCATCGACACCTAGAATTGGTTCATCGTTGAAAGGATATTTTGCAACAACATCTTTTGCAAAGACTCGTTCGAGTAGAGGCCAGTCTTTGTTGTCTAGGGCAATGCAGTAGAGCGATATCACATTCTTGATGGCGTTGTAATCGTGAGGATTGGGTTGGGTGGACATTGTCGTAGATGATGATTTTCTGGCGGTGCTCTCGTAAATGCGTTTTCAAGCTACTGTCGTCGATAGCTCGGACTTTTCAGAGGCTCTAGTGAATAGTGTTGATTGGCTTCAAGTAAGGATACAAGTGATCACAGGATGAGCTTTAAGTATAGTGATTTCGGCATCCCCGCCCGGCTCCACAGTTCTCGGAGTGGAAGCTGCTATTTGCTAAAGATGGTAATAGGCACATCTCGAGAGAATCGGATCATGTATAGGCCTCTTCAGAGCCCAGTTTGATGCATAGTAGAGGCAGATGTGAGGAGTGATCTTGTTCAAGTAATAAATGTACAAAGGCCTGGGCCTTATCTCTGGAAACTTTGGTATACAATCCAGTCTACTCCTTGTTAGCAGATGCGCTGCCCTGATAAGTCCAACTGGGCTGTTGAGTGGTGTTTGTTTCCAGGTTGGACGCGGGCAATTGGCCATCAGCAGGCAATTCAAAGACACGCAGCCTCGAAGTAATTCTGTCATCGACAACCACATCATCCAACCATAATCTTTCCTTCTTCTCCTGTTGCACAGCGCTCTCTTCTGATTCGGGATCGGCCTTGGGCTTTCTGATGCTCTTGTGCCATTCCTTCTCTTCGTGCGACAGGTAGTCGACATCCGAAGCTTGGAACTCGCGATGTGATGCAAGGACAGCGGCTGCAGTGCGAGAGAAGATCTCTTCGGCGACATAGCGACGGGTGAGGAAACGGTAGATGCGAATGGGGAAGTTCCAGAAGCCCAGAAGGTGAGGGAAGGGGATAGCGATTGCTGGACCAAGAGTAGTGGGTGTTGATGCGGGCAAAAGGGCATTAGTGTAGGCAGAGGTGGAAATGTAGGGGTCGGGTTTTGTGAGTTTTGGTTTTGCGGGTTCTTGTTCTTTTGGTGGTTCGGGGAGGGACTCAGGAGTTGTGTTTTCAGAGTCGTTGGCATTGGAGTCGAAGACAATGGAGGTCGAGTCGGTGGTTGTGGATGAGCCTGAAGAAGCCGTGGGAGGCGTGTCTTTCATGGTCAAGTCGGTGGCTGCCTTGACAGCGGCATCACCTAACGAAGGTGCGCCGTCAATGTGCTGCTTGGCCTCTTGGACTTCTTCAACTTGTACAGGCTCTTTCAATGGACCCAACCAGCCCTCGTGTGTGCCACGCAAATACTCCTTCCACGCATGTCTACCGATGACCAGATCTCCTTTTACTCCCGCTTCATCCACGCAACCGACTCTTTCTCTCTGCTCAGCGACGACCTGCTCTTTTGTAGGCTCAGCATCGTCTTGGACGCCTTCAGCCTTCCGCCTGTATCTTCTGATCTTCTCTGCCGCTCCAAAGCGCAAGTCACCCTCTCTTCTGCCCTCAACGACATCCCAATCCATAGCTCCTGCGACCAAGACTGGCTTCACGTACTCGTAAAAGTGTTCTCTCGCGCTTCTCAGGCCGTCTGCTGGTGGTGCTTGTAGGTAGATGGTCATTTTCCTGGGCATGGTCGTTGTCGGCAGTATCTTTTCCGAGAGCGGAGCGACCATATCGCAGTATTTTTGTTGGAATCGAGCAGTCTCACGTTTGTCGTAGTAAACTGCTGCAGCGAAGGATCCTGTGATGGAAAGGAAGATCATCCAGTTTCGCGAAGGGAGTTTGGCTTTGATATTGGGTAGACCTGTATGACTTCTCTATCAGTAACTCATTCTCTGATACTCCTTTCACGCCGTCTCTTCTTAACGTCTTCATGACGCTGGCTCGAGGAAAGATTAGCTTAATCACGTACCCATCATGCGGAAGGCGGGATTGCCCTCTGCTGCCTTGGGAGCAGCCTTTGCACCATTGTTGACAGTCTGCTCTGCCGTCTTGGACAGGGGCACTCCAGCTACTTTGTCCGCCATGCTCGGATGGTTATGTCAAGACAGATCTTTGTTCAATCGTCACATGCTGCTGTCGGTCGAGAATTTCCCCAGCGTCTTCGGCCTTTGTCGGTCCTTGGCACCCATCTACAGGGTCACACAAACGACATCATCTCCAGTGACATGTGCTTGACACTGCTCACGCAATAATTGTATTATCTTCCAGGAGAAGTGCTTGAATCTGACACGAGGAACGTCTCATGTTATGGTCGTAGCGAAATGTACTGGGGACTGAGGGGAAGGTGTTGCACGCGAATAACCTTCGAAACCATATTCATGGGCTACAGCTTCAAGGCTCCATACTCGAACATTTGCTGATCATCAACCTGCAGTGGATCCATCCACACTGCTGAACTCTCAATCAATGCTTCGCAGGAGATATCCATGCCTTATCCGTGACAACTCTGATCGCCTTTGCCAGCTCCGTTCCTTTCTCCCACACCTCATCATGCAAGCAATCAATGACCACTTTCAGCACTTGTTTGCCCTCGTTGCCTGTCGATGTCGTCGATGTCCTTGTGAACCCTTGCACGACCAGCTTCTTGACAATAGAGTCCGTTTGCTCCATGTCCACCAACTCATCACTACTGGACTGTACGAGTAGGACGTTGCCCTGCCACTTCTCCATTTTGCCGACCAATTGGCTTGCTGTGACCCATGTCTCCTCATTCTGACCGAACGCTGCCGTGACAAACTCACGATAAGCTGGATGAGTATGTGTAGCAACCAAAGCAGCTATGTCATAGATGCCTTCCATACCCGACAAGGCTACAGGAGGCTGTATAGCACCGTATCTGGCACTCAAGCGAGCAGTAGCTTGCATTGCAAGTGTTGCGCCACAGCTATGCCCGCATAACACATATCGACCTGCTGTGATAGCTCCAGTATCTGGCAAGCGGATAGCACCACCATTCTTGAGGCCGACGTCCTCACCAGCGCTCGAGCCAAGGAAAGACAAAGCGACGAGGACATCATTCAGATGCTCTGGATGCTGCACATTGCGACTGTCGTCGTGCGTAGATGATGGAGATGTAGGATGCGAAGGATATGGAGACAGGCGGTAGTCAAGTGACACGAACCCGGCAATATTGTGAGGTTGATCATCCTGGAGAAGCAGGTCCAGAGCAGTGTTGAAACTCTTGCGGTCGATCAAAGGATCTCTCCAAGCTCCTCCATGAATATAGCTGATCGTGAATCAGCCGTTGCAAGTCTAGATAGGTGTATAATAGTAGGGTTCGTCCTATGATAAGGAGGAATTGGGGTGTGCAACAGGACCGGTATCATGCGACAAGAGTCTGCAGATTGCGAAAACACCAACAGAAGATGAGGCAGAACGGAAGGAAAAAGTGTTTCACCTACACAAGCCATACTGCCTGATGTGGATCTTCAGGCTGTCTTTTGGGGACGCATATGTCAAGCAGATTCAGACGGGTACCCCCGTACTTGTAGGAAACATCAGTCCAGTATCTGGCATGCGGAGACTCGTGATACTCGGCAGTCCGAGATGTGAGAAGTGTTTCAGTCGTCATGCAGTCGATCTAAGCAGGCTGTGGAGAATGATCAATCAGACACAGCAATTGCAGGTAGGCAGGCAAAGCAGGGTCACGGCCTGGCGGGGTCACGGATGATTAATAAGGTTGACCCTGACAGGAACCAACCGATGTTTGGCAACGGGGCGGGCCCTTTCCACAAAACGAAACAAAGACAGATTCAACGAGAATACCAACCCACACTTCCTGCTGCTTATCATAGACTTGATGGCTTCAGGCAGAGGCTTTGACTGGCTGACTGACTGAATGCCCAAGCAGAAGTCAGATGTAGGTTGATTGGGCTGCGAAAAGGCAGGCTCGAATGACGTCTGTGGTGTGTGGGCTGCTGCTTTGCCTGCCACGTCTTTAAACCTGAAGTTGCGACTTCTGCGAGAATTCGGTTGGTTGGTGGGCTGTAGGTAGCCGCCGCGCTTTCCCTTCCATCACATCTCACTTGTCCTTCTCTCACTCTTTCCTGCTCTGTCGCGCAGCAAGACAAATCCTGTGAATTCAAATCCTGCGAAACACGACGCAATCCTTATCTTAATTATTCTTCACCTCAATCACGCATTAAGCACATCCTTGCACCGAACGATCGGGCAAGGCGCTTGACACCTCGAACCCCACCACACCATCCGCAAGCCAAGGCCTCCTACTAGCCACCCTTGTCAGGCTTGTGACGCCCATCATCTTGACTGAGCGCTGCCAGTCAGGCCTCTCTCTTTCTTTTTCGACCGACTCTCGACCACTTACCATACCATGTCCGACTACGGTGGATACGACGACCGCCGCCGCTATCGCGAGACGCGCACTCGACCTCGCGAACGCGGCGATCCCGAATTCGTCCAGGAAACTACCTACATCGAGCGCGGCAAGGGCCCTCCTCCTCGTGATCTGGTCTACCGCCCTCGCGAAGAAAGCGTCGAAGACATCACACGAGACTTCCCTCCCCCCTCGAGCGATCGTTATGGCCCTCGTGGAGGAAGAAGAGAATACGACAACTACCCTCCACCTCGCCGTGCGCGCAGCCAGGTTGGCCGCAGAGACTACGATGATTACGACGATGATTATGATGTCCCTGTCGCTGCTGCCGCTGCTGCAGGCGCTGGATATGCTGCTGGACGCGCAAAGGATCGCCGCCGTTACCGTGACCGCCATGATCGTGACTACGACTCGGAAGAATACTCACCCCCTCGTCGCCGTCATGCTGAACGACGCAAGTCTGGTGTCGGTGAGATCTTGGAAGGCCTCGGACTTGGAGGAGTCGCCGCTGCTATCACAGGACGCTCGCGTAGCCGCAGCAGGTCCAGAGATCGTGACTCTCGTCGTGACAGAGACGGCAGAGCCAGATCACGTCATGGTGGTCGCTACGACTCTGACGACGATAGCCGCAGCCGCAGCAGGTCCAAGGGACGCACCGAACGCAAGTGGGCTCAGGCTGCTCAAGCTGCTCTTGTTGCTGGTGCTGTCGAGGCTTTCCGATCCCGCAAGGAACCTGGACCTTGGACTGGAGAAAAAGGCCGTCGTATTGCCACTGCCGCCATTGGTGCTGGCGGTATCGATGGGCTTGTCGACCGCAATCCGGACAAAAAGACAAAGCGTCATCTGGCTGAAGCTGTGATTGGAGGTCTAGCAGCCAATCGCCTTGCCAACGGCCCTCGCAGTAGAAGTAGAGGCCCTGCTGGCGCTAGGGATGACCCGTATGGCCGCTCTCGCAGTCGCTCTCGTTCAATCTTTGGCGGCCGTGGCAGAAGCCAGTCGCGTGGTCGTGATGGCCAAGGCGGTGGCGCTGGTGGGCTCGAGAAGCTTGCAGCTGGAGGAGCTCTGGCAGCAGCTGGCAAGGCCATCTATGACCGTGTACGTTCAAAATCACGTCGTAGGCGCTCTCCTTCGTCCAGCTCTGCAGACTCGTATGTCCCTTCCCGCAATCGCCGTCGCAACAAGGAGCGAAGCTCACCTGCTCAATCAGATACAGGCAGCCGCGCCGTCGCCCAGCGCGGTCGTGATCGTAACCTAGGCCCCGCCGCTGGTGCTGGTGCAGGTGCGGGCGCCCTCGCTGCCTCAAACAACAACCGCGGCGCACGCAGCGAGAGTTCGTCGAGCAGCAGCACCGATGTCGATGTTCGTCGTAAGCGTATGCGAGGCAAGGAGCTGCTAACAGCCGGCCTTGCCACAGTCGCCACGATTCATGCTGCTCATGGTGTTTACTCAAGTATGGAAGCCCATGAGAGGCGCCACAAGCTCGTTCAAGAGGGCGAAATGTCTCCGGCCGAAGCTCGCAAGAAGCAGACAAAGGCTTGGGTGCAGGATGCAGCTGCTGTCGGTATTGCTGCATTGGGTATCAAGGGTGCTTTCAGCGAGTGGAAGGAGATGAACGAGCATAGGTTTGTTGATATGATTTTGATCTTTGAGACATTGGCTGACTATTTACCGACAGACGCGAGATTCACGAGCTGGAGAAGAGAAAGGCTCTCAAGCAGAAGCGTCGCGAGAAACAGGACCGAGAGGCACGTCGTGCACAAGAAGAGAGCCTCTACCGAATGCTTCCCCTCTTGCAGCAGCAACAACAACAACAGTTGCAGCAGCAACAGCAATACGGAGCTCCTCAAGTGCCCGTGCAGCCTGGAAATCAGATGATGTACCCTGGCAATCTTCCACCTCCACCACCCGGACCCCCTCCTGCTGCGAGGTATTAGGAGCGACCTCCCGCCATACGAGGGATTTTAAAACCCACACCCGAGGACCGACAAATAACAAAGCTCCGTTGATGATATCTTGTGGAGGAACAACAGGCTCTGCACAACTCAATACCCTTTCTCGTGGCACTCCTCGCTTCCGGCCTTTTCACTTTCTTGCTTCTGGAGCCACCCCTTTTCGCTCTTCACGATCTTGATGACTTCAACGACGACGACAAAACATTGCATTGATTTTCGATTTCAGACGAGCACACAGACGGATGGCATGGTAACGGGTCTGAATTCCAGCAGGCAGACGAGCACATTTTGTTTCCCTTTTTCTTTCCCCTTTGCACGCTACGACATCTACGATTAGCACGAGAAGCAGAAAAGCTTCGGCACATGAATTTCCTTTTCTTTCTGAGCATTGAGAGCATGATTGTTGAAGAATGAACTCAAGTTTGATAGAAGCTTCTCTGGTCCATTTCGCGTGCAATATACTTTAAGATGATGGTTCATGTTGAACTTTAAGCAATCTAACAAACAGAGGCTCAACCGGTTTCAAAGAAGAGGACGGAGCTGTATTGCTAGCTAAAAACGAGGATGAGTACAGCTGGAAGGATTGATGACAGATTTGTTGCAAAGAAAAAGTACCCTGGTGGTAAGGACACGGTGGCAGAGGTACAAATGAAAGACGTCAAGACCACGCAGAGGAATGGCTGGACGAGAGAGCATGGAAGCTTGTTGAGAGAAATCTTCTGGCCAAACCCTCCTACTCAGCACTTTTGGAAGGAACGGTGCGGGCACTGATCACATTGCGCAACGTGCTTCAGCTAAACATCCTTCCAAAAGCTGGGGGGCAGAAAGATTGGAGGTCTCCAGGCGGTGAAGAGAGTCGACCTTACGGCAATTGTCGAGATTGGGAGAGGGGTGGGGCCACTTTTTGTTGGTAGCACTTTACATAGGCCTACACTCTGCTCTCTTTCCTTTCTTCTTCCTTTACATCTCTCTCCCACCTCATCTCCCACCCCCCTCTTTTTCACACCATCACCATGAGTGCCCCCGCCCAGAAGTTCAAGGTCGCCGACCTCAGCTTGGCCGCTTTCGGTCGTCGCGAGATTGAGCTCGCCGAGCACGAGATGCCCGGTCTCATGGCCACTCGCGCAAAGTACGCCGAGGAGCAGCCCCTCAAGGGTGCTCGTATTGCCGGTTGCTTGCACATGAGTACGCCATCTCGTCCAAGATCTGGCTGAATTGAAGCTAATCCGCTTTTCCACAGCCATCCAGACTGCCGTCCTTATCGAGACCCTCAAGGCCCTCGGTGCCGAGCTCACCTGGACCTCCTGCAACATCTTCTCCACCCAGGACCACGCCGCTGCCGCCATTGCCGCTGGTGGTACCCCCGTCTTCGCCTGGAAGGGTGAGACCGAGGAGGAGTACGAGTGGTGTCTCGAGCAGCAGCTCACCGCTTTCCCCTCGGGCAAGTCCCTCAACCTGATCCTCGATGACGGTGGTGATCTTACCGCTCTCGTCCACAAGAAGTACCCTGAGATGCTCAAGGACTGCTACGGTGTCTCCGAGGAGACCACCACTGGTGTCCACCACCTCTACAAGATGCTCAAGAACAAGACCCTCCTCGTCCCCTCCATCAACGTCAACGACTCCGTCACCAAGTCCAAGTTCGACAACCTTTACGGCTGCCGTGAGTCTCTTGTCGACGGTATCAAGCGTGCCACCGATGTCATGATCGCTGGTAAGGTCGCCGTTGTCGCTGGTTTCGGTGATGTCGGCAAGGGTTGCGCCCAGGCCCTCCACGCCATGGGTGCCCGCGTTCTCGTTACTGAGATCGACCCCATCAACGCTCTCCAGGCCGCCGTCTCTGGTTACCAGGTCACCACCATGGAGAAGGCCGCTTCCGTTGGTCAGATCTTCGTCACCACCACCGGCTGCCGTGACATTCTCGTTGGCAAGCACTTCGAGGCCATGCCCGAGAACGCCATTGTCTGCAACATTGGTCACTTCGACATTGAGATCGACGTTGCCTGGTTGAAGAAGAACGCCACCTCGGTCCAGAACATCAAGCCCCAGGTTGACCGTTTCCTCATGCCTTCCGGCCGTCACATCATCCTCCTCGCCGAGGGTCGTCTTGTCAACCTTGGCTGTGCCACCGGCCACTCTTCCTTCGTCATGTCCTGCTCCTTCGCCAACCAGGTCCTTGCCCAGATCATGCTGTTCAAGGCTGGTGACGAGGCTTTCGGCAAGAAGTACGTCGAGTTCGCTCGCGCTGGCGAGGGTGAGGGTGTTGGTGAGCTCAAGAACGGTGTCATGCCCGTTGGTGTCTACGTCCTCCCCAAGATCCTCGACGAGCAGGTCGCTCTTCTCCACCTCGAGCACGTCAACGCCGAGCTCTCCAAGCTCACCGACGTCCAGGCCGAGTACCTTGGTCTTCCCGTCGAGGGTCCTTTCAAGAGCGACATGTACAGATACTAGATGCTTTTCTAGTGCTGTTTACGGTCGTCTCTTCTCTTTTCTCTCCACAGCATTTCCCGTTTCCACAACTTTTCTGCATAGCATGAAGGGGATCTGTTTGCCATAACAGTCTCCCTCTCTGATGTTTCTTCTTTGGTCTTTTCTCAATTACAACAAGGGGTGCTTATGATGATTCAACATGTGCAATGATACCAGGCGGGACAAAGTAACAATTTACAAAAAGGGGAAAAACCTTTTGTGATGTGGTGGATGGGAAACTCTTCGCAACCTTTTGATTCAACCAAAAAAGGCGATGGTGTCTGGGCGTTCTATCTCCTCTTCATTGAGTTTCCATCAACATACCTCAACTTCTTCCCCTTTTTGTTATAGAAGGATGGAACCCGCATTTCAACTGCGTGGTCAAAAATCAAAACTCTGATACAGATTACAATAGAAATCAAAAGCTTTCTCACATCTGAATTACCTGCTCCTGCTTCCTTGCTGTCCTGCCGTGTTGCTCTCGTCTCGATACATTTAGGTCGATGATGTTGATATCGGCCTTCGCTTTTGCTCTTCACCACGCTTCACATATGAGACAGTATCAAAATAGCAAGTGCTTCAATTAGTCAATTACTTAAGTATGTATGAGGCCTTTTTCGTGTCCAGTAAGAAGAAAAATACAAGAAGAGAAAGTACAAATCATGGGAATGGATCTCCTGCTATTGTGGACCATCCGTCAACGACAATGTGAACTAAGAGAGTGCGATCCAAGGAAAGATAAAACTTGATAGTCGTGGGTCCTTCTTCATGCAGTCGTTTTTGTGTCGAGCGTCGTGCTGATTGAATAATAATATGTCATAATGGTCGTGGAATTCGTGATAGATCTTGCTCCAAGTCTTGTAGTTCGACGACGAATGGTGGGCAAGAGTGACGGTCGACGATGCTAGTCACTAGCAGTCTTCTGTTCACCACCACCAGGCACGCTGGCGTCGACATTCCAGAAGATGAAAGGGCCAGAGTATTCGTCTCCGTCGTCCGAAGGTGACCACCAGCGTCCGAGCATGACCATGCCACCAGGCAAGACGACACCCTCGTAGGCCCACAAAGAATTGTAGTCCACGTATCCATGCTCATCTTTCCAATACTTCATCATAGTCATGCGATGCCAGCCAGAGATGCCGTGTTGAGGAGGCAAAGGGTTGAAGTAGCCGGATGCCAGGAATCCTTCGCGAGCGTCTTTGCCCTCACCCTTGAAGCAGAAAGACACAGGTTCGCCTTCGGGCAAGACGTGTGGACCGGTAGTTCGTCTTTGAGCCCGTGTGGTGGCCGTACGATATCGGATCTTGGTACGGGACTTGAGGATTTGTTCGAAAATTTCGGGCCAGAAGTCAGGATCTTCTTCAGGAAAGTCAAGACAAAGGTTCTATGATTGAATCAGCAGGGTTGGGATAGGAATCACTCTCAAAAGGAACTCACTTGGAAAGGCTGATCAGTACCGTCGCCACTCATGTGGTCTGGGATCGGGTAGTCCTCGTTTTGTCCATCGCGTATGAGGACAATCTCATCATGATCGACGTAGGCATAGCTGCCCTTCCAGTGCTTGCCAAGTTTCAAAGGGCTCGTCGACAAGGGCTTTGTCCAGCACTGCGGCCGTTCTATCGCAACCAGGTCATCATAACGAAGATGGGTCAGTTCGTGCTGGTTAAGCAGGTGGTTTTTGAAGAAGTTGACGACATGCAAAGTCCACTCAATGTCAATCTCCTGACAGTTGGGGCCCTTGAAGATAGGGCGGATCGAATTTTGCGCATAAACCAAGGACTGCGAGTCGGAGAAGCCCCATGCTTTGGCAATCCTGGAAGTAGGTGAAGCAGTCAAGGAAAGGTGAGTGAGAACGAGTTGAATGGCGAGCAAGGCTGGGTTGGGTGTTGACTTCTTGCTTCTGATGTAAGGACGGCGAAAGACGCACTCGAGGAGCCCGGTGTCCTTGACAACTTTTCCGAGACGATCCATGTTGAGAGAGTGAGTTGTAACTTGCCTGGATTTGTGAGGGTTGACGTTGAAGGATTCTGATGGTTGTCAGCGAGGCCGTCCGCGAATGAATTGAAAAGCACGCACCATTGATAAGATCTTTCAGCAACGACAAGCACTCCATCTCCTTCTGACTGTTCCCGACTTGGAAGTCGAATCTTTGGCGTTCGATTCGCTTGCGGCACTGATATTGCTTCTTGAACCACTCGTTGACGACCGAGCGTGTACCTGTGGGGGTCTGTTTGGAAGGATCATAGGTATCGAGGAATCGAGTGCGCCAGAAAGAACCCTCATCTTCATCAAGAGCGTGTTTTGTCGATCTGCAGATGAGTCGGTAGGATGCTATGGATTTGTCGTCGAGATAGCCAGCGATAGATTGTCGGATCTGGAAGCGACGGTCAGTATGAAGAAGCATGAGATTTGAGCAATGAATCCTCGAGTCAGGACAATAGCATGGAAGGAAAGTCATACTTCGACTGGTAGAATCTCAAAGGCAAGTGGGGAGTCTGAATGTGCTTTCTGTTTCTTGACATAAGTGAATGGTCGAGATTTGCGTGTTGGGGGAGACATTGTGGATATGATATGGTAAGAGTAGTAAGGTGCGGGAGGTCTTTGGTGTCTGGAATGTCTTGGATACTGTGATGTGTCAGGGGGAGAAGAAAGAAAGAAGCTGATGGTGAAGAAATAGTAAGAGTTGTGAAAGTTGTCAGGAATGAAAGTGAATTTGATGGCCGACGAGAGTGAAGTGTGCCTTCCAAGTCGACGACGCGTTTTCGAGGGAAGTGACCACCAACCACCGAGTCCAAAGAAGCTACAACGATCACAATTACTGTGTCGAGGAATATACTGTCGTCGTCCGACTTCGGGATATCTGTAGTATGGTGCCGGGTCTTGATCGCTCGTAGCAATTCTCGAGATTCAATCTTGAGGGAGACAAGTCAGTTTCACAAGGGGCGAAAGCAACAACTCTGAATCAATTCGTCAAGACAGTCGTTTCGACAAGTCTTTTCCAGTACGAAAAGTTGTGAATATACATTCCAGTAATGGAATCAGATGGAGTTCAGTATGCAAGATGAAAGGTAGTCAGGTATCGCGTCAGAAGAAAAAAGAACATTGCTGGGTATTTTGAGGGATACATAGCGAACACCAACATGAAAAGAATATACCTACACTCATTTGCTCAGCTTCTCGAGCAAAATCTTCGAACCTGCGTTGCCCTTTGGCCCGTCGTTCGTCTTCTTCTTCTTTTTGTTTTGTTGGTCGTCTGACTCGACAGGTGCCTTTTTCGAAGAGGCATTTTCACCCTTGGCTGCTTTCTCTAGTGTCTTCTTGCCCTTCGACAGCTCGTCGCGGACAATCTTCTTGTTGGCATCACTGACGTCTTCACTCTCAAGCAATTGTACAACGACGAAACTTGAAGGGCTTGTAGCCCACTCGACGAATCTTCCCTTGAGCGACTTGAACAGCATATCGCCGAAGCCGAGACGAGGCTCGACCAACTTTACTGTCTTTGTCTCAGGATCGAACTTGCCACCACTGACCAGTGCTCTCAGCATCTTGCCGCCGGCTGCGCTTTGTGCAATATGTCCTTCTGATGTCACGTCGCCCTCGGTTAAAGCAACAACGGCCTCACAAGCTGCCTTCTTGTCGCCTTGAGCTTCCAAGAGAACTTCACTGATGTACTGGCAACCAAAGCCAACGCTTGCGAGATCGGCAGCACGGCTTTGAATGATGGGTAACAAGTAAGGTGACATGTATGCAATGAGTTCTGAGCGACGGATCTCAGGGTTTTTCTTGGACGTCACCTCGCGTACGGACTGTACCTCGGCAATGATATTCTTCTGCACGTCAGAAACCAGCCACTTGGCTTGACCAGCAAGAGGGTAAAGCAGCGGGATACGAGCAGTCAGATGAGAAATGAGATCAACAAGACGGTTCTCGCGTTCGGCCTCATCCTTGATATTTTCTCCGAGCAACTCGGGGAACAGAGCCTTGGCGGTCATCTTTGTGTCGTCGACGGTGTCCATTGCGGCAAGCAGAACAGTGTGTGCGTTGGGGTCCAGAGCCATCATCTCAACAGTATCCTTGTAAACACGTAGAATAAGCTTGCGGTCCTTTGCGGTTCCGTAGCCAAGAGCCAGACACACGACACGGCTGCCGTTCTTTGTGAAAGCCAAGTTCTTGAGAAGATCACCACCGTTCTCCTCGTCCAGATCTGATTTGAGCAGCTCGAGAAACTCTGCAGCTTCGGGAGTGCCAGGGGTTGTGTTGAGGAAGTATTGGAGCATGGCGTCATGCAACATAGTGAAACCGGTCATCTTCTTCTGAACAAGCTGGTTGATGAGCTGTTGGAGGTAGTTCATAACGGGCTTTTTCTTCTCGGGGCTCTCATCCAAGATGGCCTTGAGGTCAGCGGTGATCTTGTCGTCGGTCTGACCTTGTGCAGCCTTGGTCTTGCCGAAGATGGCGAACTCAGCACCGTACCATTCGCGGAGCATGAGGGCCTTTTGTGAAGAGGTAGCGACCTGGCGGTAGATGTCGTCGACGATCCATGCGGCTTCCGGGTGGTTGATCAAGCGACGGACGTGGCCGTAGAACTGAGGGACAACCATGTTGCGGATCTCGGCGTCTCTGTAGGATGAAGTGTCAGCTCAGAAAGTAGTGAGGGAAGAGGAGTGGAAACGGACCCTTCAACGACCATCTTGGCGACCAAGAACTTGCCGTACTTGCTCTCGGCCAGCTCGCGCATGTCGGTACGGAGCTCTGTGACGATCTGCTTTCTTTGCTGCATGTTGGCGTACTTGAGGGCGCACTGAATGACACGCACACTGTCGTGCTTGAAGACAAAGTCGCGGACTCTGCCAGTGATGATGTCAAACAGCTCGGCAACAAGAGCCTTGCGCTCGTCGTTGGGCACATGAGACTTTCTGCGCAGTCTCTCCCAGATCTTCTTGCTACGGCCAATGATGTCTGCGTTGGGTTTGGCGGCTTTGCGCTCTTTTGCCAGGGCGCGCTGGGCAGCGTGTGCTTCTGCTGATGATTGACCAGCTATGGGTTGTGTCAGCGGCGTGTCTTTGTACGGTCTTGTGGTTGACGGACTTCTGATCTTCTTTTCGTCCGACTCGCTGTTTCCGGCCTCTTGTTCCACACCGGACATGGGGCTGTCCTCGCCGTCTAGCTCGTCTTCATCTTCGTCTTCGTCTTCGCTCGACTCGTCGGATTCGGGACTGGGTTCTTTGATTGGGGCGGCCCTCTTCTTGGACGAGGCAGTCGAGGCCAGCTTCTGCTTCTTCTCGGATCCAGATCGTGCGGCGGCGACAGCCTTAGGTGCTTCCTTGCGCTTGACTCCAGCCATTGTGTGAGGGAAAATGTGTGTTGTGCAAATGTCTTTGGTGAGCGTCTCGACCCTGGCAAAAAAACATGGCGCATGCTAAGAAGATTATCCTGACCGCCTTTTTCTGCCACGTCCATTAACTCCACATCTCCGCTCCACCCACACTGTACACCCGCTGACTTGTACATGAGGTCTAAGTGGAGTCATCATATCAGAACAATCAGTTGACTATCTATGGTCCCTTCTTGCAACATGCCAGTCTTGACTCTTGAGCACATGGGGAGGCAGGTCCCTGCGGCCTGCCATCGTCCATCGCCAAGAAGAGCTTTACATATTCACTTCGCAGTCAATGACGCCGCCGACACTCTGAGGCACGTCTTGCTCGAGCGAAGCCTCTATGCAGAAGTCTGACGGAATGCGACAAAGACAAGAGAAGGTCGCCAAGACCATCCACCTCCCCTAAGAAGAAAGACTTCGGGCGCAGCAAGTCACATGTCAAGAGTTGATCTCTCTTGGTCTTCTTGACTCATCTCTTCGAGCAGAGAAGGGACATCAAACTTGGCAAAAACACCAGGACCATAACGGGCGTAAAGATAGGCAAAAGATTTCAAATCTTCCACATGTCAGAAGCACCCCGCAGGATTCCTTTCGATGGTTCCAACAGTCGCCAAGACCATCGCCTTGGTGTTGGCCCTGCTTCCCTTCCTCCTTCTGAGTCCCTTTCGGGGTATTCATCTTGACTTTGCAACGATGATCTCCTTGGTCTTTTGGTATAGATCTTGGCCGCGCCGAAACGTAGGTCTCTTCTGCTGAGCGCTGCATGTCTCACCTCCTCCAAGGCTTTGCTATTCTTCTTGACTTTCCACTCACGGCATTGGCGAAAGCTGTTCAGCATGCCTAAGATCACAAATAGCTCTGTCCAAGATGAATGCTGGCGTATCGCCAAGAGTCTATTTGAAGCTGTGTGAACGTCCAAAGATTGAACATTATAATCTCATCGATGTAGTGTTCTGATGAAAAGGAGCATGGAAACGATGTCAGATCATCAGGATCTTGGTTGAATCCATTCAGCTTTCGAAGGCCACAAGTACATACCGATTTGTGTCTGGGACGCAATACTTGAATCGATTTCGTCCTTGGATCGACTTCGTTTCTGGAGGTGGCATTCAACTGCCCAGAGTATCTTTCCTCCACCATCAAGTAGGTTCAAAGCCTTGGCAACCTCAATCCAGATGCCAAACCAACCGCCCATCGAGCAAGAACACGCCGAGAAGCCGTATCTCAAGAGCCAATCCTCTTTTCCTCAGCAATTGAAGCTTGGCAAATGTACCCTCTCAGATCACATCCAATCTCTGACGTATGCCTTGAGGATGTCTCCTACCAACAGCTGTCTTGGTATGGCCCTGTTCCATCGGTGCTTGGTACTGAAGTGCTCGGCCACAATGAGCATAGATGGTAGAGATGATGGCAGTGCAGGTAGGTTGTTCTTGGAGATTATGGAGAGGTAATGGTATAAATATGAGTGTCTGCCTGTCAGAAATGCACTCCATCATCACAATAACTCTGATAACAATTCAATACGACCAACGACTGAATAGCAAACCATCCAACACCAACAATAAAAACAACATCATAAACATCAACATGAAGTTCACCGCCGCCACTCTTGCTACTATTGCAGCTGTCGCTGCTGCACTTCCCACGGATGTTCATTACGAGGCTCCCAAAGGTAAGTCATGCAACCCACGATTTTGGAATCCTCCTCGTACTAACCTTGCCTTTGCAAGTAGGCGGCTGGGAGTCCGTTGACTACCCCGAAGGTACTGGTGCAAACCTTCACGAATACCCTCCTCCCCCCGGCGGCTGGGACTCTGTCGACTACTCCAAGGGCGGCGCTGCACCTGCCAAATGCCCCGAAGCTCCCAAGATGGCAGGCTCGCCCTTCACCTTCACTTCCTACTATGAAGTCAAGGCCGTTCCTAGCGAAGTCGTCAACGGCACAACCCCAACCGGGGGTCTTGAGGGTGCATCAGGCCTTTTCAAAATCGGCATCAACAGCGAGTTGAATCTGATCTGCTACAACATTGAACTCTACGATTTCCGCGGCGAATACTCCTCCCCCGCGGCAACAGCCACACACATCCATGAGGCTGCAAAGGGCGCTTCCGGTCAGCCCAGAATTGCCTTCCCTAACCCTGTGGACGTGGGCAACGGAGTTCGCCGTTCTGTCGGTTGCCAGCAGGGTCCTTTCAAGACTGGTCTTTTGGCTAACGGAAAGGACACCGCTGATGGCTTCCACATCAGCCAGATCGAGAAGAATCCTGCTGGTTTCTTCGCCGATACTCATTCAAGCTTGGCTGTTCCTGGTGCTGTTCGTGGTCAGCTTGCTTGATTCCTTCCACTCCAGCTTGCTTAAATCCCTCCATTCATCAGGATGGCATTCAGGGGATCATTGTAACATTAGTACTGCCTTGATTGCTTGTAACTATCTCGTATGTCATCTGGTCAATTTTCCAATTCAACGATATTTCTTTATGCTTGCTGTAACCTATGACGCCCTCATTGTTTTCCACGGTATCCCAACTATAGCAAAATACACAACATGCAAAGGCACAGTTAATTACGGAAACAGAGTTTTACCAACAGATATCAACAAGTTGTCACTTCTTAGTGGGAACTATCCTGTTCCTGAAAGTATTGTGCATCTTTATAGCTACACGCGTTACATACTTTGGCATACGGAGTGGACAGACAAGTGGTTCAGAAGTGAAGCACCTCTTTCCACTGCACCTTCGGCTCGTGAATTCCATTCGGATAGATACGCCATGTGATGTTACAGGTACCACTCGCACCTTCTGTAACGTCTCTGAGCTCCATATCGTGAACGCGAAGAAATTCCGGCAGAGAGCCCGATTGTGGCACCCTCACTTTTCCATCTGCAATCATGCGCATTAACGGACCCGGCTCCATGTATGCGGTCTTTGCGCCTTCGTACATCAACGCATTAGATTCTTCCACTTCTACCCATCTCCTGGCAGCCTTCGCATGCAAGCGAGCATCCCAGAGGCCTTCGCGGCCATTCATTTCTTCGAGCATAGATATGGCTTCGCGTCTTATGACTGGATCGCGACACTTTATGGCGACAAGATAAAGCGGCGGGATCGAGGACATGTTGAGCGAAAATCTCGGCACGTTGGACACTGAGAGTGAAGCCAGTCTTGAGTGCAAGCACCACTCTTTCGACTCCGAGATCGGTGTAAGCAGAGTTCGTGACCATCTGACAATGGCCGTAAACTCAGGAAGATAAGCATCAAAGCCAGATTCGTCTAGCTCGGTGCATCGTGCCAGCCATACGAAGGTGGCTGTATGCTGTGTTCGAAGCGATTTCTCTATCCGGCTGTCATTGTCTGTGAATGTGTTACACGACTTCACGTAGTTCGCCATGCTGTTCTTCCAGATGGAGAATTCGCTTAACAGATGAATCTGCAGCGTCCGTCCCGAAAGGGAGATAGAACCGTCTTCGGCATGCTTTCCGTCGTGGACCGAGCGAATAAAACTGAGACTCGAAGCAATAAGCAGATCGAGAGAAGTTTTGGCTTGCTCAAAACCGTCAAAAGACCTTGGTATAGATAAAGCCAACAACTTATCCATGTGATTAAACATGTTAGATCCTGAAAAGCCCATTAAGGTGGTTTGAGAGTCCAATCGATGGAACAGTGGACGAACCTCCTGCTTGATGGATTTGGCAATGGCATTCGAGGAAGCTTCGTTCTCCTCATCCTGTACTAGCGACGATTTGAGCATATTCAGTCCTTTCTGGAGGTGATCGATGACCAGCAGACGATTTCCGTAGATACATTCCAGTGAGATGAACATGAGACAACATAACAAAGCGATGTCAAGTGATTGGGATTCCCTGCTGAGATACAACTTCAGTTGTTTGATAGACTCATTGTAATGGCGCAGGGTAAAATCGGGTTGTATCGCATCTTGTACTGCTTGATTATTGGTAGCTTCGGCTTCGAAACGTGCATGGGCAGAACCCAATGCTACCAAAGCATGTCGGATGGCTGGCTCTGACAAGCTCAACTGAGGCAGCGAAAAGGACCAGAAAGAATGGCTCAAGACGTTAGAAAGTGCGGGACCTGTGCGCATGCTGAAGAACTCAATCCAGTGACTATCTTCACTGGACATCGTTGGTGACAAAAAGGCAGCATCAATGGTCGGTTCAGCTGGTGCCAGTCGTCGAACTACTCGACTCGCCGTAGACACTGGAAGCGATGGTCTTTTCTGTATTGAGGTAACGGCAGGTCGATCTGAGGTTGTGCCAGATTTGATGCATTTCTTTTCTGGCAACTCGGCATAGCCGTCGCATTTGCGACCAGTGTTGGTGCAGCGCTTACAGAATGGCTTCTCCTCACCACACTTCACCTTGCGTATCTGTCGATCTACATCAGTTGTAGCCCCCTGGCACGTACATTGATCAGTCGCATACTTTGCAGGTTATGCAGCCAGTGCGGACTTTGAGCTTTCGACTCGGCCGACTGCCGTCAGGCGGAGTTGTAGACATGGATATATAGCAGCTCACGCGATAGACTCTATGACGGTACAACTGCTGACTTTCGTACAACACAACCAGAGCATTGCGAAAACAAGTGTATGACAAGATGATGATGGTCCAAGATCGACATGTTGTTGGTCAGGGACTGGTGAGAATAGTTGTCAAACAGCTGCCTGGACGTGTTTCTATTTGTGTCCAAAGCGGGCAGGTACAACCGACCGTGAAGGATTTCCCGCCTTGACTTGCACAAACCAACAGTCCTTCTACATTGTACCTGATGCACTGTCGAAAGGCTCTCAAGGGGTTGCATGCTTATTGTTGTAGGATTAAAAAACCTTTTATACATCTTACATCCATCCCTACCCATCTTGCGATCTAATCTCTATCTTCAGTAACCCTTGTCCAAGGATCCTAGTCTATCTAGCTTGGATCCATCCCGTAATTTCCAACTCTTCAGACGCGTGTCTTCATATCGGGAAGCTCAGTCGTCTCACTCTCTGCGATCGAAGGTGTTGTAGTCTCCTGGCTCACCATCCTGATGTGGTTGTTGCCGCTCTTATTGTTCTTCTTCCAGGTCCAGTTTGCAGCTGCCCAAGACTGTGCATTGCCAAATGCAATTCCAGGATGACAGACAGTCAAGACGACCGTGGCAATGATGATCATCGGTCCTTCCAGAATCATGAACGCCGTTTGATCATTGGCTAAGGCTCCTCCGAACCCGTCCTTGAGCTCTGCGACACGAAAGACGCAACGAATGTAGATTGTGACGGTTGCAACCGCAATAGCGTACGGGAGCAGGCGGAACATGGTACGCTTTCTGAGGTCGAAGAAATCGAAGTTCAAGTCGCTCTCTCTTGCTTTGTGTGCTCTGTAGACAAACTCCATGCTGAGCGCGATAAAGATTGTCAGGCTTACGACTTGCCAGGCAAGACCGGCGATCATGATATTAACGCCAGTACGAGACGGGTCCGACGCATCTTGTGTGGCAGCTAGAGCACCGCCGACAGCTTGGAGCAGGAGGCTGATAAAGTCGCAGATCACGAACGTGATGGTGTAGAATCTTGGGGAGAAGCGTGAGATGTTTTGACCGTAGACGATGACGATGCGGCCGAGACAGAGGTAGATGGATGCCGTGAGGAACGCTGGACCGATGGTAAGGCACACAAGATATCTGGTGTCGTCAGACAGAGAGCTCGAGATGCAAGGAACAGAATGATGCTTACAAGACAAATTGATCAAAGTTGAAAGGGTTGCCACTGAGAGAAATACGTCCAGCGTAACCGAGTACTTCGAGAAGAAGACCACAGAACATGCCAACAAAGAAGCCCCAGGTGCGGTACTTCCATACCAGACCCATGTGAGCCAGAAGGATGACGGCGAATATGATGCAGTACGCCAGGTTGCCGCCATATGTCGGAATATACTCGATCTGAGCATAGTCCAACGAACACACGCCAATCGTACAGTCGTTCGGATCAATGAGAGAGCCATTGAGTGCTGGAACGAACGCAGTGCCGTTTACGATTGTTGCCATTGTGCAAGATGTGGGCAGACAGGATCAGGAGAGGTTGCTGTGCAGATAGTTTTGGCGATGTGGATGATGGTGTAGAGATAGAGTAAAGTCTGATGAGGATAAAAGGAACACAGAGGGCTCGGCTGATGTTTATATCATACCACCTACCATACTCGAGAAGCATTGAGAGGGTTGGACTACAACTGCTGCGGCTCAGCCTCCTCTGCCATGTCAGATCCATGGAATTCTGTAGACAGACAGTCGCAAAGGTTTCCTATTCGGCGCCCAACGCGTTGGAATATGCTACATACATCCTTCACCTTGTGAGGGATTGGCTCACTCGCGACAGTTGCCAAAAAGGGAGCTCAGCAACACGTTGAACAACAGGGCTGCGGTCCGAAGAAGAAGAAGCTTGGGCGGTGCAGGAGCGGAGGATCCCTTTTTGGCAAGCCCCCACATCTCGCACTCCACTCTGATTGGTCGACTCGCACTTTGCTTTGGGGGTCAAGAGTTGAGCTGACGATGACTCCCATGTCTGTTCATGTCTGCTTGAGATTTCAAGTCATGTCCTGGACGGTTGGTGCTAAATTGGTGTCGGTGTGTCGGCGCGTCAATGTCAAGGTCTGACCATCAAACTACTGAGGCTGATGATGAATTGGGGCTTCTCGAAGCGACGACGTGGGATGTACGCAACATAGAATGGCACAATTAACAATCAGGGCCGCAACATATCGTGGACACCTTGAAGACGTCATGTGCCTGGCATTGTCGCAAGATCAAAACTGATCGAGAGCAGAATGATTACTGCGGGTCAACATTGCCGAGTGGATTGACGCTTTTTGGCGTATAAGCTTGCTGTTCGACACACCCTGGCTGGATATAATCAATGCTCACGCCTCGAGGCGGGGAAGGGCGAGCTTTTTGCACTTTCCGAAGCCTGCGTGAGTCGTTTGCGAATCGGTTCGCCCTGCAAAGTGGATGTCTGAGAGCAACGCTTCGCCACGAGACGAGTCGCAACCTGCGGCGCCGCCTGTAAGACCTCGAAAACCACGTCCATCACGAGGTCGAGGTCTGCGTACAACGACAGGATGGTCCGTTGTTTTACGTCTTGACCACTTAGGCTTCGCTGACTCGGTATTTTGCAGTGTTGTGTGCCGAACTCGTCATATGAAATGCGACGAGAAAAGACCATCGTGTTCGGCTTGCACTAAAAGCAAGCGACAATGTGTGTATGCCTCAACGACTGATGTAGGTAACGAATTCTGCTTGGCCCCGTTTGCTCCATTTCTCCTGCATCTTTGTCTATTGTGCTTCAAACCCGTCCTCAACGTTTGAATGTGTGCGTACAAGGTCATCTGATCGATCACACAGGCGCCTCAAGCCAGGCAAAGCTCTACTTCGACAGTTCCAAGCTCGGCTAGTTCATCTGTTGTACCACAAACATCAAGCCTGGATGGCGCTGTCCAACAGGCTGAATCTGGTGCTCTCGGGCCACAACCACATATTCAGTATGATTCACCCTATCCAGAGAATAACAACACAGCCCGTCATGCCGCGCCTCCTGGTATTCATGCTCCAGATTTCATTAGACAGCTAGACGACAACCAGACGTCCAGTCCTCGATCAAGTCTAAGTGGAAGCACTGCTTACGCTGCCGACGTCGCACCTCTTCGATGGTTTGGCCTACTCGCTGGAGACGCAACGAATGTTGACTGGAAGTTCAACCCCATGTCGCCTAGCCTTGTTACAACACAAGATAACACCCCTAGCAATCAAGCGCAATACACCAGTGGAAACTCCTTCTCCCGCCCTTCAGGGCTTATTCAAGGATCATACACGCCTTCTATCATCCCTCAGGAAGTAGTCACCTTGTCGGATCTGGAAGTCTCTCTATTTCAATACTTTGTCACACATTTCAGCCGCTGGATTGATCTTACAGACCCCCATCGTCACTTCTCGGTCATGGTGCCGCATATTGCCCTGCGCAACCAAGGCTTAATGAAGGCCATACTAGCGCTTTGCGCCAGGCACCTGTCAATAAAACCGCTACCAAACCTGGCTTCTGACCGCACACTTGCAGTGCAATACTACTATGAGACACTCCGATACCTTCAGCGGGCCATGAAGAGTGAGGCATATCTCCGCAGCGAAGAGCTTCTAGTCACGTGCTTGATAATTAGCACGTATGAGATGATCGATGGAGAGGGCCAGAGTTGGGAGCGACATCTTAGGGGCATTTTCTGGGTTCAGAGATCTCGCGAGATCAACGGTGAATCTGGAGGTCTGAATCAGGCTATCTGGTGGGCCTGGTTACGTCAAGATGTTTGGGCCGCCTTTCGGGAAGGCCGCAAAGTACTGAGCTTCTTCAAGCCTACAAAGCCGTACTACGCAATGGATCACTGGGATATCGCTGCGAGATGTGTCTACTTGGTGGCCCAGTGTGTCAACTACAGCTCAGAGCAGGAAGTTGAAGCCGGTAAGTCTGACCTGATCATGCGACTGGCCAAAGCAGATGAGTTGTCAACGAAGCTGGAAGACTGGTATCAGCATCTGACCAGCCATTTCAATCCTTTGCCTTGTTTAAATACCTCCCAAGGGCCATTCAAACCCATTTGGATACATCCTCCGGTGTTTGCAGCTGGCTTGCAACTCTACCACTTTGCAAAAATTCTCCTACAAATATGTACTCCTGCCGCCGGAGGATTGAAAGAATACGTGATCAGAGAGCGTGCTCTCAATGAGTCGATCGATGTGATTTGTGGGATCGCTCTGGCCACGGAGGACGACGCGGCTATGGTCATCTCTACGCAGTGCGTCTTTGCTGCAGGTCTACACACACAAGACCCAGTCAAAAGGACCGCCATCCTCAGCATGCTCGCGCAACATCAAAATCGTACTGGCTGGCCTGTCAACGATCTTCGTGTAGACTTGGAGTTGGAGTGGACCAAGACAGAGAATTCAAGATGAATTTAGATCAACATACCTCAGAGCTTTCACTGCAACAATCAATGGCAGCATGAATCCGTCGGAATCTGGACCTCGTGGTCTGGAGTAGGTCCATTTTGGCCTATTCCGTACGACCAACATCTCAGATCTCATCTCATTACTTATGGAGACAATGCTGTATGGTCGGGAGGCATAATCTATTCTCGCACAAGCGTTGATCTTCAACAAGTAATTCACGCTTCTCGAGACGCTACGCTTCGATGAGAAGACTGAGGACTCAACAATAGCACCTCCATCTTCGACGTTGGTACTGTATTCAACAACAAGGCTTTGACCATTCAGGGAGGTGTTGTTCTGCCTTTGCGAGAGGCTGCTAAACTGATGCCGCCGATGTCTTCGGAAGAGCGAGCCCGAGCTTCATTGTCAATGCTGTTATTGACATTGAAGAGACTCCCGATTACTATGCTAGATTCTCCAGGCATGGAGAGAGTAAAGTGGTCATTAGATTCCAGACCCAGCAGTGGAAATAATCTTGTCGTTAGGGAAGAGATGGGTGTATTTCTGGCTGACATGACAGAATTATTCAGATATTGTACGAGAGTCGTAGGCATCCATTGTACATTGGTATGCCTCGCGGCATGGTCAATGGAGGGCAGGCAAGATTGTTGAATAGTTGTTATCTTGGGTTCCTAGATAAGATTATCATCTAATCTGATACACTTGTGCCTTTCTCCAGAACGGCGATATTCACAGAGCCCCTTGTGACGACATTCCAACATCCCATAGAACCAAGATTCAAGATTCACTTACAACCTTGAAGACCCACGAGATACAGTTTCGATCCCTGTCAAACTGTATATGCGCCAAAAAGGCACGGCAGGATAACCTTTTCCAAGTCATCCTCGATATACATCGTACCGTTCGATCAGTTTCAAGGCAGGTGTCTGCCGCCAACAGAAACGTCACTTGAGATCCAACACCAAACCTCTAAAGGAAGGTGACCAAGAATTTATATCCGTCACCTATTTCGAGCCGCATGGTATTTCTCAATGGATGATGATTGTCGACTTGTACGCCAGACCTCCAAAGGAAGGTGTGACTATTGCCCCTTATACCATTACGCGTCCCTTCCTCGACCCGTTTCTGGAAACCGCTGGCCACCGGCTCAGCTTTCCGTTGCACTGGCAAAATTGCATAGTTGACACAAGGTATGATCTCAAGATTTTGGAGACACGAGTCTTTCGCATGGCAGAGCATGTCGCCGTTCGAGTCTCGAGTGTCAAGCATGAGGTCATGGATCTTCGCTGTCAAGTCGGGTCTGCGCAGTGACATGCTGGGGTATGAAAGCTTGTTTTTTCACTTTGTATTGCCCGTACACGATTCATGCATTCTTCTATACAGCTTTACGATCGCGATACGACTTTCCTAGTGACGACTAAAGTTTTTCAGCGGGTGGAAAAAGTAGCTGGGGCTGTAGGCATCGACGCAACAGCCTAATCCGGTAGCGATCGGATGCGGAACCACACAGCGTGGTGGTCCTGGAAATTAGACGCAGTAAAATCATGATGATATAGAAATGTAAAGTAAATGATTAGTAGCTCATGACGAAAGGAAAAGGCAATCATATCGTGAACATTCGTCAATCGCACTCCTGATGATGCGCTTCTGAGACCTTTCACCGTGGTCCTCGAATCGCTCAGATGACAGCAGCTTCGTCGCTGCTGGAGCCCCTTCTCAGTACACCCTTTTCACTTCCCTCCCTCTTAGTCTCCCGTCTGTTTCTCCAAAGTGCGAAGAAGCGAAGTGCCAAGTATATAGCACCAAGGATAGCGACAACAATGATGTATGCGGTGTTGTAGTTGCTGTCGCCAGCCTGGTTGAGACCCAAAGGCACGTTGACAATGCCCAAGATAATCAAGCCAATACCAAGGAACATGTGAACCTTGCCGATGATAGTCTTGTGGCCGCGACGGAAGAGAAGGTGATGAATCAAGCCACCCAGAGCTTGAATAGCGAGAAGGGCGAACAGTACGAGACCGATAATTTGATGAGCTGTGTTGTATTCGTTCTGATTGCAGTTCGTTAGCAAATTAGAGCCACAAAGATAGATCTCATCCTGGATGAGACAAGAAGGGGATCGTGAGCTTACATAGCCGAATTTATCAGACAAGTAGATTCCAGTACCGAAGCCGATAATGACAAAGCAGTAGGCAAGGGCTTGAATAATACCATGGCCGATAACGCTGTGACCCAGGCGAAGCACCAGAACGCCCAGGGGAAACAGAATAACGAAAGCAATAGCCATAAAGATGCCGTGAACTCTGTTGTATACGTTCTCGCTAGCTGCATGAGATGAGCCAGAAGAAGAACCACCGTGAGTCGAACCAGAGTTACCGCCAGAGTTCAATGCGGGGGTGTTGGATCCGCTGAAAGCGGCCTGCGTCATATCCATCGAGAAGGAGTTGTACATGGTGTGCTGAGCAATGTTCTGAGACATCGAATCGCTAGAGATGGTATCGGTAGAAGGTCCAAGCGCAAAAATGAAGGGTTGGTTCGTTGATGTGGTGTCCATCGTTCCAAGGGACCATGCCGTGCAGTTGTAACACACGCCCATGAGTTGGTACGTTCCATTGTTGATAGAACTAGATCTGACTTGGACCTCCTTTGAAGATGTGTATTGTGGTTGTGAGTGGCCTGTGGATAGTCGAGGGCTCAAAGTAACACCTGAGATAGCAGTACTTAGTTCTAGATCTGATTGAGTTCTCGCTGGGAGGGGAGTTACCTGAGCCGTTTGAGCTGGGATATCCAATGAACATAAACGAATTCTTCATCTGGCCTCCGATACCAAAGGCAAGCCATGAGTATGTTGAGGGAGCAGACATGTTGAAGTACAGGTCATTGCCCGTTGTGTTCAGTCCAAGGTCCAAGTGGAACGCAGTGGAACCTTGGTGTTGGTATGTGTAGGTAGAGGTTCCATTGCCTGCAAATGCAACCGCGAAGAAAGCAGACAGAAGTGCTGCAGGGTGATTAGTATTGGTACCTGCATAATCATCTGCCAAGTCAGACAGGAAAAGGGTTGCTTACTGAACAAGAAAGTGGACATCATTTTGCTCTAAGATCAATCTTGAAACAGAGGTATATTCTCTTCAAGCAATTGTAATCGATACAACGCAAGATGTGATTGGGATTGTAGAGGGATGGTTGGGCAGACCCGTTCTATTATATGCTCGGGTTCGGACAAGGCTTTGCCAATGTAAGATCCACGCGTCGAAGTGGTACGAAGCTACCGGGTCGAACGCCTCACTCAGCTGGAAGAACAAATATGCAGACGGAGGACAGACGGGAGGCAGACGGGAAGTCGAAAAGAGCAGCGAGTGTGGTTCTTCTTATCGTCACTTAGTCGTCCCAAAAGCTTCGACCCAGCCCATGTGTCTTCGAGCCGCAACGTCGGTAAGACATGACACTCGTGTTGTTACCCAAAAAGTATGCTGTGCAGGAGATGAACAAAACGGGCTTATTTTGTCGACGGCTGGCGATCCAGTGTGATTGGTAGAAAAGTGAATCAGCGGGTGGGCTCATGCTTTTTTGGTCGGCAGTTTAACGTCTAGTAGTGAACTTAATAGGCAGGATCGCGAGTCGTTCATCGGAGATGGAATCAGCCAATTGCGGACAGATTTTTTAAGCTTCTTTTTAGCACCGCGGCCGAATCTGGGGATTCACCGTGCACAGTGTATGCAGGTGGTCTAGATTTGCCGTCAGCTCCTTGGTCAAGATGATGCGAAAAGTCCATGATGGCATGGCGTGTCGTGAATGGGCTCAGGCTGCTCTCATAATTCCGATCCTGAAACCTGAAAGATCCGACGGCTGCGAAAGTTCAAAGTCCATCTTTCTTGCTGTATCAATCAATCAACCTTTCGTGTTTCCGACTTCCAAGATAAGATGGCGGTGGCTTAGGCATGGGGTGATGGAGTAGATCATTAACGCTGGCCTCTTCATCGGTGAGTTCTGCCCATTGCTTCGACACTTCGCTTACGGCGAAGATACGAGAGTGGAAAATGGAAGCGACCGCGCCTGCGAAATATCGCAAACTCATATCGACAGCACGATGAGTCCGACAAGCGCGTTGCAGGTATTCAGCGTTGTTTGTTGTCACGTTGCTGTGTATGTTCAAAACAAGACAAGAAAAAAAGCAATGCTTGCCTCGGAATCTGGCAGCGCCGAGATAGCAGGGACGTTCTGCCTGCGCCAGTCATGTCAACGGTTATGCTTTCGAGTCCGCAAGAGACCTTTGACAGACAGAAAATAAAAACGTATACCGAGAGTTCAGCCATCTGTTCAGTCAGCATCACCCTCTGGGTTCGCTATGCTCAAGGATTGCCACTACCACCAGGAGAGTTTTGAGCAGAAGACATGCAGCTCGGTCGTTTGCTTTCTGTTTCTGTCAAGACGATTGAGCCTGGACACTGCGCCAAGAATATTGCATTGGCTAGTCAATCGACAGACTGAATCGCTACTTCGGTGAGGAATATCGAAATTGTTCGAGACCGAACGGATCGTGGCAGCAACTCGGTGGGTACGGAATCACTATTCGAGCAGATGCCAGCATCGCACAGCAGTGTTTAGAAGAAAGCAACAGAGAGATTTTGTATTCTTGTGGGTATCATGAAAAAGTGCTTGAGGACAGTGCTTTCTCAGCAAAGCTGGTCCAAGAAGGTGGACATTGGTCTCGTCCCAAATGACAGTGCTAGGATGATGCCGAGTTGTGTAGTGATGCGCGATTGTTCCAAGGGCGGGCATCTGTCGCGCTCTTTGGCGTACTGTTGGGCGTGTTTGATGGATGACTTGAAGACGGAGCTTGTTCGGGCAAGTGTTGCGGTGGTGTTGTTTCGAAGGGAGGCTCACTTGAACTCGTTGGGCCAGCACTTCTCCTTAGTCCAGACGTCGGGGTGGGTGGAAGCGTGCTGCTCGAGAATGGCAAGGTTGGAGCTAGTCTATAGTAGCTCGTGTCAAAATGCGTGTCAGGGCGAGGCGGAGCGAGAGCAGACTTACCAACTCCTTCTTGCAGAAGGCGCAGATCGAAGTTGCCTTGGGCTTCTTTACCGGAGTTCCATTGGCGTGGACGGGAACGCGAGTGCCAGCGGCTTCAGCCTTCTTGTGCTCGCGGTGGATGCGGTCCTTCTTGGAAATGGGCATCTTGACTGTGTGAGTTGTTTAGTGTGGCAGAAGACGAGGCTCGCAGAGACGACAGCGACAAAAGATTGTTGACTTTTGCTTGGCGAGACCCTGTTTTTTCCTCCTTATCTTATCAACGTTTCCCGCATACCTCCTTCAGTAAACAACACGACCGCTGTCACTCTCACTCTCACTACGATGATGGTCTGCAGGTCAAGTGTCAGCCCGCTCACCATATGGAGCGAGACTAGACGGCCCCAAGGTATCACGATACAACCTTGCTCCCAGTGGTTTCCGTAGGCTCGGCAAGTCATCCAGTCATCAATTCCACCTTTCCCTGGTTCGACTTGTCCTTACACGCACCCACTCGCTTGTCTGGTACTTGAAAGTGTCAAGGAAGTACTGCTCAGCCACTCTACTCAGATCACTGTTTCTGCACAAAGCCATCGCTCTTTCCAATACTCGCGCCCTGCACATGTGCCAAGCCACAGCCACGCGTCCGCTCATCCAATATGCTCCTTCCACCTCTGGTCATACCTTGTCTGTATCCGACTTCTTCATCTTGGTTTTCTTTTGATCACGAAAGTCATCTTCTTGTCTATCGTCAAATTATTTCTTGTCACCGACACAATCCGACCCATGCTGGTGAGCTGTCTTCGCAAGTATCGACGACTATCCCATGCCAAGTATCCTAAGCATTAGTGCAGTCGTCACTGCCATGCACCGCAGCATGTTTCATGCCCTGCTGGCCCATGATATATGCCGATCTTCTGACAACCCCAGCACCATTGCAAACCAGACCGCTCTCATTGGCTCGACTTTGGTCATCGCCAAGTCTTGTGTCGTCCTCAGCTGCACGCACGTATCACAAACCAGACACTTCTCTTCCATACCCACTAACTGTGCCCTATCTCAACATTGCTCCAGCCTATACTGTACAGTGCGTGCTGTCCCCAAACACCTTGGCCTGAGATCCAGCAGTCGTAAGTCGTAGTATCTAGAATCGATTTCCATCATGGCAATTGAATCTCAGTAAGTCTATATAAGGTCGGTACTGCTATGATCAATCCGTTGTCCAGTCAAATTTTTCCTACGCCTGTCTACTACGAGTCTACACTTTGCGTCATCATGGTTCACTTCTCCAAACTCATTGGCACTGTTGCTGCAGCATCTCTTCTTGCTCCCTCTCTTGCTCACCCCGGAGAACATCATGATCACCATGCCATAAAGGCTCAGATCCAAGCCCGTGAGAGACTTGCTGCCAAAGTCAGACGCTCCGTCGATGCTTGTAGCGGGACCAGCGAGCATCTCCAAGTCTCCGCTCGTTCTGCTGCTCGTCGTTCCAAGGTCGTTAGAGATCTTCGTGAGAAGCGCGGCATCACTGCTGCTCCCCAGAAGTTCAAGCGTGACCTGGCAACACTCGAGAAATTTGATGCTCTCGACCACAACCGTACCGACGAGTTCCATTACGATATGCATACTCCTGAACATATCATCTTCGGCGCCAACACTAGTTGTGTCTTGAGCCCCGAAGTGACTGATGGGCCTTACTACGTCACCGGCGAACAGATTCGTAGTAATGTCAAGGAGGAACTCTACTGTGACGGTGTCGATCTCTTCCTCGAAGTACAGTACATCGACATCAACACTTGCCTTCCTGTTCCCAACGTCTGGATAGATATTTGGAACGCCAACAGCACAGGAACATATAGCGGGATTTCAACCTCTGGAAACTACGCCTCCGGCGGCTACAACTCGACCTACCTTCGGTACTTTGTGTTTCTGTCTCCAAACTCCTGATCAATTCTCTGACCCCTTTCCAGTGGTATTCAGCCAACTGATCGTGACGGCGTGGTTCATTTCGAAACCATCTTCCCAGGTCACTACGATGGCAAGTCGTGCAAGAACATCATCGAGATACATCCAGCTGACTTTGTCTGTCTAGGTCGTGCAACCCACACTCACCTGCTGTCACACATGAACGTCACTCGCTTCCCCAACAACACCATCTCTACGAACGGCAATATTACTCACATCGGTCAACTGTTCTGGAACTCTGAGCTCCGCGAGGCAGTCGAACAAGTCTATCCTTACAACACCAACACCCAGGCCATCACCAGTAATGCAGATGATATGTGGGACATTGTCGCCGCTGGAACAACCTTTGATCCGTTCCCTGAGTATATCTACCTCGGCGATGATCTTTCAGATGGCCTTTTCGCCTGGATCCAGATCGGCATTGATCCCACTGCAAACTACATTGACGACGAGTACTACAGTGTTGCTGCCTATCTGGATGCTGAGGGTGGGCACGCTTCTTCAAACTCCTTTGTTGGGGGCGGTAGTGGTGGCGAGGGCATGGGTAATGGCACTGCTGGTAATGCCACGTTGCCTGGCAACGGAACCAGCCCTGTAAACTCAACATCTGCCTAAGTGAATGAGTCCAGGACAGGTGGTACAACGAACGATCACCGAGGAGATGCGATCCTCGTAGTATGAAAGTCGTTGTTGCCTTGAAAAGATGTCTCTCACCTTCTTTGAAAGGAAGGGCTTGGAGTATCCACTGTGTGTGTTAGGATAGAGTTATTTACACGACCCTATAGATCTACAAACAAAGGATACTTGCTACTGACTCATATATCTCTATATCTCGGGCCTTGCTGTAGCAACGCATAGTGATATATCATTATACTACAAAAATGCACAATATCTTCTAGAGATGGTTGCTGTCCACAGAGAGAACGTCATTTCACTGCGTCTCAGTGATCATGCATTTGGTTGGGTAAGTACTGTGCATCTCGGCAGCTAGGATTAGCCAAGCATTCGCAGCAAGGAATGCAACAAGAATGCTTTCCGACGAACCTGTGGTCTACAATATGTCTATGTGATAGTCTTCCAGTATGCCGTGTACCGACGGGCGATCGCTTCGTGTACAGAGCCCAAAATATTTGTGACAAACAAATACCTCATTCTACACGTAATGCCTCTCTTCGTCAAAAACAATTTAAGGATGACCACCCTTCGATGTGGCTGGTGCAGCACTAGCCCAGAAGTTGCAAGTACTAGAACATGAATAGCTTATAGAGTATGCTAACGATAGTTAGCGGTCAGCCCATGGGTGCGTTGGCTGCAGCCCCTGTTCGCCTAGTATTGGGCGTTTAGGCAAATCTCTACCGTGGTGTATTGTGGTTTAGTACCTCAAAGATGACCAGGCTTATGGCTGGTCTATCGATGTGGCTGGTTCTTCTTGAGTACCTGATGCCTTTTCAACTTCACTTTTGAAGGTCTGCGGGCAACGATGTAGCTTGGAGTACCCTTCTAGCTATATATGGACCATTGTTTTTCGGAAGACGAATCAAAATTTGCGAGGGCTTCGACAAGCTTATCGTTTAGTCGGACACTTGGCTTGCTTGCCATGAATCTGCTCGAGAGTCTCTATCGAATGTCTCGGTGGACATGACTCTTTCTCGAAAGTGTCGTACATTTGAATGGCTAAGGCGTATTCGGGAAATTGATCCTGAAGGTAACGCTGGATCTGGGATGCGTCCCAACCCATGAAGCCATTCACGAAAGGTAAGACTGATAATTTGGTACGCCAACGATCGAAATGAATTTGTGCAGCATTCTTGACCAGCATAAAGCAGTTTATCTCTGGCTGTTCGAGAATTCTCTCGATTGTCTGTTTTCTGGTCAAAGTTTATCCACGGTGGAGATTTGATGGGATTTACCTCTGTTGGAGCATCAGCGGTGCAGGATCAGAGGTCAGTAGTCATTTGTGCAAACAGTAATTATAGTGGAATCCAATCTATATGCCGCAAGAAGATATCAATGGTGTAACAGATGATTTCAAGGTGTCTCGAGTCATGTCTTGCATTCTTTCGAGAAGTACAGATTAGACTTAATCATACTGCATAACATCTCGATACAATATGGACAGTCAACATCGTTTGTTGAATCATTCCAACCCAATGGATGCATAAACTGTCTGCGTGAGTTGAGCTTTCGCTGCAATACTTTCTCGTTAGTTCAAGGCGTGTTCGAATGTGTTTCAACAACCTTTCCTCAGCGTGTGTCATATTTTGTCACAACTTAGCTGTAGAAATACACAATAGCACCTATAGGAGAAAACTGTCAATGGAGAGGCATCATTCAAAGTCTTTCCATGAGCCGTCCTTGGATTTGAGGACAATTCTGCATATTGACAACTGTCAACAATATTACTATAGATATACACGGGAGAGAGATTGACCGTGCGATAGTAAAAACTCATCACAATAGAAGAGAGTTTACTCGCAGGACCAGGTGCTGGCTTGGTTAACGTCTCCTTTGCCGCTCCACCTTTGCTTTTTAGGCCACATACAGAGGGGCCTCTGTCTCATGACCTTATCCTGCAAGGTATCATTGACCCATTTAGTCGCGATGATCTCAGTTGGTGCAACGCCCTTCTCAACCCAATCCATCATTGCAAGCAACACATCATGCTTAGCATCTCTGAAGCCTGGGACGCCAGATACAGAAGTTGAGACTGACCCTGCTTGGTTGGCACCAGCGAAGTACCAAGGTGCATTCACCGTGCTTGGTGTACCAGAGCAGTGCTGCATTCCAGGGACCAAGAAGAAGCGATAGAACGAGTCCAGGTTCACGCCTTTGGGTGCCAGTGTCTGCAAGATCTTGGAATAGAGGTAGACGGAGCTACCAGTGGCGATCAGTCCATCGCTCATACCGTGGTAGTGAAGAAGCTTTCCACCACGAGCCTGGAAACGTGACAGGGCATCAAAGTCGTCGGCGGTCGCATTGCCAGGGTCTTCGGCATCAGCTTGTTGGACGACACCGTAGTCAAAATCCTGCCATTGCCACTGAGGTCCGCGGTTCAAGAAGTACTTGACGTAATCATCACCAAGGTTGTTTGGCTCGTTCGTGAGGCCACCAAGAAGTACAAACCACTGAAGTTCACTGCCTTTCCAGAGGTGGGGAAATACGAATGTCTGGTTGGTATCGACGTAATCACTGTAGATCTGGAAAAGGGTATTGAGCTGAGGAGGAGTGAGGCAAGCTGATGCGTTGCTGGCAGGTGTGCAGAGAAGGGCATTGGGGTCGAAGTCGCAAGCATTAGGGTCAGAGATGATCGTGTCGACCACACCATCTGCACCATCGCATTGTCGCATCACTTCTGCGCCTATGACGGGAAATAGAGATACTGGAATATGGGAAGCAGATGTGTTTGGCAAGTTGTAGCTGCCCACTTTGGTTGTCCAGGGCTGAAGGTGATTGGTCCACCAGGCAGGTGCTCCAGCCACAACACCATCGAAGTCTTCAGGGTAGAGTTGAATGTCACGAAGACCTTGTCCTAGAAAATGACATGTCAGATCTGCAACGGATCAGTAAGCATCAGAAGACTTACTGCCACCAGTGGAGCAACCACTGTAGTAACTATAGAGAATAGGATTAGAATAGTATGCAGTGGTCAACTCCTTGGCCAGGACAGTGGAACCATGCATAGCACGGTAGCCCCAGTCAAGAAGGGCGTCCTCGTTATGGTAAGCCCATTTTCCGTCAGACGAGGTGCTATTGTGACCAGTGTTTGTGGACATGACGGCGAAATTATACCCGAGTCCTGCAGCCTTTTCGAGCGTTAACATTTGCGAACAAGTATCTGGCAGACACTAGAGATAATATACCATATCGAGCCAATTGATGCCGCCTGCAAAGCCACCGTTACCTACAGCGCTATCTCTCCATTAACATCTGATGAGCGGACTGCTAAACGAAGCCACACTTACAGGAAACGACCATTCCAGTCGTCAGGCAAAAAGAGCCCAAAACCATAGTTTGAAGTGCCGTTCTTGACTGAAACCTGAACAGCACATGCCGCCCGCAGCTTTGTGGGCGATGTGGGATAAGCAACATTCCCTTTGGGTATACTAAAGGTTGAATTGGCAGGCATCCATTGTGCAAAGTCGACAGTCGCGATCGATGGAAAGGCGGATTGTAGAGAGGCTTTGTCACAAGTGATCGCGGCGGCGCCTGATGTCAAAGCCGCAACAGCTGCCAGACGGGCTTGCGTTATCTTCATGGTAGCTTTGAGTGAGTGAATCACAGAACTCCTTTAGCTAGCGGTAGATGCGCTTCTTATACTTCTCAGGCAGATCGGCAGGTCTCAATGGAGAAATTGCCGTATACGTGTCCCACCCAGCCATGCCGTCAATCATGATCTGCAGGATATTCGTTCAAGTCAGCAGCGCGCTCCTCCACTTTGTAGCGTCGATGGCTTGGAAAGTGGAGCTTTGTAGACTGCATGTGTGGGGATTGCGGAGAAGTGCAGCGTTCCTGAGTCCTTGGAATGGTATTCGTGAGCGAACACTAGACAGGTGAATCCTCTTGTCTTGAGCCATGAGAGTCATGCCTATCTGTGGAATCGTGAAATTGTCAGTGCATTGGCACACCACACGCCTTATCTACGTGGCAGATCTTGACCACGAAGAGCTCGTGGGTTAGGGCAGGCAGCTGGCAACTGCTCACGCAGCCGGCCAATCACTTTCGTGTTTCCTTGTTGCGGGGTTTGTTCGCAGTTTTCCGAGTCATCGATTTTTCCCCCTCTGTCGAAAGCTTGAAATTTCAGCTTGAGAGCCTTGGCATTTTTGCGTCCGCCTTGACCTTGATGTACTAGGTAGATTGCGAAGGACCGCGAGTGCGTAGGGAAGCTGGAGGTCAGTGAGAGAACCTTCTGTGAGCCACGCGTACACTAATTATACAGCAAATTTAGCAGTTCTTATGCAAATAGTGCTTCGAATGGTGAGATCTGGGGAAGTCACGATTCTAGGCTAGCTCTTCCAGGTTAGCAGCTCTTAGGGCTCTCGTCTTCGTCTGCTGTTCAAGCTCTCAATATGCGTGTGCATGATCTCTGGATAGCAATTTAACATTCCACGAAAGTGCTTTTGATCTTCGATTTCTAGCGTCTTTAAAGCAATACCACGCCGTGTCCTTCAGCACCGATGAGCACGTTTGGCTCGCGAATGGCTATATCGAGATCTACACATTCCTATTCCTTACCTTACTATTTAACAAGTAATCCAAGTAGCGTCTAGTAGAAGCAAGGCGACGAGGTTAGGAGTCTTGTTCGCCATCTTAAAGACAATACTTAGCTATAAGCTTACTTAATAGAGGAGAGGAATTTATAAGTGTTACAGTGTTGCACTCTATTAAGGTAGCTATGGAAATATATGAGACTATCTAGATCGAGGTAAGTGTCTAGAGAGATGTAGTGCGGTGACATATCGTAGTAGATAGTTGCCTATTCTTTTCCTAGTTTAGAGAATCTACCTAGTAAAGTAAGAAGAGCTACAATTGCTCCTGTTCAATCTATAAGACTAGCCTGTCCTGATTCTTGTTAATATCCTGCATTTCTACGGTAACACGAGATGCCGATCTAGGGGTGGAAGATCTGGAGAGGACAACATTCGGGTTGCATACATACCCAACCAACACGTCCCGTATAGATTGGCCAGTCTTCGGAGTAGGGTTAAAGATGAGGGAGTGAAACAAGTCTGTTCCAATTTGGTGTTGTGAGATGTTATATGTTCTCGAAACGCCGAGTGAAAGTCATGTTCAATGTTGCACATCTTATTCGAAATGATTTTCTGCAAGAAGAACTCACTTCTATGTTGCGGTGAGCAGTTCTTCTGCATCACTGCTTTGAAGCAGTGAGACTGAGGAAAATGCCCCAGACTAATCCGACCAGACTGAGAAACACAATCCTCTTCTCCACTCGAATCAACGAGAAATTAACGATTGAAGCCAGAGGCCATATGGTATAGCTGGCGTAAATGATCGAGAATGTGCTCTGTGAAGAAAATCGTTGTTGTAGCCAATTCAAAGCAGAAACAGGTGAACTACCGTGCAGTTGATGCATAGCAGGCAACAAAGATGAATGAACTTACCGTTCTTAATGCAGTTCCGATCTGGTGCATCGATCTTCCTTTCATGATGCCCATGAGGATGATGAAAACGCCTGTATTGAGCAATGCGCCCAGCGTTATGCAGTCTATGAACCACTTGATCATGGTGTTCTTCCAGTCCAGCTTTGTCTCTGGCTCCTCTTGTTGTTGTGAACCGTCTTCTCCCGAAGGACCATTGTGCTCACGAAGCTCGTATCGCGGCAGCATTGTTTTGGTAGGATTCAGTGGTTTGCGGCCCGGGAACATGCGTTCGAGAGCATGTTGCCAGAGATAGTTGGGTGGTGCGGTGAGCAGTGTGAAGATGACGAAACGCAGGAAGTCTGACATAGAGAAGCCTGAGGCTGTCTGCAACAACATATCAGTGACTGCGGGCCCAAGGAGTGTGAAAGTCAAAGGCTGACCTGTTTGCTACGCTGTTCGAGAAGCTGAGCGATGACATTGGACGTAGCAGCAATGGCAGTCGCCTGGAGAGTCGAACTAGCAATTGGTGAAAGCATGGCGACCTCTCAGTGTTGTGAACATGTGGATGAGGAGAGGAGAGAACAAGGAAAAGAAGATGTCGTCTCATTACACTGTGGTGTTGACGCGTTCATTCGAGAGATCCTCAGCCGTGTTTCGGCTTTGCGGGGACGTTCCACCTTGATATATTTGCACCGCCACACTCAGCCACACCTGCGAGAATGCCAAATGTGAAAACAGTAAGAATCTTTGCTTCGTTTGATTCATGATAATATGTTCGTAGCTCATCATCCTGCTTATCAGGGAGATACCGACAAAAGGTTGATCGTCGTACATCCAGCTGAAACCGACCTTGTGTAATAGAGTGCTCCATCATTTCCACAGCTGGCAGCATGATACTGCACTCCATTTACATTGCAGCTTAGGGTTCCACCCTGCCTCTGGCAGTTGAGCCGTCCATAGCTACTGCCTCCTCCGTATGCATTGAAGGCCACCTTCTGAGCATTGATCCTCGGGTCCAATGTGGCCACATAGCCTTGAGAAGGACTTTGTTCAACTAGGTCTCCAGAAGAGTCGATCGTGAATTTTGTCGCTGAATCTTTGCTTGCCGTGAATGTGGCCAAGCCACCAGCACCAGGACTGACTGTAGCATAGAGTCCATTTAAGCTACCACTTCCGCTACTCTGGAGATAGAATGCATAGCTTGGTGGGGTGACAGGAGTGAAAGTATTGATAGGAGCGACGAATGAATTTGTCGGAGAAGGATTGCTGGCCGACGACGCCTGTGCTATGCGCACCGAAGTTGTGAAAGTCACAGGCGAAGGATTTGTTGCGGTAGATGGTTGGTAGATCAGAGGCATTGGTAAGATTGTCGCCGTCGTTGACACAGAGGGAGTGGTTTGGATCGGGTCGGCTTCATCATCCCACGATTCACATTCGAATTCATCGTTGTCGAGCTGAGGAGATGGAAGTCCCGACACAATGGTAAGTCCAATGGCCAGAAGAGCCCAGAGATGTGTTGTCCTTCTAGAATACATGATTGCTTTTATCGCGTAAGACAGATCTGCATGTACAAGCTGAGGTGCGGACAAGTATGCTTATATTTTGAGTTGTTCTCGAGGATAGCTGGAGCGGCCGTATCATTGTTCTCCGAACATCTCCTGTCAGCTGTCAAAGTGCAGTCGATAGTTTCGTTGTAGTGGAGAGGGGTCCAGAACGAAGGATCAGACAGGGCAGTAGTGGCAGTTGATCTCAACAGTCGGCTTGAAGCGATCGTTGCCTGATCTTTCTGTCAACGACGGCTTGCGGCTCTGTTGCGATCCTCGAGCTTATGTCGCATTGAGCTCATGATCAGATATATCCTTTGATGTAAGAGATCGAACGTGTGAAGGTTGGTGAAGTGATGAAGGTGATAGAAAGCACAACTGTATGCCGCCAAGAGATGAAGTCGGGGCTCCGAGCAAGTCCTTCGACGGGCGCCGTTGACTCCATCTCAAACATGCATCCTTCAAAATCACAACAAATAGGCCTATAACATGGTCACTGTCTACGTCCGTACTGTGGGGTAGCTCACTGAACGGTGCATGGTCTCAAATCGGATACGCTATCTATACGAGCAGGAAGTGGTATAGCACCGACATGATGTTTCACGGAGTCGCCGATAACCTCAGATTCCCTTCCATCGGCATGTCGAGCACATGCATCTCAACGTTGGAAGGTGCGATCAGAGACGCCGCGTACATAAGCCACTTCTGTTGGCGTCAGTCACCGTCTCAGATACATACCATTCTGAACACCTCCAACGTAGAATCATTGACATCTTGTGAGACAGCCCAGCACTCTGGTAGCTCAGCTCACACTAGATCTGAGTCGCCCTCAAGCAATGGCGCCACTCATAGATTGAGGCTTAGCTGAGCTTGACCATCCATGACCGACATCAACGAATCGACTCTAAGCGATGCGCCACTAAAGAAGCGGCTAAATACAAGACCGCTGCTATAACTGTCTAGTGCGGCTTTGGAGATAAGCTACAACCGTACTTGATTCACCGTGGAAAGTAGTGGGGCCATGCTCTGTTACTAGATCGACTTAAGGACTTCCAGGGGCACATCGTCATCTACGCTATTACAAACTGCAGACTGACAAAGACATTGATGGTACAGAATGGTTCTCTTGATTCTTCTCCGATCGTATCAATCAATTTGTTGCACTCAGTTTCTGCTTGATCATGCGGTCAACTGCAACGGTCAGTGCATACACCGTCGCTAGTGTTGGTACATCCATTCCAAACTCTCTTGCCATTCTCATTGGAGTTCCGAGGATCACATCAACCTCCAATCTCCTGCCTTCTCTTGCATCCACCTGCATACTACTCTCTATGCCTGGCATGCTTTGTATTCTTTCCATCAAGACGTCTACAAGGCCATACTCCAAGGTGATTCCGGCTCTTCTCGCCACGCCTATCACTTCTCGCATCAAGCGTTTCGTGACGGACACGCTCTCTTTTGAGGACGAGAGCCATTCTTGTGTGTCTTGTTGTGTGAGTGTGGTCAGAGGGTTCCATGCAACCTGGGTAGTCAGCATCATGCCTGCTGCTTGAGAAATTGAATGGACTCACGTTCCAAACGACTTTTTCCCATCGCTTGACCTGAATATTGTCTGAGATAGTGTATGACGTTTCGCCCGCCCTCAACATAGCCGCAAATCCTTCCAGCCTCACATCTTCCAAAGCAGGATCGACTTCCGGATTAGGATACAGCCCTATATCGGTGTGCTCAGACGCTGTATGTCTAATGACACCAAGAGATTCTTGTGTTGCACCGACCCATATCTGTTTTTCCTGTCAATTCCGTGTTCTTGACTTTTTTTCGTCACAGACAACAGGAAGTACTTACCACACAGCTAATGATTGTTGAGTAGGGGAATGACTGACGAAAAGGCTCTTCGTTGCCAACGCCATTCTGCAAGATTACGAAGGTGGTGTCCATATTAGCTACAGACCGGAAGTCATTAGGGTCCAAGCCGGGGGTGATAGCTTTATGAGCGCAAACGATATAGTCGTATTTGGTTGCAATCTTATGTGGGCAACTCAACACTGTAAATTGAAGTTCAACATCAGACTATTTATCACCAGAAGCTATCATACTGGACATACCTCTGTCGAAATGTACGGTATGTGATCCATGATTCAGAGTGTGTATAGTCATGCCCTACGCCCAAGTCAGACAAACGGTCACCCTGGCCCGGCCTAGCTGCATCGGGGATCATGACCTACATCCTTCTTGACAACCTCTAGATTTGATCTGGCAACCACACTGAGCTCCACACTCGGATCACGGCTGAGAAGAAATGCATAGAAGCCTCCTATACTGTTGTTTTGTTGAAGAAACCCCGTCAGCTTATCTATTTCCGCAATATCTCCGCGACCGAGGGTGTGAAGGACTACTCACGCGCCTAGTCCATAGAGCAGGACTTTTGTCTTTTTGTCTTCGGTCATTGTGACGAGCGGAGCCCTGGACTGCAAGGTTGCGTATAGATTTTCAGCGATTGGAGTGAATGAAGGGTTTGGCATGTAATGTCACCGCTTCGTTGACTGCGTCAGAAGTCGAGCACGTGGGTGCGAGAAAGCGGCCAGTGCAACGCAAAACTCGCTCCTTCGGGTATGGTTCCACATTTGCGTTATATTGTTTGCTCCCTACAAGGCGGGCCTCGATTTTCAGCTTCAACTATTTACGAAGTAGGAACCAAGTTCCATCGTTGACATCTGCGCATCGCCTTGTCTTCACTGCATGGTCATCAGGGGAGAGCGCAAGCTGCGCCGCGTCTTGGATTCGGGTTCACCACAAACGTAATCTAACTCTATTCGGATGGTACAACGTGCTGGCTTTGGGTCCTGCTTTTCTTCTTCTATCTCTTGAATACAGTAAGCTCTTGCGAGCATGTCCTTTGCCCGGTACACATTCCTGAAATGCCTGGATGATCACCAAGTCCCTATGATACGCTTTGCTCGAACGAATATTCGCCGTACGTGCCAGATCTTCGAAGCGCACATGATTTCAGGTAGTTGGGAGCTGTGTTTCGGCAAGATCGACTGTCGGTTGTTGCTCTCGTGTCGAAGGGTATCGACATAGGTCAGCACTCGTAACTCTTTGTGATTGGCAAACCACTATGATTCCAGAGGGCGTCGCGCTCAACCGAATCTCTGACCTTTCGAAAGGCTAAGATAGGGACAAGATTTCCAGTCGCACGTGTCCTGTTGACAAAGTTAGTGTTTCCTGATAAGAGGGAGTATGTGCATCACTAGACACAAATTACCTGGTAGACAGACGTGCCCCACCACGAGAATCCCTTATTTGCTCCAGTATAGAAGATCGTGAAGAAGATTATGGCGCCGGCGATCGCCACGGAACTGTCCAACGCAGCACTAAGCACAAAATTGTACTTTTGCCACCAGCCGAACGCTCGCTTTTTAATCAGAAGTCCAAAGATGAGGCCTACGATGACCCAGCTTCCGTAGTTTGTACCTGTGGCAGGAGGCAAGTAGTTCAGACCGCCCATGAAAAGCGGGATATGGCAGTATCGCCAGAGACTGGTGGGATATCGACGCTTCAAAAGGTACACTGGTATAGGCAAGACGGCACCTATGAGAAAGAACCAGAAAAGTGGCCTGTAAATTGAGTCACTGGAAAAGAAGATCTTTGGTCCCACAGCGCCCCAAATCAGGCTTGTGTTGAAATGCGTTCTTGAGTATGGGCATGAGAACCCATCTGGAGCATCAACCTGACAGACGTCTGAAATATAATTCAGCGCCCATCTTAAAACGCCGACCTGAGTCAGAACGGATATGCCAATGCCGACTGTTTGGACGAGAAAAAGAGCACGAGGTGGGATCTACATCGGGTCAGAATTTGCGTAGCTCGAAACCAGAAAGCATGTACATACATCGCAGTATATGCCGAGCTTCAGATCTTGAGCAAAAGCAAGTCCTTTGATGCCTGTGATGTACCCAATATCGAAGAACCAGATGTTGGCTAGGATCTTGCCTTCGAAAGCGTATCCAGCAATCAGCCGACACAATGCGTCTATGCTGACTTTAGCGTTCGCAGTGGCGTATACCATGGCTAGCTGTAGAAATCAGTATCAAGGACAAAGCCAATACGCAGAGGCGCACTCACGGGGATGAAAAGGATCGAGGATACGGCCAGAGCAAGGAGAACTCCATACCATGGCAACTGCACTGGCCAATATTCACAGGACAGTACCAAACAAAACAAAGATGCGACTCCTGTCAGAGCGTACCACCATACGGGAACATCTCTATATGCGCCTTCCTTTGTGACTTCACATGGAGCCTTGACCCAGGATTTGAATGCAGAAGGAGCCTTCCGCAACGTGGTGTGCTTTTCCAAGACGAACCAAACGATCAAAGCCATGACAGCCGCGAATTGCAAACCAAAGTTAGACAGAGCATACGTGATGGGCAGATACACCTTTGAATCTTCAGCGAATTCTCACAGCAGGCTTCAGTGCACTCACCTGCGAATAAGCAGAGTATTTAACAGGGTCGAATTTGTCGTCATGTGTCAAAATCTTCGAAACATTGTAAATTTTGCCCGCATCGTCGAATACTAGGATTGAAAAACCGTATTAGCTGAGTATCAGCAGGTTACTATGGACAAACACACCAGCTGTACTCTGAATGGGCAAGTAGGCACTGAACCAGGTGTTGCTGTAATACATCGCAGGAGCGATGATGTAGATCCAAAAGACTAGAGATGCACCAACATTCAAAATGGCCCAAGTAGGAACAACTAGTGGAGATCCAATGTAGGCAACTTGACTCCCTGGTTACCAATTAGATCGTGTTACTCGCTCAATGGAGAAATTGCTTACAGTCAAAGGTTAAAGGAACCATTCCTAGTCCACTGGACATACCGAACAGTTGGTTGACAACTGCGTTCTTCGGCCATATCCAACAAAGAAAGGTAAAATATCCTACAGCTGGAAAGATGAAATTGGGAAACCAATACCAAACAAAGGAAGCAACGAAGACAACCATGAAGAAGGCGTAACGGGAGATTCGCCAGGTACTTGAGTTGATGTAAGCAATGACAACTACGATGCAGCGACATTGACTAACCTTCCGCGTTCGGATTTCTCCTTATGGTGTAAAGTCCGGTTCAAGGCTGTATTGGCGAGGACTCCAGGCCATACCAAGTTCTTTGGCTCGACTATAAGAGCTCGTGCTAGTCCAGCGAAAGTAAATCCAGTCAATATGGTTCCCAAAGTGACGAGTATCTGAAAGCCAACTCCTGCTTTGAGCCCAAAGAACATCTCCTGTTCGGTCAAAGTGTCTGCACTGAGACGTGTTGAGTAGCTAAGGTTACTCATGATATCTTAGTCATTAGCATAGTCAAGATTTCATGTTAACATACAGACAAGCTTACAGATCAGAATATGTTCCTTGACAACGAAACAATATCAGCATTGGCTCAAAACCCAGATATCATGGACTGTCACCTTTTCATTGAAAACTCCTGGATTCAGTCGGATCTTTGTTCCACGGATTGAAAAGGTCCAATCAGGTAGCAACTTCTCCCATGCTCTTCCTATCGGAAATGCTACCAGCTGAACGACAGCGGAGCTGATTGTGACAGATGGTTTTCGTAACGTGAACAGCGTATTCAATCCGGTCACTAACACAGTCAGAACGATAGAGATCGTCCACATCCTAAGCGTTAAACAAGGAAGAGATGGATCGTCATCATCATCGGGATCAATGCCAGCAGCGAGTAACAATTGGTCGTTTGACGAATGGCCATCCAAATCTCCAGAAGAGTGCTGATGTGACGCATCTTCATTCGTGCATTCTTCGGTCACATTCAAATCGTCAGCATTTTTGTTTGGCTTCAATTCGAATTCACGGGCACAGATCCTAGGATCTTGTTCAGTCTTGGTCGTCATTAATTGTTGGAATGAAAAGAGGCAGATCGATAATCAGATTAGACAAGACAGCAAGTAGCTAATTTTTCAATCAGACAAGAGGCCGAATTATCCGAGTTTGCCGATGATGCTGATTTCGTATTGGTATCCGCTGAGTCAACGACTATACTCCAGAGGCCGCGTATACCCAGGGCTTCCAGAGATTCAGGATCTGAATATAGATCATGAAGCTGACCAGCAGCTGCATAAGATGCTTGAGCATAGATACAGCTTTCGTGGCTTTCTACCGTGAGTTAGTGCTGCTGCATCGCGACATGTGCGAGACGGGCAAGGTAGGTGTGTGGCCACAAACAGCGGGCACGCTGCTCGAAGATCTGTGGCTCCCGGTAGTCATCGAATCCACAGTGGACTCTCTCGTCTACTAGCACTAACACGACTCGAAGTGTTCAAAGCTCTTGAGGCTTGTTTTTCACTCAAATGCTTGGTTTTGAGGATACTTGTTGTCGAGACGCCAGAACCCTAGATCTTCCGACGATCCCGGCCCGTGTTCTTTCCGCCGTACGGGAAAGCTTGTCGGCAAACCTCTTCTCTGCGACACAGCAAGTCACATACCTCAGCCGACAACGTTCGAGATTTGGCCAGTCAATGTCTTTCTGATTCGAGATCACCGCTATCGCCTCGCTATACCAACTCTACGCCCCATTCACTCGCCCATGCCTTCACAAATTTAGCCACCAGACCCGACTCGATCAAGTCCGGGATCGCAGTCATGGCCGCACTGTCCTTGCATGTCTGGATGGTGTCATAACGACCCGCACTTTTCATTGGTGCATTCTCGACAACGTTTCCATACCTCTCTGCAAAGAATCCGGTCAATTTGACTGGCGGATTGCTCTCTGGATTTTGATCACCAGCCCGCAGTCTCTGCACCCATTCTTTAGGCGATACTTCATCAAACCTCAAGCCCGCTTGGCGCAGAGCAGGCAAAATATCACGAGTCCAGTGATATACTTTCGGATTTTGGATGTTGTAGACCAGATCATCCTCCTGTAAGCGAGTCTCGGTGATTGGCTGAGCTATGCCGGTAAGCTCTACAACAATCGATGCTGCAAGGTCTACTGGAAGCCATGAAAGCTCCTCGTTGTGAGTCGGCAGTGCTTTGATGGTCGTAGCTGTCTGAACCATCAAAGCAATGGCTTCAGTCGTATTCCATTTTCCGTGCTCGCTGTCACCGGCAATTTGGCCAAGACGCAATACTCTAGCGTACATACCAGTAGTCTTCATGGCGTTTTGGACGATACGTTCGGTCACCAGTTTCGACCTGCCATAGCCTGTTCCTTGAGCAAACTCGAGTCGTGGTACTTGACTTTCCTTGATTCTCTGATCAAGGGGTGTGTTCGCAGCCGACGAGACTGACGAGCAGAAGAAGAATTTTGCAGGGTTTGGCGTGCGGGTCGAGAGACACAACTGGATGAGATTGTATGCACCTTTAATATGCTGGTCCTCGAAACTTCTCACACCAAGGTTGAAGTTGACAGCCCAAGCACTGTGTACCACATGAGTGAGCTGTGATTCTAGCTTCTGCAGGATCTCCTCGCTGAGTCCAAGGTCTGCCTTGCTCAGATCACCCAGGAAAGGAATGATCTTTGCCTTTTCCGTCTCAGTAAGAAACAAACCTCGTGAGCTCAAAGCTTCGGAGATTCGCTCGGTCGCCTGAGTAGTTGATGGAGCTCGCACAATCGCCCATACTGAAGTCACGTTGTTTTGTCGGACCAGCTTAGTGAGTATATGGATACCGACGGTACCAGTGGCCCCGGTGAGAAGCACAACGTCTTTTCTATCGGTGGTTGATTCGCATGGCTCGTGTTGCTTGAAGGTGGAGTATTTTGAGATAAGCTGCTCCATGACAGTGATTTCATCCTCTTGCATCATGTTCCCACCTGTCCTGGTCAGATAAAGATGCTGAGCAAGACCGCGAATGTTTGCTGTTTCGTAAAGCACATTGCGGCTAAGAGTTTCATGATTTCCTCCGAGATCGATTTGTTTCTTGATGCTGGACCACATTCTAGTTGACTGGAGACTGTCAATTCCGGCTTGATAAAAGTCTGTGTCGAGCTGCAGTGAAATACCGAGTTCCTTGCTGAACTCGCTGAGGAGCCACTTCTCGAGCTCGGGGACCTCGAGCGTCAAATCCCCTAAAGAGCCATTCTCAAAGTCGCTATACTTGTTCTCGATTTCCACCTTGAACTGGTCGTAGATCTTGGCTCGGATGAAAGTGCCCTTATCAGTCTTTGGGTATTCGGTCTCAGCAGCAACGAGAACGACGAGCTCCTTTGGAATCCTTGAGAAGCTCTCTGCTCTGGCATTCGCTTCCTCAACAGCGGGCCATACAGATCTGAAGAACTCGTCGTCGGACATGTTTTTCGCGTCGGGAGAACGAAAAATGATGACCCCGGGTACGCTTCTACCAATACCGAACACAGCAGCTTCCTGCACCAGGCGGTCTTGACGAATGCGACCTTCTATAGGCAGAGGCAAGACCTTCTCGCCGTTGACTAGTGTCAAGCGGTCATCGAGTCTGCTGAGATACTTCCAAAGATTCGGCCGCGTTGGGTGAGGCGCGAACAGATCTCGAGAGCGGAAAGAGTTCGGAGGGCTATCTGAGTTGACGGCTACTCTCGTCTTCAGGCTCTCCAACGCCACACACTCGAACACGCCAGGAGCTATTTCATCCATCAGAACGTGTTCAGAGACTGGAGGATTCAACCGGCAGTAGTTCCACTCGGTATCTTCAGGCGATCTGAAAGAAGTCATGATGCGACCGATTTCCGTGCATCCATAGTTCTGAACTAGATTCACTCCTCTGCTTACCAGCAGGTCTCCTACGTCGTCTGGGCAGCCACTGCCGGCGTAGAGCACTAGGCTGACTTTCGCGAGCTCATTGATGCCTTCCTCGGTCTCACACAGTAACTTGAGTAGGTATGGCACGCAATTGAAGATCTCAGGCTTCAAAAATTGCAATTGGGCCGTCAAGCCTTGGCGTGTATGCGCGATTGTGTAATTACACAAATACAAAGGTTTCTTGGAGTAGATTGTTCTGAACATCTCATAAAAACCTTGACTGTGGAACAATGGAGATGCTAGAAATGCACGCATGCCGAAATTTTGTGTGAAAGTTGCAAGACATTGTGCGTGTCGAAGAAAGATCGGCTTGGGGAAGCCGGTTGATCCAGAGGAATGGATGATGACTGCAATCTTGTTCGTCTCTTTGGCCGGAGTATATTGGCGTCTGAAAGCAGGCGCTCTTACGCCGATGTAATCAGATCGTTGCAGAAGAGGAAAGCAGTTCAGAGGTTTCTCGACCTGAATTTCGTCGAGAACGGCCTTGAAAGCGTTCGTGGAGATCAGAGTGGAACAATTCACCATTGTCGTTAGTCGGACGTACGCCGGAGCTGCTAGCCTGGTCGAAAGTAACAACACGCCATATCCCAACCGCAAGAGACCGAGGAGAGTAACGACCATATCTAGTCCAGAAATGCATAACATGCCAATGATGGGAGATTCATCAAGATTTGGATCCTATTGAGGGTCAATGGCAATTCTGTTTGCTCTAGCCGTACAAATCTTACTGCAGGCTTCAATCCCATTTCTTGCAGTCGAGCTGCTGCTGCATCGGCGAACCTGTCGACATCGCGAGCAGAATGTTCTTCGAAGTCTGTGAGGTCATGTACAGGAGCCCCTATCAAGGTGAAGTCTTCAGGTTCTGCAGCATGCGACCTGATCAAGTCGTCTATCGTGTATAGAGAGTCATGGCTCTTTAGCCGCAGCTTGCCGAAAGAAGCTGGGTCGAACGCCATCTTGGTTTGCGTAGACGTAGACATTGTGTCTGATCAGCAAATGGTAAAGTTGGTGTGCACGATAGTGGATGGGAGCTGAGCCCGATATATGTAGCACATTTTGGCGCAACTGATCATGCTTTTCCGACATGGCGGGCGGAAAAATAGACGAATGGATCATGAAAAGTCAATGCTCTCTTTGATATCCGACACTAGGCGGGGTATTGCGGGGTAGATTTCTCCGCAGAGTGGACGATACATGGAATCGGTAGAATATCGGCTCTATTCCATTCCATTCCACTACTTCTAGCTAAGATTCCATTCTATGTTAATTATCTAGTAGAATAATGCTAATTCTAATATTATCGTCGCTATTACTATTACCCTATCCTTCTATAGAGTTACTCTACTTCTCTAAGAGGTCATCCTATCCCTCTATATAATCCTTCTATATTTCGTTAATAGGTAGATCTACCTTCTTAAAATAAAGGTTCTTCTACTAGTTCTTTAGGCACTCGATATACCTAAGATTAGTAGTAAAGAGTCTTACTTAATCTTATAATAGTATCCTTCTATAACTACTAAATACCCTCTCTAACTTAGTAGATATTAGATTAATTAAGAGAACATTAATAGCTATCTAAGCGAGATTTAGGTAGTTAAGCTACTATATTAGTTTAAGCTACTACTATATAGCGTTATTAATAAGTACTATAAGACTCTTAATAAAGTAGATATATTCCTTAGGTATATTAGCTAAGCTTATATGCTATAAAGAAGCTTACTACTTAGCTAGCTTATTTATTTCCTCCTCTTTTAATTATAGTATTATCCTAATTAGCTTTATCTTATTTTTATACTTTATATTCTATAAAGCATATATAGTAGTAATAGCTAGTACTCGCTATAATAGAAGCTAATGTTTTATAAGATAGGCTTTATAATACGTTAGATAGAAAAGGAGCATAGTAGCATAAGTAGAGGTATAATTATTAATAGCTTGCTACTTATTAAGAGTAAAACGGCTAGTCTAGATAGTAGAAGTAAGGACTAGATTAGATAAAGCATAATAGACTAAGTTCTACTTATAATACTAGTGTAGGAAGTCTATTAATATAAGTACCTATTATATATAAGCTAGTATTCTTAGGTATTAGATTTTAGCTATAAATAGGTAGGCATTTAACTAGATCTATAGTTTAAGTAAATATAGACTTACTTAATTAAGGGTAGTATTATTACCTTCGTATAGCTTAGTTACCTCTTATAGTAGTTCTATAAAGTCGATAAGCACTTTAAGAAACTACTAATAACATCGCTAAAGAATAGTATTCTCTATATACTTATAAGTATG